CGTAATTCACGTCCACGCTTGCGGTCTGCAAGTCCTCGACCACGAGAACCACTACGTTCGCCTCCGCGTCGTACTTCGTTACCACGTTTGGAACGTCGGTGAGAAGAATGGAGCGAGGCTCCCACGAATCGCTCGTGGAAGGAAGACCAAGCCAGCGGACGCAATATTGATGACCGTCCGAGATTGCCGTGGGACGACCATGACTGGAGGTGCGGTGATTCAAGTTCGATGGGTAGCGATGCTCGATAGTCTTATCGACAATCCAGGCAGATTCCCGGCGCTATCAATTAGCGGGGGAGGACCATCGCGGTGGAAGTGGCCATGAGGTGCCTGCGAGTCTGGCGGGGTCTGAGATGACCTAGTCTCTCGCGAAGGAGCTTCACGAGTATCAACAGCTCGTTGGGTTTCTTGGATATGACGCGAAGCAGGCGAGGGAACTGGATGAGATTGATGACTCGCGTGTGGAGCAAGTATCTTCGACTGTAGCCGGATTGGTGGCTCGCTTGGAACGTTTGGAACAGTCAAACGTGGCTCTTCGGTAGGACAACGCAGTGTTCCAACGCAGTGTTCCGAGGAGACCATCAACTAGATCCTCCAAGGAAGCCGAAGTACCGCGGGCCACGTTATGCTCCCGCGGTGGGATCTCCTGATCAGTCGGGAGAAGGGCCGGCCAGTAGCGCTTGAGTCGCCCGACGCAAAACGTCGGTTGAAGTCGCATTGCAGTTTTAATATCAAGTGTGTAGGCATTTTTCATAACCTTGACGACCTTGAACGGTCCAATTTAGCGCGGTGACAGTTTGTTTGCACCGAGTTTTGTCACAAATGCCTCTTGAATGCCTGTCGTGGATAACAACATGGAGTCACCCTATGAGAGCTTCTCTAAATTCTTTCGTCCGCGCTGATCCGCGGACGCATTTGTTTGTCAACCGCGCTCGCGAGCGCATCACTAACAAATCGTACAACAGACTGTCGTTGTTTCACAATTGCGTCGATAGCCGCCGGGTCAGTGAGACGAGTACTCGGCGGCGAAGCACTACAACTCGATGGATTGATCGACGGACTGTTAAACGACGAAGGTAATGGAAACGCACGACGCGTGGGAGTAATCAAAGCTTCGCTAGCCCATTCTGTAGCGTCATGTACCGACAACGGGGTCAGCTTACGCTGGCAAGCAGCGCGAGTCATTGCCACATTAAGCGACGCCGGGGAAGGCGAGGCGTCATCGTGTGTGTCCGCAGCGCTCGATGCTGCGGACTTCGTCAACTTCATAACTCCGGGGGGTATCTCCCCCAACAAGAGTAGAATCATCCTCCATACCGAGAAGTACAGGCACGCGTGGATGACGCGCGCTATTGACGAAGAAGGGATTCAATCCCGTTGAAGCGTGAACGGCGTTATTTAATGCAAACTAGGTCATGGGGAGGAAAGCACTTCATGACTCGTATGACGTGGCGTAATTTTGCAGCACGTCTTCCAATACGCGGTTCACACGTTCAGTCTGGACGACGGTTTCGGGATGCGCCGCAGACATTTCCAATCTGGTACTCAGTAACTCAAACAGCCGCGACCAAAAGGCAGCTGTGAACCGGGGATCACGATCCGAAACGATTGTATTGGGCATCCCATGGTGCCGGAAGACCATTTCCAAGAAGAGTGTCGCCGTATCTGCCGCAGTTATTGATGCGGCGACCGGAGCCAGATGCACCATCTGGCTGAACCGGTCGACGATGACGAAGATACCAGTGCACCCCTGCGCGTTTTCTGGAAGGCCAAATAACAAAGTACATGCTAACTGATCGCCACGCCTCGGTGGCGATGGGTAGTGGAGTCAGCGGAGCTTGAGAGGACGGAGCTGGTTTCACGCGCTGGCATGTCTCGCAGAAACGAACCCACTTGCGAACTCACTTATACATATAGGGCCAGTAAAAATCACGTGACAGCGCGAGGTACGTCTGCTCCCGTCCTTGGTGACCGTTAGTCGCGCTGCCATGATAATCGTGGAGTATGCGAGCACGTAAATCATCATCGAGTGGGACGACAATGCGAGGAGGATCAAATCGATCGACCTGGTACATTATCTGGTCGCCAAAAATTGTGTAACGAGAAGCCTGGGCGCGGATCGGCGCTGTCAGTTTGCACAGCGCCTCATCCGATGGGTCTTGACAGTACTTCAAGAGCAGCGACAGGAACTTATCGCGATGGTATGCCGTCGCGATGACAGCACGGAGCGGATTGACCGCGCTCACAGCGGTCGTGTTAACTCCAAGAGCCTCACAGGATGCACATTTCTCGTCTTCGTCCTCGATGGAGGAGCGAGCTGGACCGTCACAGGAAGGATCGTAATTGAGACGACACGCGGCAACGCGTCGGCGATAATGTTTATCAAACCAGGCTTGTAGTAGGCAAAAAAGTTGTATTTGGAGAAGAAAGATAGCCAGCGCCATGCGCTGACTGAGGTGCGGACTTTTTGTGGCTGTCCGCAAAGGTATCCGTGTAGACTGCGAACGTTTCTTCACCAAGTAGATATACGCGAAACTTCACTAGAGCATAACGCATCGCTAGCAATTCTTTGTCATTAACAGGATACTTACGCTCGGCAGGTTTCAACTGCCGAGACTGATACCTCACGATACGTTCGTGGCCTTCATCATCATGTTTTACCAGAGCACAACCAATCGCTAAGTCGCTCGCATCACAAACGAGATGAAAAGGCTTGGAATGATCTGCCAAGGCGAGAACTGGAGCTGATGACAGTTTTGCTTTAATAGCATCAAAAGCACTTTGATGCTCCTGGCGCCACGCCCACGTGGCATCCTTTTTCAACAACTGGGACAGCGGGTGAATAACTGCAGCGAAGTCTTTCGCATTATGATGCAGATAAAAAAAATTAGCAAAACCAAGACATTGACGCAATTGCTTCGGGTTCGTTGGCTCCGGCCAGGCGCAGATCGACGCGACCTTCTCGGTGTCAGCGCGAACACCTTTCGCGCTGACGTAGGAACCTAGCGCAGGGATCTCTGGAGCGCAGAAGATACACTTCTTCAGGTTTGCGTACAGCATATTTGCACGCATCTCCTCGCACACCTTACGGAGGTTACCCAAATGAACGTCAAGGTCCGTCGTGCCTTCAGCGGCGCGGCTGTATACAAAGATATCGTCGAAATAGCTAGGCGCGAAGTCTCGAAAAGGCCGCAGAACATGCGAGACCATACGATTGAAGGTGGCAGGGGCGTTCTTGAGCCCCTGCGGTATCACGAGCCATTCCCAGGACATTCCGCTGGGTGTATTAATCGCTGTTAAGGAAATATCCTTTGGACGCTGGCAGTGACAACTCCGAGATCTGTAAGCAACATGATCTTGTTTTTCGATCGCGAATTGTTGGTATGATTTCTTCTATTATGTGCAACTTGTGCTTTGACCAATACGCAAGTGGACCGCCAACGCGAGCGAGACACGTATATTTTCTGACCGTCTGTGGCAAAGATATTGCTTGATGGTGCGTGGTGTCAACCACATTGACATGTGTTTTTGGTGTGTACCGCCCCATGTGACAAATTTGTGCTCGATATCGCAGCAGGACTTCCATCAAGTGAAATTTAAACTTGTAGCCATGCATATAACGCTGACCGCCAAACGGACAAGACCAACATCATCTTCAATTGTACAAACTGACACTCTGTGACGGGTGGGGATGTCAAACCTCGTCTACTGCAAGTACAACTAGTATTAACTATTTGTATATCTTGAGAAGCTATAATGTTGCGTATCAATTACACCTACACTGAAATCTTCCCCTCGCGCGCTGCAATAACTACATAGAGACGGCAACCAATTTCCTTTGTCGTATCCTACCGATTGCACTTCAGCTACAATATATAAATAAATTAAGATACAATCAATGCATTAAAAAGCTCTTGGTGTATGTATCAGTAGGTACTAAGAATGCAAAAGCAGTACATAAAAAAGTATTATGTTGATGCATCACTCAGCTTTGCTTTTGCGACGCTGTGTCGTAATAATTAACGCTTCCTTTAAAATTAGTCGCAAGATTGCGATTTATTGAGCATGACTATGGTAAGCTTGAGTATGTAGCTATCTATTTACATGCCACTAAACTTGGTCCGATCAGGTCAAGCTTATATAATAAACATCGTCATGGTTTAGTAGGAAAAGTAGCGTCTAACAAGCCTTTTCATATCAAAGATCCAAGTAGGAGAAAAAGGAAGGTTGCAAATATTTCAAGACATGAGTTAGTAAGCTTTCCAATTATCAAGAATTCGATCGTCAGACACTCAAGTAAAGTGAAACAGAGACAAGTCGATTTCCTACTAGCACGCTATCCTTACGCGTTACGAGAAGAGTGTTTGCTAGACTAGATTGCAAAATTGTAGAGGAGAAAAAAGACGTGATCTGGGATCAGTATCAAAGGATCAAAGATCCTCATCGAACGACCATAAATGTAAAAAAAATTGAGCAGATTTTCCCATCGCTGTTGTAGATAAAACTGGCCAAGAAAATGATACACGTGGCATGAGCTCTGCTTTATCTCCGAAAGAAGAAATATTTGTCGCAGAACAAGATACACATAATTGTTTATTGGCCAAAAGCGTGACGTGCAAAGCAATTTGTGCATGCATAAATGTTTATAGTAAGTACTTCAAGAGCATGGAAGCCAGTTCTTATCAAAATTTGTTGGCTACTGTAAACACAAAGGTATTGGTGCGATAAATCAATCGGTATCAAAGTTATGGCTCTAGTAATAATATGAATCCTAAACTTGTAGTGATCCCATCTCAAGATGAAATCGATCCCATCTATACAAGATGAGACAGTATTGCGATCGGTTTTTCAATCTTGTTGACAATAAAGATACATGGCTTCAAGTATTTTATGAAGGAACGCGTGACCATGCAGGGTATGATTAATATCCTACCTGTTCACTTTATATTTTCCTTCGTATCACCTACCCAAACCACTCTGTTTCACCCAGGCCCGACTCAATGCGTATTTCTGCTCTTTCAGTCGGAGTAGTGTTGGCCAGCCTTGTGGCGGTCGCGAATGCTGGGTGCCCTAAATCTCCAAACGTCCGCGACTCGCCGCCATGTGGAGCTACTGTTGTGGATCAGAGCGGCAAATATCCAGGAAGTTACCAGACTATTACGGAGGCCATAGATAGCCTGTCGCCAACGTCCAATGCTTCTATCTTTATTTTCCCTGGCCTTTTCGAAGAACGCCTTGTCGTTTCAAACAAAGGTCCACTGATAATACAAGGATACACATGTGACATATTGTCCTACTCCGCAAATAGAGTCACAATTACCCATACCATGTCCCAGACGACTCTTCCTACCAATATCATTAAGAACCGCAACGAAGCGACCAGCACGATGAGTCTAAAAACCCCCCTCTTTTCAACTAAATAACCTCAATGTTGTCAATAATGCGGGGAACACAGGCCAGGCATTGGCTGTTTACATTGAATGTGACAAGTGCTCTATTAATGCCTGCAGTTTACAAGGGTATCAGGACACTGTATGCGCCAACAAGGGTCTTATACTCTTTGCTAAGACGCACATCGTTGGTGCCGTCGACTTTATTTTTGGACTTTATGCTGTAGCGTGGTTTGAGTTCTGTGATATTGAGGTTGTTGGTCCAGGCTGTATCACTGCCAACGGCCGAAAAGACGCCCGCAGCCCATCCTTGTTCGTGTTTAACAAGGGGAAAGTGTATGGAAAAAACGAAACTTACCTTGGTCGCCCGTGGCGTGAGTACTCCAGAGCTGTGTTTCAATTCTGCTATCTTGGGCCCATCATCAAACCGGAAGGCTGGCTAGAATGGAACGGCGACCCTAACACTGAAAATGTGTTCTTTAAGGAATTCCAGAACACTGGCGATGGTGCAGCCAGGGACAAACGAGTGAAGTTCAGCGGTGAGCTAACCGAAGCTCTCAAAATTACCGACTACTTCACCTCCGACTTCAGAAACGAGTGGTGTGACAAGAGCTGCTTGTAAAATGCTTCCAGTACAAGCAACTATATTTGCTTGACGTCTCGGTGAAACAGCTTTGAAGTAGAAACTGAATTGAGGATCTGTCTTTTTGTCAGATTTCTACGATTCCTACAGCTTGTTATTCAATAAATGATTTGAATGGCCGAGTCTAACGTGTGCAGCTGATAAAAGCTTTTAATATTTTTAGTAGTGGTAGATCGACGTTTGTGCTGTAGCTCGTCGCTGACCTACGCAGCATATTATGCTAGCTAGCGATATTTTGACCGCCCTGAATAAGCGACCGTAGAACACGAACTTTGTCTACGCAAAAAAAACAGGTACACATAACGCGTGTAATCAGGACGCAAGAATGTCGTTCAGCAACCTCACTACTACCACCTTAGCGATCCCCCAGTCTTAACAAGTGGACCTTAGCAGCGGGTTGCAGTCCTGCTGCATCTTTTGGTGGTGGAGATTTGCAACTACTCCTTCATAGCGCTCTCAGCAGCAACACCAAACATTGCCTCAAATTCAGTATGCTGCAATTAAGATCTAGCTTATGGTCGTGCATGCTAAGAAGCAAGGCTTTTCTCTTAGACGAGGCTTTGCGAACGCAAGCAGACGAACTCTTTGCGATTACTACGCTGTCCTGGATTCAATATGACGAGTTCTTTTATGACGAATTCGGCTTGCTAGACGTCACCAATCACAGTTAACTTGCGTTGATATAATGAAGCTTCCCGACAATATCGACCTCCACGACATTTTTACGATGAATAATTGGATCCAACTACATCAACTGATGCATCGAGTACTTGCTCTAGCATCATCCCGTCAGATTGCAACGTGATGATTTTCGGACTAAAAAGACGCAACGTTGGGTCCTCTTTCAGCGCTGTATTCAACTGTTGCAACATGGCATCGGACAGATCCGAAGCAGTGATACGAATCCCCGTCGGAAGAGTGAGAAATCGACGTGCAAACTCAAAGCTTAGAATACCGGGGCCACAGCCAACGTCTAGGAAGTGAAAAGGGTCACCAGAATTCTTCATTTCGTGCTGCTGAAGCTTTTCGAGGATAATATGATACGCAATTTGTAGCGAATCGACAGCCCAGCGAGCAGTTAAAGAACCGAAGATAGAACTGTAAGTCTTGGCATGTGCAGACCACTGTGCATCCGTACAGGCTTTCTCCATCATGCGTAGTCCAGTCAAATACCTGTCGTAGGTGGATTGTGCTTGATTAATCAGTTTGTACAATTGCTCGAATTTCACAACAGAAAGATTTCGGATTGACACACGTGTCCTATATAAGCGTGCTTCTTTTAAAATTAGTCGCAAGATATAAGTTTATGGTAAAATGAGTATGTAGCTATGTATTTAGCTTATATAATATACATCGTCATGGTTTAGTAGGAAAAGTAGCGTCTAACAAGCCTTTTCATATCAAAGATCCAAGTAGGAGAAAAAGGAAGGTTGCAAATATTTCAAGACATGAGTTAGTAAGCTTTCCAATTATCAAGAATTCGATCGTCAGACACTCAAGTAAAGTGAAACAGAGACAAGTCGATTTCCTACTAGCACGCTATCCTTACGCGTTACGAGAAGAGTGTTTGCTAGACTAGATTGCAAAATTGTAGAGGAGAAAAAAGACGTGATCTGGGATCAGTATCAAAGGATCAAAGATCCTCATCGAACGACCATAAATGTAAAAAAAAATTGAGCAGATTTTCCCATCGCTGTTGTAGATAAAACTGGCCAAGAAAATGATACACGTGGCATGAGCTCTGCTTTATCTCCGAAAGAAGAAATATTTGTCGCAGAACAAGATACACATAATTGTTTATTGGCCAAAAGCGTGACGTGCAAAGCAATTTGTGCATGCATAAATGTTTATAGTAAGTACTTCAAGAGCATGGAAGCCAGTTCTTATCAAAATTTGTTGGCTACTGTAAACACAAAGGTATTGGTGCGATAAATCAATCGGTATCAAAGTTATGGCTCTAGTAATAATATGAATCCTAAACTTGTAGTGATCCCATCTCAAGATGAAATCGATCCCATCTATACAAGATGAGACAGTATTGCGATCGGTTTTTCAATCTTGTTGACAATAAAGATACATGGCTTCAAGTATTTTATGAAGGAACGCGTGACCATGCAGGGTATGATTAATATCCTACCTGTTCACTTTATATTTTCCTTCGTATCACCTACCCAAACCACTCTGTTTCACCCAGGCCCGACTCAATGCGTATTTCTGCTCTTTCAGTCGGAGTAGTGTTGGCCAGCCTTGTGGCGGTCGCGAATGCTGGGTGCCCTAAATCTCCAAACGTCCGCGACTCGCCGCCATGTGGAGCTACTGTTGTGGATCAGAGCGGCAAATATCCAGGAAGTTACCAGACTATTACGGAGGCCATAGATAGCCTGTCGCCAACGTCCAATGCTTCTATCTTTATTTTCCCTGGCCTTTTCGAAGAACGCCTTGTCGTTTCAAACAAAGGTCCACTGATAATACAAGGATACACATGTGACATATTGTCCTACTCCGCAAATAGAGTCACAATTACCCATACCATGTCCCAGACGACTCTTCCTACCAATATCATTAAGAACCGCAACGAAGCGACCAGCACGATGAGTCTAAAAACCCCCTCTTTTCAACTAAATAACCTCAATGTTGTCAATAATGCGGGGAACACAGGCCAGGCATTGGCTGTTTACATTGAATGTGACAAGTGCTCTATTAATGCCTGCAGTTTACAAGGGTATCAGGACACTGTATGCGCCAACAAGGGTCTTATACTCTTTGCTAAGACGCACATCGTTGGTGCCGTCGACTTTATTTTTGGACTTTATGCTGTAGCGTGGTTTGAGTTCTGTGATATTGAGGTTGTTGGTCCAGGCTGTATCACTGCCAACGGCCGAAAAGACGCCCGCAGCCCATCCTTGTTCGTGTTTAACAAGGGGAAAGTGTATGGAAAAAACGAAACTTACCTTGGTCGCCCGTGGCGTGAGTACTCCAGAGCTGTGTTTCAATTCTGCTATCTTGGGCCCATCATCAAACCGGAAGGCTGGCTAGAATGGAACGGCGACCCTAACACTGAAAATGTGTTCTTTAAGGAATTCCAGAACACTGGCGATGGTGCAGCCAGGGACAAACGAGTGAAGTTCAGCGGTGAGCTAACCGAAGCTCTCAAAATTACCGACTACTTCACCTCCGACTTCAGAAACGAGTGGTGTGACAAGAGCTGCTTGTAAAATGCTTCCAGTACAAGCAACTATATTTGCTTGACGTCTCGGTGAAACAGCTTTGAAGTAGAAACTGAATTGAGGATCTGTCTTTTTGTCAGATTTCTACGATTCCTACAGCTTGTTATTCAATAAATGATTTGAATGGCCGAGTCTAACGTGTGCAGCTGATAAAAGCTTTTAATATTTTTAGTAGTGGTAGATCGACGTTTGTGCTGTAGCTCGTCGCTGACCTACGCAGCATATTATGCTAGCTAGCGATATTTTGACCGCCCTGAATAAGCGACCGTAGAACACGAACTTTGTCTACGCAAAAAAAACAGGTACACATAACGCGTGTAATCAGGACGCAAGAATGTCGTTCAGCAACCTCACTACTACCACCTTAGCGATCCCCCAGTCTTAACAAGTGGACCTTAGCAGCGGGTTGCAGTCCTGCTGCATCTTTTGGTGGTGGAGATTTGCAACTACTCCTTCATAGCGCTCTCAGCAGCAACACCAAACATTGCCTCAAATTCAGTATGCTGCAATTAAGATCTAGCTTATGGTCGTGCATGCTAAGAAGCAAGGCTTTTCTCTTAGACGAGGCTTTGCGAACGCAAGCAGACGAACTCTTTGCGATTACTACGCTGTCCTGGATTCAATATGACGAGTTCTTTTATGACGAATTCGGCTTGCTAGACGTCACCAATCACAGTTAACTTGCGTTGATATAATGAAGCTTCCCGACAATATCGACCTCCACGACATTTTTACGATGAATAATTGGATCCAACTACATCAACTGATGCATCGAGTACTTGCTCTAGCATCATCCCGTCAGATTGCAACGTGATGATTTTCGGACTAAAAAGACGCAACGTTGGGTCCTCTTTCAGCGCTGTATTCAACTGTTGCAACATGGCATCGGACAGATCCGAAGCAGTGATACGAATCCCCGTCGGAAGAGTGAGAAATCGACGTGCAAACTCAAAGCTTAGAATACCGGGGCCACAGCCAACGTCTAGGAAGTGAAAAGGGTCACCAGAATTCTTCATTTCGTGCTGCTGAAGCTTTTCGAGGATAATATGATACGCAATTTGTAGCGAATCGACAGCCCAGCGAGCAGTTAAAGAACCGAAGATAGAACTGTAAGTCTTGGCATGTGCAGACCACTGTGCATCCGTACAGGCTTTCTCCATCATGCGTAGTCCAGTCAAATACCTGTCGTAGGTGGATTGTGCTTGATTAATCAATTTGTACGATTGCTCGAATTTCACAACAGAAAGATTTCGGATTGGAATACAAGACCGGTAATGTCATCAATACTAATGCCGTTTATTTTGGTTGTTTTGGTAGCGTACGCGTCATTTTTATGTCCTTCTCACTAGATTTTCAAGACCTCGAAACATATGGTATAAACTTAACACACGGCAATGGGCAGCTGAAACCTATTTTAGATTTGATAATGATTCGAAAGACAAATAATACTGGAGAGGACATTTAATGAATAAGCCTAACAAATTATAATAGTTAAAAGAATGTGGTAAAAACAGGAAAATACGAACGAATTGACTTAAAATGCTTGTCTTCTGCACCCCTAGCCACCTTTTCCGTTTCTTTCGGTTCAGTATATCACTTGGTTTCACTATACTTGCGTCTTTCAAGCGACTTACCGAGCACTTCGTTCGCTTTTTTCTCACTTCAGACTCAAATTAACGAAACACAAGAACAACATCATTGTTACGTGTAACTATAAACCCACATAACTACATGGGAGTCAGTCGCGTCGTCAAGACCGCCGTACGAGAAGAGTTTGTGTCATCGACACTGTCCATTGAACAGCAGACTATCCCTACACCTCGTACGTTTACATTCTCTTTCAATTTCTTCCATCCTCGTTGTATTCTTACCATTATATTGTCATTCGTGTATATTTACAGTGATCATACTTGACTGGGATGACACAATTCTGCCAAGCACGCATCTGGCCAAACTTGGATTCTCATCAGAGGATGAAGACTTTGAACTCCCTTGTGAATGTATGCCTATGCTGGCGGAGCTCGCTAAGGAAGTGGAGAACTTTCTTACAGCCTGTCTAAAGATAGGCACGTGTTGCATCGTTACGAATGGCCTTACCGGATGGGTCCAGCGCTCGTGCCAGCGCTTCCTGCCCAATGTGGTGCCACTGCTGGAGCATATGTCTGTTATATCTGCTCGCTCCAACTTTGAGAGTATGTTTCCAAATCGCCCTATTGAGTGGAAGATAGCTGTGTACCGCGATGTGCTAGCTAAACGGGGCTTTATGGAGGTACCTCCTGTGGAGACACACGATGTATACGTCCAGCAGCAACAGTGTGTACCACAGCAAGTGATCGCTCTAGGAGACTCACAGGTCGACCGCTGCGCTATTCAGTACGTAGCAAGGCACACGCCCAACACGCAGCTCAAGTCAATCAAGCTGCTGGACAACCCTAACATGACGCAGCTGCAGGAAGCAGTTGAACCTGCTAGGCGTCTTCCTCGTACAGCTCAGTGGTCACGACGAGACACTTGATCTCGAGTTGTCCAAGGAGATGCTGCAGTAAGCGGCGACCAGTCAGTCTCTATATATATATATATATATATATATATCTAAAAGCCCAACAAGTAAGTAGTACTGAGACGACGTCACAGTAACTGTGACACCACATATTTTATTACAATTTAGTAAACCTACGATGTGTACAATACAACTCACTATTATGAATTCATTGTGTGTTCTACGTGTAATACTGCTATTTGAACATATCTGTCTTACTGCGCCACAGATGCTGGCATTACGTACTGTCTGTCGCATGCCTCGAAAAATGGCAAACTTAGCTTGCATTCGATAAATGCCAGCGTTCCTATGTCAGTTCCGCCAACGAGTGTGATGCACAATGCACGACAAAGCCATTTAGTTTTATGATCGCGACAGGTCTTCTGTTTACGCCGTGCAATTATGCGAAGCCTAGAGTTGATAGCTCAAGCACTGCCGGTATTGATTCACTTATTGGATGAGCCACAGAACCGGTGCTGTTCCAATTTGGAAGTAGCACGATGAGGAGTGCTGGACCCAAAGCGTTATGTGCACAGTTGATTGATGTTGATCGTAAGGCAGCAGGATTGTCGCATTTACACTTAGCAGAGTCAACGATGACACCAAGATTTGGCCTAGCTTATTTGTCGGTCTGTGCTATAAATGAACAGGCATCGCTACGATGTAAATAGCAACAGAAGTGGAAAGGATCTCAGCAGCTGAAACAACAGCCAACGACCGTTTTCGGCCTCCGCGACAGCTACAATATGTGGAATCAAAGCAAGCGCCACTGACCGCTATGTCACAGCTATGCTCGATGCCTCAGCATCTAGTGCAACGAATTGCATCAGTCCTTATGATTACGAGTTTGATCATCTTGAGCACGGCTGCAGCTTCTTCCCTCCTTTAGTCCAGTAGAAATGGCCGATAGTTGACGAAATGCATTGACACAAGTGCATATTTGAGCGTAAATGCAGATAATCAAGTTGTATAGTCAATACTCTAAGATTTATAAAACTCGCAACTATGTAGTGCACCAAAGCTGTTTTTATTCATCGTCGGGAAGCTTCATTATATCAACGCAAGTTAACTGTGATTGGTGACGTCTAGCAAGCCGAATTCGTCATAAAAGAACTCGTCATATTGAATCCAGGACAGCGTAGTAATCGCAAAGAGTTCGTCTGCTTGCGTTCGCAAAGCCTCGTCTAAGAGAAAAGCCTTGCTTCTTAGCATGCACGACCATAAGCTAGATCTTAATTGCAGCATACTGAATTTGAGGCAATGTTTGGTGTTGCTGCTGAGAGCGCTATGAAGGAGTAGTTGCAAATCTCCACCACCAAAAGATGCAGCAGGACTGCAACCCGCTGCTAAGGTCCACTTGTTAAGACTGGGGGATCGCTAAGGTGGTAGTAGTGAGGTTGCTGAACGACATTCTTGCGTCCTGATTACACGCGTTATGTGTACCTGTTTTTTTTGCGTAGACAAAGTTCGTGTTCTACGGTCGCTTATTCAGGGCGGTCAAAATATCGCTAGCTAGCATAGTATGCTGCGTCGGTCAGCGACGAGCTACCGCACAAACGTCGATCTACCACTACTAAAAATATTAAAAGCTTTTATCAGCTGCACACGTTAGACTCGGCCATTCAAATCATTTATTGAATAACAAGCTGTAGGAATCGTAGAAATCTGACAGAAAGACAGATCCTCAATTCAGTTTCTACTTCAAAGCTGTTTCACCGAGACGTCAAGCAAATATAGTTGCTTGTACTGGAAGCATTTTACAAGCAGCTCTTGTCACACCATTCGTTTCTGAAGTCGGAGGTGAAGTAGTCAGTAATTTTGAGAGCTTCGGTTAGCTCACCGCTGAACTTCACTCGTTTGTCCCTGGCTGCACCAACGCCAGTGTTCTGGAATTCCTTAAAGAACACATTTTCAGTGTTAGGGTCGCCGTTCCATTCTAGCCAGCCTTCCGGGTTGATGATGGGCCCAAGATAGCAGAATTGAAACACAGCTTTGGAGTACTCACTCCACGGGCGACCAAGGTAAGTTTCTTTTTTTCCGTAATTGCCATACACTTTCCCCTTGTTAAACACGAACAAGGATGGGCTGCGGGCGTCTTGTCGGCCGTTGGCAGTGATAGTGCCTGGACCAACAGCCTCAATATCACAGAGCTCAAACCACGCTACAGCATACTTTCCAAAAATAAAGTCGACGGCACCAACGATGTGCGTCTTAGCAAAGAGTATAAGACCCTTGTTGGCGCATACAGTGTCCTGATACCCTTGTAAACTGCAGGCATTAATAGAGCACTTGTCACATTCAATGTAAACAGCCAATGCCTGGCCTGTGTTTCCCGCATTATTGACAACATTGAGGTTATTTAGTTGAAAAGAGGGGGTTTTTAGACTCATCGTGCTGGTCGCTTCGTTGCGGTTCTTAATGATATTGGTAGGAAGAGTCGTCTGGGACATGGTATGGGTAATTGTGACTTTATTTGCGGAGTAGGACAATATGTCACATGTGTATCCTTGTATTATCAGTGGACCTTTGTTTGAAACGACAAGGCGTTCTTTGAAAAGGCCAGGGAAAATAAAGATAGAAGCATTGGACGTTGACGACAGGCTATCTATGGCCTCCGTAATAGTCTGGTAACTTCCTGGATATTTGCCGCTCTGATCCACAACAGTAGCTCCAGATGGCGGCGAGTTGCGGGCGTGTGGAGATAATTCAGGGCACCGAGCATTCGCGACCGCCACAAGGCTGGCCAACACTACTCCGACTGAAAGAGCAGAAATACGCATTGATTCAGGCCCGGGTGAAACAGAGTAGTTGGAGTTGATGGTACGAGGTAAAATTGGAAGTGAGCAGGATCTTATCGATGACCATTCATTCCTTCACAAAATACGTGGAGCCACGAATGTTTACTGTTAACTAAATTGAATAACTGGTTGCGCAGGACTGGAGTTGTCTCATTATATTGTTAGGGGATCGATTTCATCTTGAGATGGGATCACTACATGCTTAGGTTGTTTTGGTCAGAAAAAAGACATTTGCTTTTTGAGACATACTCTTGAAACAACTATAAGAAATGTGGGTTAAGGTGTTGTTGGCAACGACTTGTGTCAACAGAGCTCAAGTGTGATTAGAGATTACCACTAGCGACGGTGAAATTAGTGACAACGTCTGTGTGAATGTCAACGGAGCTGCCATTCGTCTCCTGCTTCTACAGTGATGATTGAGGTTTCGGTGGTGGATGAGTGACTCGGACGGATGTGGATAGTAAAAAGCGGTGGTACATCGATCAAATCGAGCAGAATTGCCGGACAGACCTTTCTACTCATGGTGGTGAAGCTGCAGCTGCGTACGTCATCGATGGCGACGACCCCGATGGGCAGCAGCCACTATCCCTGAAGCAGGGTGCAATATGAACTATGGGCTTAGGAATTTGTGACGACACCTTCTCATACGACGCCACCCGTCCCAATATGGGGTTGTTAATGTAGGGCAAGCTTGTTGCATCTTTAGCCAGACAACGAGCAATGCATGCCTACGTTTTCCTAAAGACAAGAAGTGCCGATACTTCTTGAATCCTGAACTTATCAGTCTGGGCGTTGCTCAGCCTTTCTGATCCAGACTTACGAGGGAGAAGGTCAAAGAAAGCAATATTATGCGAAATGTTCGACTCGAAATATTGGATTGCGGACAAGAGACATGAGAAGCTTATCCTTGGTACTGAGGCCATCTGCAAACCCTGATGCGAGCTGTCTTCTATGCTTTGAAGTTCATTGTTAACATTTATGCGAAAACATGGTTGCACGAATTGCTTCGCACGTCACGGTTTTGGCCAATAAACAATTATGTGTATCTTGTTCTGCGACAAATATTTCTTCTTTCGGAGATAAAGCAGAGCTCATGCCACGTGTATCATTTTCTTGGCCAGTTTTATCTACAACAGCGATGGGAAAATCTGCTCAATTTTTTTTACATTATGGTCGTTCGATGAGGATCTTTGATCCCTTGATACTGATCCCAGATCACGTCTTTTTTCTCCTCTACAATTTTGCAATCTAGTCTAGCAAACACTCTTCTCGTAACGCGTAAGGATAGCGTGCTAGTAGGAAATCGACTTGTCTCTGTTTCACTTTACTTGAGTGTCTGACGATCGAATTCTTGATAATAGGAAAGCTTACTAACTCATGTCTTGAAACATTTGCAACCTTCCTCTTTTCTCCTACTTGGATCTTTGATATGAAAGGGCATGTTAGACGCTACTTTTCCGACTAAACCATGACGATGTATATTATATAAGCTAAATACATAGCTACATACTCATTTTACCATAAACTTATATCTTGCGACTAATTTTAAAAGAAGCACGCTTATATAGGACACGTGTGTCAATCCGAAATCTTTCTGTTGTGAAATTCGAGCAATTGTACAAACTGATTAATCAAGCACAATCCACCTACGACAGGTATTTGACTGGACTACGCATGATGGAGAAAGCCTGTACGGATGCACAGTGGTCTGCACATGCCAAGACTTACAGTTCTATCTTCGGTTCTTTAACTGCTCGCTGGGCTGTCGATTCGCTACAAATTGCGTGTCATAATATCCTCGAGAAGCTTCAGCAGCACGAAATGAAGAATTCTGGTGACCCTTTTCACTTCCTAGACGTTGGCTGTGGCCCCGGTATTCTAAGCTTTGAGTTTGCACGTCGATTTCTCACTCTTCCGACGGGGATTCGTATCACTGCTTCGGATCTGTCCGATGCCATGTTGCAACAGTTGAATACAGCGCTGAAAGAGGACCCAACGTTGCGTCTTTTTAGTCCGAAAATCACCACGTTGCAATCTGACGGGATGATGCTAGAGCAAGTACTCGATGCATCAGTTGATGTAGTTGGATCCAACTTTGGATTAGGCATTTTTCCCAATCGCACCAAAGGATGGGCGACAGCTTGTCGTGTTCTAAAAGAAGACGGCCTCTTGGTCGTCACGATGTGGAGTGATCAAAGTTCGCAGATGGTCTGGTTTAATCAGATCACAGACATGTTCAATGCTATCGGAGCTGAAGGAGACCCGCTAGTAAATTTGTCATTGCTCGACGAGACGGATCGAGAGAGAGTGCTGGAGGAGCTACAAGCTGCAGGATTCAGAGATGTCAAGGTGTACCGTACGACGCACACAATCGTGTTCGATGATCCGAAGGCGGTTGTGCAAGCAAACATGAGCAACCCTTTTGCAGCCAAATACTTGGAAAGGCTGACGAAGGAGCAGATGAAAACGACTCTGACCGAGCTGATGGAAAAAGATGCTCAAGAAAACGTTTGGCAGAAAGAAGGACCTTCTACGACGGAGAGTGCGAATCCGTTCTCTGATGGGTGTCCACGTTTGATCCCCTTTACAGCGTACACTATCGTCGCGCGCAAGTCAAGTGGCAATTGAAAACTACGGTTTGTATAACACCAATGCTTTCATTCCGTATGTATTGCGAAGCAAGTAAAACTTGGAAAGTTTCGACTATACGAAGGAGGCAAACTTTAGTTTTAATTGCAAGAGCGCTTAGTACAAGTAGATTGGCACATATTGAACAAATCAATTAGCCTATACGTGCAATTGTTTTGATGAATTTGGTAGCAAAACTATTTTTAACCTGAAAACTTTGTTGAAACAAAAAACTGAGGATAAAAAGGAATTAGGTTTTCAGACATAACCATTTCGCAGATGTAACGTACAACCAAGTCAAATTCTAAGAAAGAATATTGCAAAAAATTATTCCAATTAAGAGACAAGATTCTCTAATTCTCCTTCTCCCATGCGCCTACGTATTGGGTCATCCTTCAATCGATGGCTTCTCCAGCTTCAAATTTCTCGAATTCTTGCACTTCATCCATGGGGTCTTCTTGCATCTCTCTTGCGCATTCCTAGTCGTCTCTTGGATGAAGTAACAACTTGTCATCATCGCTATTTAGACCGAGCAGCAGCTGCAGTAACACAGAATCCCGTCTTGTTTCCAAATGGTTTTTTCTCTGACGGTTGGGGAGATTTAACTACTCCAACACGGATACAAGAATTATTACAAAGTCAACGAATGAATCAAGTGGTACTTTTGCAACAGGATGAATTGAATTGGGGAAAAGTGAATGAATTAACAGTGGCAAAAGTGGCATTGAGACAAGGTACATTTAAAAGTACATTGCTAAATGCAAAGCAATTTTTGCCTGTGGAAAGTCTCGATGGATTTTGTGAATTAATTACTCCATTGAAATGGGAACGCAAAGATGCTCAGATTCCACAAGGAACAAAAGATAGACCTCTTGTAGGTACGTCACGTGTACATTTAAAAGCAAAAATAGGTAGTTACATAATAGGTAGTAACAATGAGCATGAAACATAGTACTACTACCCGGGACAGGAGAACATGGATTTTTGCATCGAAGAACATCTGTTGCTATTCCTCTGGCAAAACAAGGCGTTGCGACGTTGGTATGTGTTGGATTTAGCTACAGAAAGTGTTTACAAAGACAGTGAAATTCAAATCTTAATTCTAACACTGTATTTTGAGTGTTATGGATAGATTCTAGAAGGACCTTTTTACGGAAAACGCAAACCACCTCATCAAAAAGGATCCAAGCTGCAAAGGTAGTAGCAGACAATGTTTGGATTGATTTCGTATTCGGTGTTGCCAAGATATTGAGTGGTTCTACTTTTGTGCTCTATTTTTAGGGTAAGTGACCTGCCAATTCTTGGTCAAGCGACAATCGAGGAAGCCAAGTCCTTGTTACAATACTTTCATGATCATTACGGGTTCTCGCAACTAGTGGTCGCAGGTAACAGCATGGGTGGACTGCACGCTGCTATGGTTGCGTCTGTGTTTCCTGGGGACGTGGGTGTTACAGCATGGTTGGCCCCGCCTTCCGCTGTTCCTGTATTTGCAGATGGTTTGCTTTCTGGGTTCTGCAATTGGCGCTCGCTTTACAAACAACACGAACTGCAGATGCTAGACAAAATGCTCGCAGGGTACGCCGTAGCTGAGTCGTACGAAAAAAAGCAGGACGACGGTGATATCACTCATGCTGAGGAATATCGGGCTAAAGCGTCCAACGTAAAACTGGATTCAGTTCAAGAAGCCAAGAAACGCATGAGGCTATTTCTATCGATCACAGATATCGACAACTTTTTACCTCCCCGACGTTCGGACGCCGTTGTCTTCGTTTACGGTACTGAAGACGAGTATATTGGTTTTGCTGAGCCTCAGTGGGCGGTACGTTTTGTTTAAGTTTCAACTCGTGCTTTAATGCTTTTTGCTGCTGTTGTGCGTTAAAGTATTGACTTATCATACTCTGCATGATCTTCAATTCAGCATATGCGTGAGCATTGGCGACCAGCAAGCTTTAGAACGATCAAAACAGGCCACGTCAGTGGTATTTTGTTAGAGCAAGCAGCATACCGTAAAACGATTTTAGAGGTTATCGATTTGCTGAAGCACGGATGCACAGTAGCAGGGTCCTCGTCGGATGCTAATGTTTCCGGCGTGAAATAAGCCTTCAAGGCATCAAGTATAACCAGTCGACACTATAATATTTTAAGTTTCTGCAATTAGCCGCCGTCAGGTCTATAGGTATTTCGAAGCATCATACATTTAATCTGGAGTGTACGTATATTCGAGGCATGAACCTGCCATGCATGCATGCATTCACTCATGAAGACAGCAGACGATTATGTCCTGGTACGTGCTCATAACGGTACGAAGCTCGCCACGAGATAAATTTTCGCGCCACATGATTTCTTCAATATGGTGTTCTCCGTGAAAATACACACATAGCCGCTTAAAAAGCGTAAACACTGGATTGGGTTTAGCAATCTTAGCCAAATACGCACGCTCTTGATCTGTGAATAGCAACTGACTAGCTACGCTAACAACTTGTGCCAGCGGCACAGTGCTGCCTCTATGTCGTTCTACTGCAGGATTTCTGTCCAATGGTGCCGTTGGAGGTGACGGCAACGCCAAACTAGCTGGATTCATAGGTGGTGTTGGAGCTATTGGCACGCTTCCAGGTGCGCTGGTGTTAGTAAGGCTACTATTGACCCGTTGGCGACGAAAGCTGGAAGTCATCAATGCAGAAGAGGAACTACCAATCGAAGACGCGCCTTCATTGCCAAGCTCAGCTGCATATTCTCCATCCGATGGGATCATAAAATAGATGTAACGGTGGAGCTGTACAATAAATCGTTGCTGCAGTAACCAAATCAGCATATGAATGTACTCATTTTTCTTGATTGTAGACAAAGTCTTCATGTATTCACCAATGCGACGAGTTCCAGAAAACGTAGATAACACTTCTCCTATTTCATAGGGCGCAAACTTTCGCCGGAACTCCAGCGCCAGCGGTGACTTAATATTCAAGTCTGATTTCGTATTGACCTGATAAATGTTGTATAATGTAATAGCGTCCACGATACGCCCGAACCCCCAATAGACAAGATGTGCTGATAGACGAAACACTTGATGAATAGGCACCCCGGTCTCAAAGGCAATATCTTGAAAACTCTTCAGCGGATTCACAGCCTCCACCAGGTCTCGAAGTTGTCGTGCATGATCTGCAGGCAGCTTATTCAGAATATTACTTTTGTCAGAAAGTAGCAGCAACGTATGATACGGACGCAAACTCGCCATTCTAATCGTTACAGCATCCGTAAGTGTCAGTGACAATTTTACCCATCCATTCAACACAACATGCGCAGCTCCAAATTCTTCCAGTCCATAAAATACTCGCTTCAAATCATTTGCTAACACACTTTTTTCCAGTGAAATATCGATCAATGTCTGCGGATCTACATCCACAATTGTCGACCCACTCTCTCCATCCTTCCTATGGTGATGGTGATGCAACAGACTTGCTCCACTATTTCCGTTATTGCCTCCTCCAGTATTATTTGAAATACTGTTGCCACTTGTTGTACCCGATGTAACTGCAGTACTCATGCTTGATCCACTCGTACCACCTGATATTCCCGTATTATTGTTTCCTGCATTACGTTCACTTTGCGCCAGTTCATCTCGCAATTGCAACAGTTCTCGCACTTCTTTTGACACAAAACGAACACGAAGTTCTTCATGCAAAAGACCATTCGACAATTGAGCTGCTACTGTATGAAAAGCTTGAGCACTACTTCTTCTTTTTCTTCTGCTATCAAGAAGCTCTTCCTCGTCTGCTCGCTGTAGTGGCAATAATTGAGTATCACTCCCTCCATCCAAGCCATCAGTACTTCTTGACCTTTGTAAAGGATGATCTTCTAATGCAAAAATGACATTAAACATGGTAGTTTCGTTTCCAAACGTGACGGTCGAACCTGTCGTTGATTGCTCGTTAACTGTAGGTGGTGCTCCGATCACCGAAGTTGACCCATTACAGGATGTCAAAGCATTTCCTAAAACACCATCTGCTGGTACTGGAGCTGGTAGACGATGTGATACGAGTACTGGATGACTTACAAAGCGTAAATCATCGACCACAAGTTCCAAACTGGCATTACATAACGCATTTTTAGGTCGAAAGAGTTTAGCTAATAAAGGGGCTGGAAGTGTGTGGAAACTCGATGCATTTGTACAAGGAGGAGAAGGATAACGAAATGCCAAGTTACAACCTTTACTTATATCGTCTACTACAAGTGCAATACCCAAGAGATGACACCCATCGTCGGGTATGGTAGTGGTATTCATGTGACACACAACTGTAGGAGAAGAAACTGCTTTTCTACAAGTTTGAAATGTACGTTGTAGAAAAAACGGTTCTGTCAGCTTTTGACAAAAACGGTATCTTCAGTTTCACAATGACAAATTACTGGCAGTTTTTACATTGAATTAGAGATGTATTTTACTCAAATTTCAGCTTTCTCTATTTTTTGACCCATTTTCAAATATCCAATAATAACCAAAATATTATCCAATGTCATCCAAACATCATTCGCAGTCTAGTAGCTCTTCCTTCGGGCTGCATGGAAGCTTCTATCGGGTCTTCTGCAGTCCTTACTGAGCTACATACCACAGACTCATCCTTTTCAATTGTACAAGATCAAATAAGCAGCAGTGACAGCAGCAATGACGACGATCTCGTCCAAGAAGCGATCAAAAACAAGCAAAAAATCCATAAAACATCTGATAATTTCACATTTTCCTCATTGCCACGCAGCTATAGTCTCGGATTTGAGCCTCGACGAGCTTATATCGACTATAAATACCCGTGTCTATTGTCTACAAGTGACGACGTTAGGATGGCGAGTGTGGACGTGTTGGAATCAGAACAATCGGCGCAGAATTCGACTCTGAAACCACGTGACATTGGCGTACAGGAACATGAGGCTTTAAGGCGTAATCAGTCATTTTCTATCGACTCGAAGCTTACATTAGACTCTTCTGTGTCTACTTTAGGAACGGAAATGCTGTCTACAGCTGAAATGAAGTCTCTACAAGTTACTGAGAGAGCGATGCACAAACCTCGTACAATTCCTGAACTTTTGGCTGTTACAATTGACCCAAAGACTTTTACAACTGAAAAAAGAGACAAGAGACTGGTACTGTATACGTGGATGCTGACTCAAGTGGGGCAGAAAACCAAGAAGAAACTTGGCGAGCTAAGGAATTCGTACTTTGCCAGTGGACTCGTAACTTGTTCACTCTTTTTAGTGCTTTTAAATGCATTTGCTATTGTTATTATGAAGTTGAGTTACTACTCAAAAGACGTGGAGGATGACAGGCAACAAGAGTGCAGGCATTGGCTTGAACTGCTTATGACGATGCATTTCTTAGGTCTCCCGACTATTGTACTCATTGCTCCTGTCGTATTCCCGAATACGTTTTTTGCACTGTACAGGATAAAGGATAATCGCATGATTCGATGCCCGTATTTGCTGTTTTGCGAGATGATCGTGACATTTCAGCTTGGATATATGATATATGTTGCAGTGAATCAGTTGCTAAACGTGCCGGTGATTGTTAAATGCCACAATGCACTCCAACTCCGACAGACTCTCCTATTCTATTCAGCGACAGTCGTATGGCTCGTACTTTTCCGTCAGATTGTCATTTTCTGCCGCTTTCTGACGCATTTAAAGCTGCAGGCAGACAGATCCAACGATTCTTCACATACATCAGGACTAGGAATCTGGTGTAAAGCGCTGAAGATGCTCTCATACCGAAGAAAAGACACGCAACTTGTGAAGGAATTCAAAAAGCTTCTCTATCAGGCAGTCGCTCGTGGTGATATTCTCGCTGTAGAACGACTGCTGTTGGAAGCGCGGTCCAAATATAAAATCGACCGGATGCAGGATCTTTATAGACCACCGGCACTGTGGTTTTATGCCTTTGCGAAATCAAGAAAAAATCCGCTGCACATCGCCGTTAAGCTGGGAGTAATTCGTATTGTTGAGCTTCTGCTTGACCACGGAATGGATGTAAATGTGCTTAATAAAGTGGTGCGCGTGAATTTCAACAATGGTTTAATATTCAAGATAATCAGCCGCATACTGGTACGTCTATCTGCAAGAACGAGAGCTTTGTAAGGAACTTATTGATGCGTTTGTCTTGTTTGCAGATTCGAACACAAGATGGCCTTCGGTCGCCTTTGAAGACTCTCCTATGTTCAGTGCTGCTCCCACCACTCCATGGTGCTGTTGCGGAAGGCTATGTTGATATCGTCCGCTTACTAATCAGTAAAGGTGCCGATGTAAACGTGTTACCACGGGCGTCATTTTACTACCCAGCAGCAATTCTCCCACCAATATTCATGACAGATGATCCGCAAGTACTGCGCCTACTGGTAGCGTGTGGTGCAAACTTTCTTCACGTGGCGTCTGTATCTCTCACAGGGTTAATTCGTACGTACGCAACGCCGTTGCAACAAAGTACCTTTACCCTGCGATCAGATCTGAGTGACTATCTACTGGAGTGCGGTGGTGATGTCGCGCTGACCCCACTTCACGAAGCATCTGCTACTGATAACGTTGTAAAGATGAAGCGGCTCCTTGCTCGTGGTATTCAGGTCGATACTCTGGGAGAACACGTCGAGGGTGTGCATCGGCGGACGCCATTGCATTGGGCAGCAGTTGTTGGCAAGGTGAACGCTGCTAAGCTATTGCTCAAAGTAGGTGCTGATCCCAACGCGAAGGATCGAGATGGTCGCACACCCTTGCATTGGGCGGCCAGAAACAACCACGACGAGGTGGTATCGTTACTGCTTGCTTACAACGCTCAACCTGACGCTACGGATGATGAAGGCATCCCAGTCGTGTGTTTTGCTGCGGAGGCTGAAGGCGTGGACTCGTCAATCTTTTCTAATCTTGTGGCTGCTGGTGCTAATCTACGGACTCAAGTGTCTGGTGGCAACACTGCGCTGCATATTGCGCTGCAAAAAGAGAATAGACAAACGGCAGTATCGCTGATCAAATGCGGATCGAGTATGATGATTACAAACAATCATGGTAAGCGAGCTGTGGACTGCACAACATCTACCGAGCTACAGTTTTTGCTCAAAAAAGAAGCCGGTGCTCGTAAGATTATGATCTCATACACGCATACACACGCACAATTAGCTTCAAAAGTTCGCGAATATTTGGAATCACACAAGCAACTAACGTGCTGGATGGATACAATGGATCCAAGCGGTATTGGTGGCGGTGCAGTTTGGCGAGAGGAAATTGCACGCGGTATCAACAATTGCTCGCTCGTACTGAGTATTGTGTGCGATGGCTACACTAAATCTGAGTGGTGTTTGAAAGAGCTCGCCCTTGCAAAGCTTCTTTGCAAACCAGGTAATGTACATGCGTTACGTTTTTTGCAAGCACGCTCCTGTGCTTATCCGATGCTAATTTCGAGTGATTATAGTTCTCGCTCTTATTGTGGAGGAAAACCACGCAGCGTCCATGGCATCTTTGGAGGTACGTTATCTACCAGAAGTATTTGGCGATGCAAATGCTTACAAATGTTATTTTTAAGCAGCCGCTTATTCCGTACAAGAATCGAATTCCATTCCACAATTTTGTCATATCCAGACGACGAGAAAGTCCACGCGCAGTTGTTTTCGATATCGATGATGCTGCGTTTGTCAAAAGCTGGCAAGTCGTACGCCCGCTATTGATTTCAATTATGAAGGACGGGCGCCACTTTGGTAAAGAGGAGCGTGATAATGTGGCCTCAATCGTTCCTCGCCAGAGAAGGCATCATCAAAAGATGAAGATGGGTATTGCAGGTGAAGAGAGAGGAGTTGTCAGCACAAGCGACGACGGTACTGTGGCGAGTTCGGACAACATACTTTTGCTCGTATATTCGCCACTTGGTGCTGCGAGCACCCTTCAAGTCAGGGTGAAGACAGACCTGGAAGGCTTTGGATTTCGATGTCGCGTTTTGGAAGAAAATGATCTGGTTGAGCAGTTGCAAGCTTCTCATGGTGTAGTGCTGCTTATTGAAGTACCCTTATCATCGGGTAAAAAGGGACCGGACGAGGCCAAGGCAGATAAATTTGTTCGGAAGCAGCTCATTGCCTTGATGACCCGTATCGTTACAGCAGCGCAGACTATGAACCCGCGGAAAAGTGTGTATCCTGTGCTCGTTCAAAACAACTTTATCGATCTCAGCAAGATGTACACTCTAGCGCGATCAGAGCTGTTCTACTTTGTAGAAGGTGCTGGCTGGTCTCGCAGTGTTGCATGCTTAATAAGTCATCTCCGATTAAAGCAGGAACGAAACCGTTGTAGTAGCGGCGTGAAACTTGTCGCTCCCAGCGCGTAAGCAAAGTGTTTGATTCGACGAAGGGTATGCCGCACATTTGCGAGAGTTGCAAAAGAGCATGTATATGAGTATAGCCACGAAACTTTTTGTTCGCAATCAGGAGAGGCAAGCCACTCGTGTGCTTTAACAAAGTAAATACAGCAGCACGTTTCTATGAACTAGTCCACGCGCTGTCAAGCAATGCTGCTCGTGTAAGAATCACCGCTTTATTTTTCGAAGGCAAGATGACCAATAAGGTCATCTTGCCTTCTTATTGACACGGACGGATGTGCGTTTGGTATGAATCTCATTTGACGCTTCCAAGCTCGATTCCGTTCCTGCCGACGTTTGGTGTGTACGCAGATAATATATGTTTTAACGAGCTCCACTTGTAGCTAAATCGCTCCCATATTCAATTCGTAACTCACGACTTTAGTCCCAAGTCAATACATTCTAGGTTCCACATCGTCACAAGCAATTCCCCATCGAAACATTAGCAAGCACAATTTGCAGAGGTGTACAAACGTGCATTACTATTTTCCTCCTGCGTCTTTGTTGTCCAAAGACCTTCACTCGTCAAGTTTAAAGCCTCCCATTGCCCAATGATCTTTTCATTTTGTGACACAATACTAGTGTCGTGCCGACAGCAAGCATAAGCGATGCTCCTATCGCAGCGTAGATACAAGCGACATAAGAATATGGCAAGCTGTACCATAAATCCAGCGATTCAATCAAAGGTGCTCCAAAGTCCAAGGTCGTACGCTCAGAAAATTATACTGCCATGGTAAAAGGGAACGCCTTCTTATCAATACTGTCACCGAACAGTGAAAGGCATCGTCTAGAGCGCTTTTAGAGCGGTACATATCGGGTCATGACACGTTGTTAATGCACCAAGCTTGAGCTGCTACTCACCTAAAAAATGCCAATGTATCCATAACTTTCGTAATATTTGGCAGCAGGTGTACGTTTCATATAACTCTCTCAGCTGACACATCTTCACGCAACAAGTCCTTTTGGCTAGAAAGAGCCTGGTGTTCTGACATTATGCGCCAGTGCCAATTATTGCCAATTTATGCGATGACAATTATCACGTGACGCCTGCAGTTACTGACGTTCAAAGAATGTAGAACCGTATCGCAAATTTCCACAGCTCGCAAACGCAGAAACGCACTGTTGGCGGTACGAAAGCGTCTACTTCAAATCATTCGCTTCACAGGGTTCGCTGATTGTGTTACTTGTGGTCACGTGAAGAAGTGCATTCGGCTGTAAAGCAACTTGCCTTGCGCACACCTTTAAATACACGAGAGGCGTTGCTTAGCCATTCACGCAGCGAGAGTGGATGCGGAGGTGGCAGTGGCTTCGAACCTAGTGGCATCGGTGGAGCCGACATCGCTTGTGATGTAAAAGAGGGTGAGCTCGGTAAGCTCAGCATAAATCGCTGGAAATCTTCTGCAGCATCATCAAAGTCTGCGTATTTGTTTGAAACAAAACCGCGTGTGCTTGTCTTGTTTTGGTCTTTCACATTCTTGTCTTCGCTCGCTGGAGATGTCATTACTAATGATGCAGCTAATTTTGACTCCCGGCGTGTCAGCAGTTGCTGACAATGGGGCAGCACGAATGACGCCGTGTAGAGAATACTAGCATCGTTGCACACAGAACTACTGTGTCTTGCTAGTGTATATGGAACGCGAGCCAACGCTTGCGGCCAAGCCGCCTCAAGTGCACGCTCGTGAGCTGAAAACAGCTCGTCTTCGCGGTACAAAAACTCCGAATCTGAGACATTGTTAGCCACATAAAGTAGCCGCGCTGCGTGCTTTTGGCTGTTCCCAGACACATTTGGTAGTCGACACTGTGAGAACTTCTGCTCTATCGTGCGAAGAAGGTTAGTCACAGAGATTTGAAATGCCAACCCGTCATGAACAATCAGCACATAGTGGCAGATGGCACACAGAAACACCGCAATCTGATACGATACAGCCTCTACTTGTTGCTCCGGCGTGAGTGCACCAAACCGCTGCGACTCATTCCGTTCCAATAAATCTGCAAGAATTGAGCTGCTTAGCAGTGGTTGTGAGTCCAATAAGATTGTCGGATGACCGGATCCTCCAACCATTGAGACAGCTAAATCAATTCCAATCGTCTCATGCCGATCCAACACTCTTGATTCCAAGTTTCTTGTCATGAATATCGTATCATCTGTGTTTTTATCCTTCTGAGCAAGTAAAGACAAGACTGTAGACTTGCCCACTCCTTCCAACCCAAGTACACCTACTACCGTAAAGTTTGTAAGTTCTAGACAAGATCCTAATTTCACCGACAAGTCCGTGGCAAACTGCATCTGAGGTGTAATAAGCTTGACACTAGTAAGTGGTGGACTAATGTTAATCTGCTCTAAGGTAGAGAACGAATAAGGTCGTAGACCGCTTTGTTTCATTGCTGAAGAGCCTGTCCTCGTATTGCGCCGTTCTATAGATGATGATGATAAAGAGGCTCTAGAGCTGCTATTGAGCCGAGTATCAGCCTGAAAATGATGATCTCTGTCCTGATATGATGCGACATCATGTCGACTGCGACGATTAGCATCAGGAGCATCAGGTTCATAGAGAACTCCGATCGACCCTGGAGGTCCTCCAATAGGTGGACGAAGCAGCGTCTTGGACATCATCAAAGCAGGAGATGAAGATGAAGATAGATTGCGATGACGAGGTCGTTGAGAGCTTCGAAATGCGCGTGAAGAGCCTGATAATGAGCTTGTAGTAGCTCGAGACATTGTACCATGACTTGTGGAAGAGCTACCGTTGCTGCTATTGGTGGAATTGAGACCGCGATGGCTGCTACTGCGCTATGAGAGAGTAAAATACAGTCATAGAGTAAGAAAGAGGGATTAAAGAGCGTAATGAACACAGGAGAATGAACCTTCTGACGCTGCTTCTGCGGCGTATGTTCACGATCCATATTTGACTCGAACTAACAGTTGACGAGCACGAATGAGAAATTAAAGATAATTTTTTTCAGAAAAAGAACACACAATCAATCGAGTTTTTCTACTATAGTTCGTTCTGGTAAAAATGACAATAAATTGAGTTTTATTGCAATATTGACAATACATTTCACTATGGCAAAGAGATCAAGCTAACCTACTTACACCCGATTGTACTTGTTCTGGCGTTGAATACGACCACGATACGATACTACGGTACTGCTACTTCGCGTCTTTTTCCCACTCTTTTGTCTTCGTTTCGTATTGCGGGATAGAAATGAATCGCGTTCATCCATTTCCTTGTCAAAGAGACTTAAAGCTTGACTCAAAGCTGTAACAGGCTGCTCCTTCTGATTCTGCTGCTGCTGTTGCTGCTTCCTTAGCGCCTGCATGGCTACACATTTAGCTTCTGCCTGTTTCTCGATACTCTTGGAGGTCAGCAAATCTTTGGCGGCAGATCTGCTGCCATTGCCATTCGACACGATAAAGCCTTTAACGTCTAGAGCTAAATCTAGGTTAGAGAACATGGATAACATCGCGGACTTGTCGATAGGCTTATTAATCGTGTTCAAGATAGTTGCATTGCTATCTGTGACAGAAAGAGAGGTGCGTAAGCTAGAAACGAAAGGTGAGGTCATCTGCCAAGTGATATGACTGACGGTTGGTCACGAATCGTCTGCTATTGAGTTTTTGTATACTTACCTATTTTTGGTACAAATCGTATACTTTCTATTTGAAAAAGACCAAATTGGGTAACTGACAGCTCTATTTACCCAATTTACATCTCGACGGCTTTATTCACGAACAAAATACACTGGGAATGGCAACAATTTCGGTTCGATATAATGAGAGTCTATTCATTTTATCGAAAGCGATGCCACCGACTCGTCACTATCTGCCTCATCATCTTTCTTCTCCATCTTTTGATTCAATCCAGCTTCCATCTCCTCAGTGGACACATTTCCATCTTGGATTATTTCGGCTTCAAGTGTCTCTAAAAGCTGCCGAAGCTGTAGCTTTTGAGCCTCCACGGTTGTAGAATCAACAACTGCCTTCGCTTCATTCGCGTTTGCACCGTCATAGTTGTTCTCGACAGCTTCATCAGCAACCAATAGATCTAATTGTTCCCGCAAGACAGCGATCAGATTCTCACTATCCATATTGCGCTCGTGGAACTTGACCATTACGTAGGCTCGCAACTTTTTTTGAAAAATGGCACAAGTGTGCCACTACAAATGCGATCCGCTCTAGCACAAACAAGCCGGCGTCTAGACGTCGTAAGTAGTAGCTATCTTCATCCTCCTCTTCATCCTCGTTTTCGTAAAGATGACTGCTACGTTCCACGCGCTCGTGATACTTCACGAACAGATCCACCAATCGATCAATTTTCTCCATGTCATTTTCCACAAACTTGGCATGGAGACGGTCATAGCCATCAACAGGAGCGTTCTCGCATACCCACGCACACAGTGAAGCTATCAAACTCACCACGTTTTCTTCTTCCTTAGCATGCTTACTAGCCTTGCTAGCTTTCGTGATGCTGGTCGACTCATATTTACTATGCCGCCCCATGAAGACCGAAAAAATAGTACGAAGGCCACCAATCTCAATCAGGCGTTCACAGTTGCGTGCGTTGCCCATGAGTGCATGATCCATACCACACAATGCTCCACTAAACATAAACCGTTTACGATCTTTCATGAAACGCAGCAGCAGCTCTAATCCTTCGAGGCGGCGGAATTGCGTCTGCGCTTCTGGCACAAGCAGAACGCTGCACAGAGCATTCACTAAGTTCCCCACTAGCTCTTCTTCTTCATCACTGGCCGGATCTTTTTTCCGATACGGCGCCAGTGCTTGCAGCAAATCATCCATGAGATTCACCTTGCTCTTTTTCTCGCTCTTCGTCACAATTCTTTGCTCCTCATTTGGCCATTCCTTCCCCGTCCACGCCACAAACTTCTCTCTCGGTTTTGCTCCCGATTGTAGCAGAATTGACAGAATCTCACTTGCATACAACTTGTTGTCACTAAAATCTCTACCAGGCGCCACTTGTTTCAACAGAAAAGGCAACACCGCCGTCTTGTCCACTACTTCGACACACACCTGAGGCTCCAAGTCCGCCAAATTCTCCAGAATCTGCAGCGAATTATATATACCCGTCATCTCCTCCTTTACTTGATCGCCCTCTTTCCCTTCATCTGCTACAGCTGCCAGTTGAAACAAGTTGGTGATCAACAAAGGCAAGAGCTTTTCGTCCACGAGATGCTGAGCTAGATTTCTGGCTGGCTCCAATGACTCTGTCGCATCATCGACATCCGTCAGATCTGCCAGCAAACTCAAAACAGTCAACCGAATGTCGAGATTCTCGTGCGCGAACAGTCCTAGCAGCAGGCGAGGCACCTGCAACTCTATCATGACAGCGAAGAGCTCCGGCTTGGCTGCCACTTGTTTCCAGCGCGTCAGTTCTCGATCAAGTGCAAGCTCCGACTCTAAGAACTTATTCGGCTCATCTGCATATTTTTCCCGGTCTAAAGCATTGCGTCGTACGTGTTTCTTTACGGTATTGGCCATCGTCTTGAGTGATCGGGCATCCAGTGCGTCGCCTTCTTGCGCTTCAGCAGCATCGACAATTGCACTTATATTTATATCATTAGCTTCATGAGACACACAAGTACGCTTAGTAATAGGAGATGAGGACGTAAAGTCAGCAGGACGCTTAGGAGCAGCCTCTGTAGCCAGCACTCGCTCAAAGTGGTTCTCCATATTCCGATGCTTAAGTGGAATAAAGACAATGGATTGGTTAAAAGGATAATTCGGTTTTATCCAATCAACAGGACGACACGATATCGGTATCTCATCACAATTATTAATTATTTTTGATGAAAATGAGTGATCCAAGAGTAGGTGAAAAGCGAGGGAGGTTACTGCATAAAACAATGTGTACGCACTTTAGTAAGATGCACATGATGAATATGAAGGAAATAAATGCAATGGAAACGTCAATTCATGTTGCACAGCTACAGCATTACATTTTAAATCCGGTAAAAAAAAGAATCCATTGATAATTGACAAAAAGAGCTGAAATGATTTAATTAACAATATTATTACAATTATTATTTTTATTTATTGATTGATTGCAGGAAACAAGTGCTACACGTATTGACCTATCGAGCGAATTATACCACTGTCTATCGTGTAAATTTCGAGGAGTTCGCGAATTGTCGAGGGCGCTATTGCACGAGAGTGAAGATGGCGAGGACGACGGTACTTTCATGGCACATGCAATACTTCAAAACCATAGTATTGGTATCGTGTTAGAGTTGTTTTGTTATTGTTTGCACAAATTCTGGAGCTGACTACGTTTTGTGTGGTGCTGTAGCTATGCTGGAAAGAAAAAAACAATTGTATTGTGCAAGTTGTCGGGATTTTATCTACCCTGTAACAACTGTAGCAGGTGAAAATCAACGACGCAAACGGAAGATTTGTAGTGTGGTGTCATCGCACAAACTGCTACGACGTGGGCTGGTGAATATGGGCAATACGTGCTTCATGAGCTCGGTGCTTCAAATTTTGGCACACAATCCCATGCTTCAACACTATTTTTTTGTGGCGAGATGTCATGACACGACAATCTGCCAGCAACAGCGAGAACGGCTGCTGGTGAAGCGACAGCAGCAACTGGAAGGTGAGAAGCAAAATCAACACCATGACGGCGATGAGAAAGAGAGGGAAGATACGAAGCACGACTCTAATCTTGCCATTGCAGTTTGTCTGGGCTGCGAGCTTGCTGCTTTCATGAAACTGCTTGTACCTCCTGCGGTCCACAAGGCACGAGATACTATGACCGCTTCACCAATCGTACCGCAAGGTATTTTAGAAGCAGTGTGGAATGCATTTCCGTCTTTTATTGGCACTGCTCAGCACGATGCACACGAACTTCTGATTGCATTACTGGGAGGTCTACACTCACATACGCACCCCCGTGTGTTTGTTCACGGTGGCGCCTCTCCGCGATTTACTCCACGTGGACATAGTCTGTGCGACTGCGCGGTGCACCAACACTTCTCCGGTGTGTTGAGGTCTAAACTTGCGTGTGAAAGCTGTGGATTTGCTTCGTACAAGTTTGATCCGTTCTTGGATGTGTCTTTGTCTCTAAACGATGGAAAGAATACCAATGTCAAAAATGAAAAACGCGAGGAACAAGTCAATGGGTCGTCTGCAATGAACCTCGAGTCATTGTTGCGTCAGTTTGCAGCCGAAGAGGAACTGCGAGGAGCGAATCAAGTATATTGTCTTCGATGCTCGAAGTATCAGAACAATTACAAGAGCCTGAACTTGCATACGCTACCAAACGTGCTCGTGTTTCACATCCGCCGTCTCGACTTTTATCGTCAGCAGAAACTGGTGCAGAACGTGGAGTTCCCGCTGGTGGGGCTCAACATGAGGCCGTTTACGTCGGTGGGTATTGACGAGGTTAGTGATTGCATAGAAGCAGACGCTAAAACTTCCGGACAAGTTGGCGATCAAAGCGAATATATGTACGATCTTGCCGCAGTAGTAAGCCACCACGGCGAGTCAGTCAATGGCGGCCACTACACCTCCTACGTAAGAGACGAAGCGCCCAAGAGTACAACAAGCCCGACCAATTTAAAACAACAGCAGTGGGTACTATTCGACGATGTTGATGTCAAGACTGTTGCCGCCGAGAACGTCGAGAGCTCTCAAGCGTACGTGGACACATCGCTTTGTATGTATTGGGCATTTTCGGTCACCACGACAAACATACTTTTCTGTGTTTGTGGAACAGATACCTACTTTGCTATGTCCGTCGGAACCCATTTATCGCTGTCGCCGCATAACAAACAAATAGGGGTGAGTTGGTGCCGCGTGCAAAATGAAGCTAAACCGGTGTATCTCAATCTTGTTTGTTCACCAGACTACCTGTTCATGAAAGCATACCACAATTGAAAGTCAAGAGATTATCATACGCTTGTTTGATCGATGACACAGTGGGGATACGTGTTGGTAATCCCATGCATGATTCTCAAGTTTTGAAGAGAGCAATGGATTCTATGATACATACTGAACGTACATGTGTGTCGAGAATACGATAGCCACTTTCAGTCGGGCGCGATAGCTCGCAGCTTATCAGTCAAGAATTCGAATGTTTGGTTTCTACAAACGTAGAAACAATAGACCTTGCAAACCCCATTTGAAGACACATGCCATGATTGCTTGAAGCTAAATTGAATTTAAAAAGTGTGGAAAGTTTCCGCTGGGAACAATGTGTACGCACTGTTGTCTTTACGCTGTTAATCTCAATGTGCAAATGACTCTAGGCAGTTGTTCAGGTCAAGACCAGTCTGGAGTCAGTGAGCTGGCCGACCTGTGCCTTGTGTGACCTTGTAACGTCAGCACCAGCAGTGAATGGCAACAGAAAAACGCGATGCTACACGCTCCGAGCAAAATCGCGATCTTGTATTCTGAAGAGCATCAAATATCGTGCAAATATTAGCTCGACAAATTCCATGCCGTTTTCTGTTATTGTAAACGTACCTAGCAACTTATCAATGGCGGCATCGCCAGTTCGCCAATTAAGATTGAGCTCCGCCGAAATTGCCACAAGAAAGACTCCAAAGCCAAAGAGCAGGCAAAGCAGGCCGTTCCAAAAGAAGCGGGTAGTCACCGAGCTATACGTTGCAAAGAGCCATGTGACTACGGTGCTTGTCATAAGAGCCCCAATCGTCACCGGACCGTCGGAGGATTCGAAACTTAGAGATGCTAGATTCTGTGAGACATACAACAACAGACTGGAGTAAGATTTGTTCAAGTTTCACCTTCCAGCAAAAACTTACATTGAAGCCAACCAACGGGCCATTCAAAAGCATCCCGGTCCATGCATGAGTAAATAGCAGGAGAATAAATAGCAACAGCATCGCCATCCAGAGATCAAGTCCAAAGCCAACGGTGACGCCAACCGCGCTCTTCAAAGCACCAACGGTAATCTCCATACCCGATTTCACCAGACCGCCCTCCAGAGCAATCTCATGCCGCAGCAAGTTCTTGTCAGCACCACCACTCACCAAATAAACAACAGGTTTCTGTTTATCGGCTGACGGTGCAAAGCTCATACCAGTAATAGCGAAAGAATGCTGCTCTGTCGACTTCTTCTTGTACTGCCACAGCGTCGACGCCAGAAACACTTTGATCTCTCCCGTCACTGCAGCCGCGCACACAAAGCGGTCATCCTGACTCACACAAAGACTGGCCACAGGCTTGTCACCAGCAACAGCTATTTCTTCAATCACCCACGACCACTGCTCCTCATTCTCCTGTGCAATGGTTTCCGGCTTCCACTTGATCAAAATAGAGTCGCCACGCGCAGGGGTCAGCACAGTATAAAGTCGACGTCCACTGTTAGCAAAACGCACACATCGAAACAAATGCTTGCGTAGTCCAACCGTAGGCTTCGTCGGTAGTCGCTGAAACGCAATATCCAGTGCGTCATCTTTTGAGAACTTGCAGATTGGCGTTACCTCTGTAAGTCTCCATAAATGACACGACTGGTCCTCTGCACTTGACGCCACAAGGTTACGATGCGAGAGATCCACGTCAATATCACGAATGCGCTTCGTATGACTACGATACTCCCTCGTCAATGTGACTATATTAGTTCCATTAATAACGCAGTCTCCAAGCTTTGCCTGCTCCGTCACGACTACCTTAGCATGTGGATCTATCTCATCTGGCACGAACAGAGCGTTCGCCGTGCCTACAGCCTTCTCAGGCTTGCAAGAACCTCGATTTAAACGCCATATGCGTATCACTCCGTCCTCTCCCCCCGTCAAGATCGTGGAATTACCAACAAAGCAAGCACAAGTCTGTGAACTGTCTTCCTCATGAAAATCTGTGCGAAATTTGACCAATAGTGTCATTGTCTTTTCTTTCACGTCCAGAGCATAAATCCAGCAGCCTGCACTGACTGATACCGCAATGAGCAGTCCATCATGAGAAAAAGCGACACCAGATGCTAGTTCCAGGCCCGTATCAGCTGTAAGTTCCTTTGTAAACCCCGTCGGATCCGTATCCGAGAGCTGGTAAATGTCCTGTTTATTATTTCAAAGAATTAATTACATAACAATTACTATTCTATTATAGAGGTAATCCGCCATGCCACGGTTCAATATATTATAAGTAACGACAAACGAGAGAAAGAAAACACGTACAACCGTATTTTTGATTCCAGATTTGAGCGAACCGCCACCACCGCAGATTGCAAATAAGCCACGAGCATACGATAGCCCCATAATTGGATACGTCACTAGCATCTTTTCTTACCTTCGACTATATTTCTATTTTTTATTTTTTAACGACTTTAGAAACACGCGGCACCTTTTTACGCTGTCACTAAGACGAGGGACAGGTAAAAGCGGCATGAAAACGTTTCTTTTATTTCATAGTGGTTTTTATAGTTTTTGATGAATTGAGCCAAAAGTCGTTCAAAATTAATGCAAAAATTGCAATTCAAACAGTGCAATGTACGCACAAAAACGTTGTGTATAAATGATGTACGTGAGTGTTGGTCGCGTACCCCCCAGTGTAACCAAATTATTTACATTATTGGTGAGCCAAATACCAACTAGCGATGACGGAAGCTCCGCGCTTGGACGATGTAGTGATCACGTTCGGAGACTTCACTCTAGAGGAGACGCAAAAGGTCTTAAATGAAGGTATGTAACCATCATTTTTTCTCTCACTTGGTACTGCAGTAGCTAACTCTCTCTCTCTCTTTTCTCTCAGCTGCTGCCGATGTAAAAAAAATTGCAAGAGCAAAAACCAATTAAAACTCCTAAATCATGGGCAGAAGCGCTATGTACCCCTACGAATATGCAATCAAAGCCTGTATGGGGTAGAATTGTTACTCCTTGGGCCGTTGCAGCTGGTGTCAATGGACATGCAGTCGTGTCAAAGACGACGAGGGATCCAGCCAAGCCACTGCCATTTGAGGAGGCCATACAGGAGACGCTTGATAGTTTAAATGTGTCAGCACCAGCAAAAGAGATGAAGAAGAGGTAGAGAAAGGATGAAAACGCTGAAAAAGAGAGAGAGAAGACTAATTGACTGGTTTTGGTTGATTGATACAGAGGATTAGTGAATCAGGGCAACACTTGCTTTCAGAATGTCATTTTGCAGTCGGTATTGGCCTGTCCGCCATTCGTGAAGTGAGTTATTTTCGTGGCGTTTTATGATGCGAAAAGAAGTTTACTTATCTTGTGTCTATGGTGTACAGTTTGTTGGCAGCAATCTCGACTTCTAGTCCCTCAACGCCTGAGATGCTGGCAAGTACTTCGACGTTCAAGGCGTGGAGACATATGGTCGCGTTCACGCGTGAGTTTGAAGAACCAACGTTAGCTCAATGTACGTATTATTATGCTTGTGGATGCTGCGGAGCGCTGGTGTCCAGCGACTAACGTAGAATCGATATGTAATGATTGAACAGTGCGGCAACAGGCTGCTAGTGGAGACCGAAACCTTGATGACATGCATGGAAAAGTGTCGCAGGCGATTCGAATTAGCGGATACTTTATGGACGTGCTGAGCGCCTTTCAGAAAATGCGCGGAGAGCAGGAAGACGCACTGGAGTTTCTGGAGTTTTTCTTGGAGTATTTACACACTGAGTACGAGAAAAGTAATTTGAAATTGCCAGCTTCGTGTGAGAAGCAGACGAAGCTCATTGTTACAGCCCCAGTAACTAATCAGAACGGAACTGATTCCGACACAGCCTTTGTAAAAGCTCAAGCGTTTGACGATGGCTGGGCAGAGGTTGGTAAAAAGGGCAAGAGCAGCGTGCTACGCCAAAATCCCGTCAACGCCATTCGTTCGCCAATAAATTGGTTGTTCAAGGGTGCACTACGCTCCGAACTCAAGCAGCATGGCAAGAGACAGAGTTCAATCACTGTAGAGCCATTCCACTGCTTACACTTGAACCTGGACTACGAAGCACAGGACCTCTCGTTTGTAACAGGCGCGGACGGATTGGCAAAACCACTTGGCACACCGATTACTGTGGAAGAGATGATTCGGAAATCATTTGATGTAGAGGTGATTGAGGATGCCAACCAAGTTCCTACCATGAAGAAGTACACAACCGTGGAATCCCTGCCTGTTGTTCTGACACTGAGTGTCAAGCGTTTCACGTATCATCCGGACCAGGGACCAGTGAAGCTACAGCAATTTGTCAAGTACCCACCTTTCTTGGAGTTTCCAACGCAGTTTATGTCACCGAGCTGTCGTGCAGAGAATGGAATGGACGTCCCCGGCGTTGCGCCTATCAGCGGATCTGGCTTTTCGGCTCCTCCAATGTACGAATTGTTTGCAGTCGTGTCCCACTTGGGCAAGTTTGTCGTGGGAGGTCACTATACGTGCGTGTGCCGTGACAACAAAGACCAGTGGTACCGCTACGATGATGAGCACGTAACGTCTATTTCGGAGGCTACGGCGCTCAGCGAAACTGCTTACTTGCTGCTATATGTTCGAACAAACAAGCGACCACCTCACCCATCCCTGGCTTCTCCATCCCCAATCTCTGCTGCGTTTCTCAAAACAAAGGGCCATAGTGGGTCAAAACTCAAAGCCAGCAATGGCAATACGAAGGTCCCCGGCGGAAAAATTTGCAAACAGCCTGTTGCAACATCAAAAGCACCGCCAGCACCTCAATCCATTCCAGGAATGTCCCCAGTGAAGCAGTCTGATGCAGCAAATTTGATGCGGAAGAAGCACGGCAAGAAGAAAGCACGAGGAGAGTAGATCGCAACCAAGCATTGACTAACGAATGCATGTCGGTCGACCAGTGCTTAGATAAAACAGTTTCCCCGGACGAGAAACACTACTTCAAAATGTCTTTACATTATTCACAAAATAGTCTCCACTCCAATTTGTATTCAAAAGTTACCCACAACAATTAATAGAAGTTCCGACGGTGTTGTTGCTGTTAAACACAACGCAATACACAAAAATTCCTCATGCCATCATCACTTTGCAATGCTTCCAGCCAACCTGAACTTGCCACGTACGTACTTTAATATAATTTTTCATAATCGTACTTAAGCAAAAACCAATATTTCGGTTTTTGTTTTCATATCAGTATAATTAAATATCAATTTCCATCTTCCTCCCCTCCTTCACTATTTTTCGCCATGAGTCGTGCTGCCCGTGCACCAGACGACCAGACAAAGCTAAAGAAGCAATTAAATGATCTTATGAAATTAGACGGGAATAAATTTTGTGCTGATTGTGGCTGCCGTGGACCTCGTTGGGCTTCGATTAATTTAGGCGTGTTTATCTGCATTGCATGTTCGGGTATTCATCGTAGCTTAGGCGTTCACTTGACGTTTGTTCGTAGCGTTAATTTAGACTCATGGACAACTGAACAAGTGCAACAAATGCAACGATGGGGAAATGCCCGAGCTAAGGAATATTATGAAGCCAACACACCTCGAGATTGTCATATTCCAACGGAACATTCATCTGTTCGCGAAAAAGAACGATGGATTCGAGATAAATATGAGCGTAAACTCTTTGTAGGAGATGGCATTCGAGGGAAAGAAGAGGAAGAACGTGGTGGTAGTGGTGGTGGAGGAGGGCGTCGGAAAAAACATGTAGAAAGTGAAGAAAATAAGCACGAGGAAGAACGACGTCGAGAGAGACGTCAAGAAAAATCCGCAGTACGTCAAAGCTCACGCACCATCTCGCAAGATTCTACATCAAAGGCCGAAGTACATCAACGCTCACGCACCACCTCACAAGAATCTACATCCACGGCTGCAACCGCGGACATTGTATCATTTGATGTGTTCAGTACGTCCGTCCCAACTACAAAACCTGCTACGCCGTCGATTGCACCGCCTGTTGCAACATTAGTCTTACCAAACAAGCCAAAACAGGATGAGTGGGCATTATTTGGTGGATCGATCAATGCGCAATCGGGTTTTCAAGATAAGTTTGCTGTACAACCTTCACCATCGACCGACCAACATGTAAAAAAGATGGCCAACATCATGGCAAGCTTTGGTAGCTCCACGCAGCAGCAGTCTCTGCAACAACAGAGCGCGTTTACACCTCAACAAAGAACGGCACCACAGACCCCGATGATGGGGATGCAGATGCCAATGATGCAGCCTCGACCAATGGGAACGACTATGCCCATGAGTATGCCTATGGGTATGCCCATGATGATGCCTATGAGTATGCCTATGAGTATGCCCATGAATATGCCAATGGGCGGACAGGGATTCATGAACCCTATGATGGGGCAACTTTCCAATCCGATGATGGGATACCCCATGCAGAACCAAATGCTTGGTGAGGCACCGCAGCAGAACGGCATGATGATGGGTACGGGAAGGAGCTGAAGTAGCTTTGGACGGGATTTTGAGCACTGATTGGTTTATGGTTTTGATTGAATGCAGGTGGTACTGCTCCAATGGGATTTCAGGGTCGGCCGATAAGAATGAACCCAATGAGTATGCAAATGAACCATCGAGGTTTGCAGCAACAGCAACAACAACAGCAGCAGCAGTATCAGTATCAACAACAACAGCAGTACCAGCAGCCACAGTCGCAAGTAGGCCCAAGTCAGCCGTTTAATACTTTTGGCTAGTCATATTGAGACGAATGGTGTATCTTTTCCTCGCTTCGTATTGTCATATGAGTACACGGAGCCTCTATAGAGTAAAGGTGACAAGCCTTTTCCTTGAGCCTTGACCAGCATCAAAATCTACAGGGACCATAATCATGCACTTTTTCTTTTTGGCTTTCCACCATTTTACCTTATTTTATGTCTACATGTGTCACTCGCCACTTGAAATCTAGAAAGCCCATGTACTTGAGTCGAGCTGTTTCGTTTGCAATAGCAGCTAGTGCTGTCGAGATGCTTAAGTTTAAGACAGCATGTCGCGTTTACATGGGGTAAGTAAGCCAGTATTGTTACAAATCGTGCTGTCAAATAATTTTAACTTGTTGCTGAAGCAGTTAACGGTAAAACTAATGAAGCGGGGTTGATTTATCAAGGAATGAACTTTGGCGCGAAACACAGGCTTGTCACGCCAAGTGGCGTTGGACTAGTGCAAATCTACACGCCTTGTAGAAAATCCATGTCAGTGACTTTGATAACGTTCAAAAGGTTTTGAAACAGGGTTGTCTATTGCAGCTTTGCTAGTCGACAAGACTCTACTTTGGATGCCCGGTGTGTTCACATTACACTTGGTAGAAGGCTGAACAATTTAGTTCTGCAACTTGATAAAGAATGCAGCTCATATAGTTGACGCTTGATCGACCAGTCTGGTCTGTACATGAAAACTCGATGTGCCTCCCACAACTCGACTATTCAAGCTTGTGCTAGCCGAGAGCTCAAGCACAAAGAGGTCGTGGGTCTCGGCGCTGTGGGAAATACTACAATCGATGTTGACACTGTTCGAAAGCTTTTCGCCTGCAGCCGCTGTTGAAACGTAATGGAAACCCAGCACCTTGCCAGTCTTCAGTATAACACGTGATTATACGAGCTTGAAGGGATGCTATTAGATTAGAAGAAGAATCCCGCAAAAGTTATCTCATGTCTAGAACGACTGTTTGTATTGAAAAGAACAACGTGGCGAGGCCATTAAGCGACCAAGTTTTCTGTAAGTCACGAAATATATTGAAGGCGGCCACGTAAGATCACACGGTGGATGTAGTCAAACTACTGTAGCAAAGCTACTTATGCACTACGCGCAGAGGAAGACAAGCTCAAAGAGCTTCTACGTCTTAAGGTGTTTAACCCTCCTAGGCTAGCTCGTAAGCTTGTGCCTATCGGCATTAACAACCGAGTCTCAAAGAGACTAGTATCAAAGATACTGATTCCTATACGGAATAGAATGCTTAAGCTGTAAGGCTTACAGAGCAGGTTTGAACTGATTGATATTTATGTTTATCTTCTAACACTAAATATAGAAGCACCTATCCTATACTTAGTGCTAGTCACTATTTCGACTGTTATTATTATGCAAAATGCATAGTCACTATACTCTAAATACGTATAGTGACCACGTGGCTTTCTGTCACGATATGGCCCTTCGTACTTCAGGTACGGTCACATCACCTACTTTTGTACCCAAGGCACAGCCACACCACATTGGTGTGGCAGGTGTGTATGTAAAATACACACCTTTGTGTAACCCCGTTACCCCCTCCCCCATCAATCCGTGGGACCCGACGTACCCACGAGTTTTCGCACTTAATTGGAGGCATCGTTTTTATTTTCTTCTCATTTAGCTTGCCTCGCACTAAGTGCTTGCACTTGCGTCTAAAGCTTCTGTGTTTTTAACACTTGCTATTTAAGCACCCGTCCATTGCACACACGCTTTATAAGCATCCTTGTGTTACGACACTCGCTCTTTGAGCATATAGTGCATCGCACTCACGCTAAAGCATTAAGTGTTACGACACTTGCTTATAAGCGTTAAGTGCCAAGCACTTGGTATAATAATACCTTTGTGTGTTTACGAATACTTGCTTCACAGCACTCGACGCTGACCCATTCCCTCGAATAGCTCTGTGACCTCTTCCACCTGTTCCCGGGCTGCAACTCTGGGGCCTTTGTTGATGCTTACAAAGTGCTGACCAGTTTTTCTTCAAAGATGCACCGCTTCATTCGAAATGTTAACAAAGAGCAGGTTTGCTCTACCGATACCACTCGCTCGGCTCTCATCGCCGGCACGGGTGCGCTAAAGGAATTTGAAGATCTTCTCAGCAGCCGGAGGGAGTCGGCCAAATTTGATCGGGACATTGCTGATCGCGTGCACGGTTCGGCATAATTTTGTCGGTCCTCTACTCTAGCTAATCATAAGATTTGAACTCCTGCGTCATAGATTACTCAACGGCCGATCCCGCGGGGATGGTGGCGGCTCACCGCCAGTACTGGGGATCAATTTTTTGCCTCCTTCTTGACCCCTAAAGTGGGACGCCTTGCCGCCTATATAACCCTAGGGGATCCTTGGCCACATACCGCTTGGCTCTCTGCCGACCAGCAACGGATGCTCGGGGTGCCGATCACTGGGGAGGTCTTTACCTCACCCAAGGGTCGTTCCGCAGGGTTTGATGGGTTGTAGGCAGAGCACCAGTCCCTTGTCACTGGTGAATAGGATGTATGGAGACGGATGAAGGCTCCGTCCGCCTTCTCGGTGTTCACATGAGCTTCTTGCTGCCTCCCAGCTTGCGGTTTCTCATATTCTTGAATCCATAGCCACCAGCTGCAAACTATGGTGCTTTCGGGCCCGTACACTCCAGGAACGGGCAGTTATCCTTTGCGCGATCTTCCTTCCCCTACACTTGTATACGAGATCCGAATTTTATCAGATTGGTCGCAGTGCGTCAAGATTCTTTGCAAGGCCTTTATTTTTAAAATATCATATGCTTCCACTCCTATATCGCGACGTCGTGGTGAACGTGTTCTCCACCTACACAATCCCCGCTAGCTCTACTCGGCCTTCCCAGTAGCTCGGCTACAATGTGAAATTTGGCGATCCGGTTGTGAGTCTATGTTGCATTCTAACAGCATGGAGTCTCTTTGTTACGAAGCTATGGCATGTGGTGAAACAGATAACGACAAAGTAGACTTTTCTAAACCAAATTTTCATCGTAACAGCTGACATTCATTACCTGCAATCAAGCCACGCCGCAACAGGGATGAGTCATAACATGTTCACAAGTCACAGGAAGCTAATGAAGCGGAGAAATGACTTGCAGTGAGCTTGTATCGGTCAAGTGGAATCAACCGATAAACGCATGTATGTGACCGCTGAAGCAGTACAAGTTGAGAAATATTCAGCGACGAAGATATCATGGCAATTGGGATACATACATACCTGTTCATAGATGTAATGAGATAGTAACGTGATTAATGTCAGACACATGAATGACTGAACCATCCAATATTCTTCATTCAAGACTCAAGCATCATTCGTTATGCGTAGCAATATCTCCACATTCCGTCGTCATAGGTTATTGACAACCCCATTCAAGCATGTTGTTCCTCGCTTCTTCATTGTTTCAAGCTCAAAGGATCAATCTGTCCAGCACTTTGCTTCTTTCTCAACTGGTTCAGTGAATCTCCTAGCATCTATAGGCAATACACCGTTGCTAGAGCTTACATTACTATCCAAACTTACTGGTTGTAAGCTTCTAGCGAAAGCCGAATACACTAATCCAAGTGGAAGTATCAAGGACCGTGTGGCCAAGTCACTAATATTGGACGCTGAGAAACGCGGTTTGCTCAAACCAGGAGGAACTATTATTGAAGCTACCGGAGGTAGTACAGGGGTATCACTTGCAATGCTCGGTGCTTCTCGAGGTTACAAGACAGTGTTAACGATGCCTGACATTACTGCTAAGGAGAAGGTGCAGATGATGAAAACGATGGGTGCTCAAGTGCACATTTTGCCCACGACGTCCATGTCGGACAAAGCAAATCACTTTTTTCACGTCGCTCAACGTCTTGCAGAGACGATTCCAAATGCGTATTGTCCTAATCAGTTTGACAATATTGCAAACATGCAAGCGCACTATGAAGGTACAGCACCGGAGATTTGGCGCCAGGTTCAAGGTGAGATCCACGGATTCGTGACATCGGCTGGAACGTCGGGGACCGTTGCTGGTATGTCAAGATTCCTTAAGAAGCACAAGCCTGATGCAAAGGTCTGGCTTATTGATCCCAAGGAAACTGCAGCCATGTCTGCGTTTATTAACAATGACAGATCGACAAGTACGATCAAGGATGGCTTTGAGATTGTGCCCATGGCAAGCGGATGGACTATCGCGGAAGGTGTTGCAGCGCTTTCGCGCGTAACGGAAAACCTGCGCAAGTCAATTGTCGACCAAGCTATCACTGCCACGAACCAAGAAATCGTCGATATGGCATATTTCCTGCTGCGTAATGATGGCATCTTTGTGGGGCCTAGCAGTGCGCTTAATGTATTGGGAGCGGTCAAAATGGCGCGTGAGCTTGGTCCAGGCCATACTATTGTAACTATCTTGGCTGATGGTGGTATTCGCTATGGTAGCAAACTATACAATGAGGAATGGCTGAAGGAACACAATTTGGTGCCGCATAAAGCTGCTACAAACAAGAAGATAGTGTCGCTAGACTTTGTGCATGAACATAAGTTTCTGAAAGTCGTTTGAATGCTAGTGCTCGTTGTTGCTTTCACGTATAAAATGGATAAATGGAGGCTAATTGTATTAATGCACCAAGCATTCTACGTAATGCTGCTACGTGTCAGCTTAGCACGCATGACGCACAACAAATCGACTAGTAGCATAACATGCTCACCAAGCTGAAGCAAGAAGAAATACACTTCAGCAAACGCAACGGACGCTGCAGTTTGATCAGTGCCAACACTGGAACGGACACAGCGTATGCTGTAGCTTGTGCATTGTTCAAACAACCAGTCTCTCCAGTTGTCAACGCATCAATGCCTGTTACTTAATTGCCCAGCAAGTCGTAGTCGTCCAATTTGTCGTTATATTTCATGATGGTCCTTTTGATCTTGGAGCTATCGACCCACGTGACAAAGTCCTCCATTGGACGTGTAACTAAAAATGCCGGATCAGTGATAACAGTAGGACCCACACGAACATGTCCTTGCTCCACAAATGTTGTGGCTTCTTTAATACTTTCAGCCATTTTAACACGCACCATCACGACTGGTAGCCGACGACGACAAAACGCCGAGACATTAACTTCTTCAGCTTTTAGTAGACTTTTCGTGGTCTGAATAAGTCCCATGTGGTATAATTTCTCCAATAATGCATTGGTTGTTTTGATCCGATACGGGTCATTGGCTGGACGTTTCTTAAGACGAGCAACAAGACGAGTGAGGTGACCTACTAATCGATTATATTTGTGATATTGTTCCCGATCAGGAATCCGATACCGACGAATGACTTGAATCTCACGTAAATTATTTTCCTTCTTCCATTCAAGTAAATCCACTTTCTTCAAGAGCTTTTGCTCATGGAACTTAAGTTGACGACCCATATTAGTGCTACAATCTTTCAAGGACGATCGCAACGTATTAAGTTTTTGGTTGACAAAAGGCGAACTGACCATGGAATTAAAGCACGATTTCGTTTACGTAAGCTTTCAGGTTTCCATGTGGTCCACATGACGCTTCCCTGACCAATGGATTCTTGCTTGAGTAGCTCCTCGATTCATTATTTGGTCATTCATTATCAATCATCCTTGTTACCAATTCATCTTGGCAATATGCTTGCAGTTAGTATGGAGAAAAAGAGTAAGAAGAAAAAACTAAAAGCTGTCGGTGACTTGACAACTTCTGGAAAAGATCTTATTGCTCCAGAGAATTATACACCTGCTTTAGATACGAGCAAATGGCCATTATTGCTCAAGAATTACCATCAATTAAATGTACGCACGGGTCACTATACGCCCATTCCATGTAGTTCAAGTCCATTGAAGCGCAATATCAGTGACTATGTTCGTTACGGTGTGATTAATCTCGATAAACCAGCAAATCCTTCATCTCATGAAGTCGTCGCATGGATTCGTCGTATTCTACGTGTTGATAAAACGGGACACTCGGGGACGTTGGATCCAAAAGTAACAGGATGTCTTATTGTATGTATTGATCGTGCAACACGCCTTGTCAAGGCACAACAGGGTGCTGGTAAGGAATATGTGGCAGTTGTACGTCTTCATAGTGCTATTGAGAGTCAGGCAAAGCTTGCACGTGGTATTGAGACTTTGACTGGAGCTTTGTTCCAACGTCCACCGCTTATCTCGGCTGTAAAGCGTCAATTACGTATTCGTACCATCTATGCCTCCAAACTTATTGAATATGATGAAGATCGACATTTGGGTATCTTTCATGTGAGCTGTGAAGCAGGGACATATATTCGTACATTGTGTGTACATTTGGGATTGGTATTAGGAGTGGGTGGTCATATGCAGGAGTTGCGTCGTGTACGATCGGGTGTACTAGGAGAAAACGATGCAATGGTGACAATGCATGATGTATTGGACGCACAGTACCAGTACGATACATACAAAGATGAGTCATACTTGCGACGTATTGTGCGACCACTTGAAGTGCTTCTCACGACATATAAGCGCATTGTGGTCAAGGATAGTTCTGTGAATGCTATTTGCTACGGAGCTAAGTTTATGATTCCAGGTTTGCTCCGTTTTGCAGACGATATTGATGTGGGCGAGGAGGTTGTGCTGATGACGACAAAAGGAGAGGCTATTGCTGTTGCCATTGCTCAGATGACGACGGCTGTAATGGCAACATGTGATCATGGAGTGGTTGCAAAGATCAAACGTGTGATTATGGAGCGGGACACGTATCCACGTCGTTGGGGCTTAGGACCTATGGCTCAGAAGGTTAAGAACCTTGTCAAGGAAGGCAAGATTGGTAAGTATGGCAAGGTCAACGAGAACACTCCGGATGATGTGTCGGAGCTGTATAGCAAAGACGGTGATAAGAAGCTTTTGATTGAGGAAGTTGTGGAGGAGAATGAAAAGGTTGTGGAGACTGATGAGGCACCTAAGAAGAAGGCCAAGAAGGAGAAAAAAAGAGAAGAAGGAAAAGAAGCACAAGCATAAGCGTGACGCTGAAGAAGCAAAGGTATCGAAGGCTGGTGATTCTCCCGAGAAAAAGAAGTTGAAGAAAAAGTCGAAGAAGAAACTAAAGGAGACAAGCGACTCGGAATAGACGACCTCATTTGATATTGCTGATGATTGACTTTCCATGACTACCCTTTCGGACAATAATGAGTTAGCTGTTGGTGAGGACCGAGTGTCATGGTGCTATGCTTTGATTACAGAACTGTAGCCCCGCAAGTAGTTGCTTTATTTTAGTAATATATCCTGTATGTTTTGAACGTCATCGCTACGCTGATAGAGCAGGACTCTTCAATTGTCATGTCACTGTGACTCGCAGAGCTTTGGCATGACGCTTCTGAACATCAACTTGATCCATCTTGCCTGTGTGTATGACCTGACACCACGCAAAACTTATTGCGTTGTTGCATATCAGCCTAACAAGCTTGGCTTGAGCTCGCCGTGTCAGCGATAGCCTGAATCCAGAACGCAGCAGCCTTGGCACCAGGATCAGGGATGCCAGCACCAAATTCTTCACCGACGTATCCGGTACGACCAAATGCTTGCTTTGTAGAAATATGCGCCGTAGCGTCAGCACCTTCTTGAGCGGCTGTAGCAGCTGCAATGGCTAGCTCAGCGCTAGACTTTGTGACAAGACTGTCGAGAGCACGAAGTGATGGAACGAGCGCATCCAGCATTGTGCGAGAGCCCTCCTTAGCCCCACCGTACTTCTGAATAGCAGCAATACCAGCGCGAAAAGCTCCAACCCACGTGGTAGTGTCAGTTTTCTTGCAAGTCTCAAGGTAATGTGACCCAGCCGTTAAGAAAATGACGTACAGCACGCCGGATGTACCACCTGCACTGCGACCCACTGATGCAGCAAGAGCACGCAAGGTTAGTGTAGCGTCATTGAGCGGGTAGTGGGCCTTCAAGTCGACTAGTATTGCTTCGGCTGCATTTTTGAACGTAGTACCGCAGTCGCCATCGCCCACCTTGGTATCCCAGCTCGTAAGTTGCGGCTCATTCTTGATCAAGGTATCACATACAGCCAAAATGCATTTCTCAAGCATACGTCCGTCACTTGAGAGCTCCACCGGACGCACAAAGGTCTTTTCAACCGCAACCGGGACTTCCGCTTTGATGAACGGTCCAGAAATCGCTGACTGCGAGAGGTCGAAAGGTGAGTGCGTCCACGCCGGCGCTGACGTAGGTGCATCAAAGAGTGCGAGCATTGCAGTATCGCCATTTGAGTTCCACAGCGAAAGCGAAAATCCCGCCATATCCAGCGCCGTCATGAAAGAGCCAACCATCACGCGTTCAGGCTCCACGCCCTTTGCTCGAAGTGCCTCGACTGCATACTTGGCCACTACATACAGCTCCATACTTGTTGTCGATCCCAAGTTGTTCACCATAAGCACACACTTGCTGCCATCTTGAAGTGCCAGTCCCACAGACGTCTGATCCGTCAGGATTGTATCCACCAGCATTTTGCACAACGACGGCACATCCTGTTGCTCACACTTGGCCACTCCTGGCTCACCATGAATACCTAGTCCAACTTCCATTTCATTGTCTTTCCACTCTCTATACGTATTTTCTTGTCCTGGAAGAGTACAGGGTTTAATGGCAACACCCATTGTGCCTAATTTGCATTCCTCACTCAAGCTAGCGACCATTTTCACAAGATGCGTCAGATCTTTCCCTGCTTTAGCAGCAGCACCTGCTAATTTGTGTACAAACACAGTTCCACTGAGTCCACGACGTCCAGCATGGGCATTAACAACTGCCACATCTTCTCCTATCACGACCATATCGCATTTCAAACCTTCAGCTTTTGCTTGTTCCACTGCAAGACCAAAATTGATCCGATCACCTGTATAGTTCTTGACGATTACAAGACAACCATGTGGTCCTGATACCAATCGCATTGCTGTAAGAACTTGCTGTGTAGACGGAGATGTGTATACATCACCACAGACTACACCCGTGAGCATTCCTTCACCAATATATCCAGCATGAGTTGGTTCATGGCCACTTCCACCACCTGAGAGAAGCGTCACTTGTCGTTCACGTATTGCAATATAGTCACGATGCAAAAGAGCTTGATGTGTACGCTCTAGTACTAAATGAGGGTGAGAGAACGCAATGCCTTCAATCATATCGCTCACGATATCGTGACCCTCTTTAATGAGCTGCTTGGTCTTAGTCATCGTCAGGTGTATACTGTCACTATGATGTCACGAAGTAAGACAATAATATCTACCAATCGTACAAGGCTTTTAAAATTGACCAATCATATCGTCAACATAGACAATTTACATTTTCAAACTTTTTAGTATGGGCGGAGGTGGATTACGTATTTTGCCACACAAAAAGTGGCATGTATGGCGACGTGAGAACATTGAAAGAGTGTTGAAAGATGAGCGTGAGAATGAGGAGAAAAAGCAGGATCTGGAAGTGAAAGAACGAAGGCTAGCACAGGAAAAACGAGCTCAGCAGCTGCTATTGACGGAAGGACATGATGATTCTCAACAACATATTAATTTATTCCAAGCGGAAGAGGCACAAGCAAGTAGTAAAGATATTGTGAAGTATAGTAAAAAGAAGACAATTGGACAAGATGAGACATTGAAACGATATGGCATTGTACCTTGGTATGCATGGACTGAAGATGAAAAGGAGAAGAGGAAGGAGCTTACAGTGAGACAGGAGCGGAAGCGCAAGAGGTGACTAGACGGTAGTTTTGAAACGGGTGTGCGTGTTGTTACAGATGTTGATGCGGTTTGTTTATTGTGCTATTTTGTTGCCGTAGAGAATTAGAAGTAGCAGATCCATTGAAGTATATGCGTCCAAAGGAGAAACAAGGACTGCGTTTGTCATTTACTGCTCGTTCGGAACAAAGATGCGGAAGCAGATATGATGCTAGTGAGGAGGGACTGGATGGTAGTGATCGCAGAAAGTATTGCGCTCGGTATGACCGCTCTTCGGTGTCACCTAAACGTGGCAATCAGCGTTACTATAATGGTGAAGATGACATTGACAAAGCAAGTAAACACCGTAAAAAGAAAAGCAAGAGCAAACACAAGCTTGGCAAAGAAGCAGTGCTACAAGAGCTACGCCGTGAACGGCAAGAGAGGGAAGCGTCTGAGCGACGACGCGCGGAAAGGCTCATGTATGGATGACAAGATGAATTCATGATCTAATACGAAAACACTTGATGTTTTTGGTTGAAAAGCATTTCATTTGTGGCATTCCCGTTGAGCAGCAGCTAAGAGGCTGCAGAGTTAGCTAGAGCTAGACAACTTAGTTGTCCTTCTCTACCTTCTTAATACCACGTAGACGGCCCGTACGGCGAGCAGCAATAAGACCAACCTTCTTACCAGCAGGGGCATCACGACGTACCGTCGACGGGTGACCAATATGCTGGTGGTTACCACCACCGTGAGGGTGCTCCACGGGGTTCATGGCAACACCACGCACACGCGGCCACTCATTACGCTTGACGCGGTACTTGTGGAAAGCACGGCCAGCCTTAAGAATTGGCTTGTCCGTACGACCCCCACCAGCGACAACACCAACCATAGCACGGCACCTGAGAGATTACAATTCGACACACAAGTCAGTCACAACAAATTCCAATCATCATCACTCATACACCAAACGACATTTCCTCCTCAGCATCTCATAGGAATCATCACGATTTGTAATCAGAAACGTGAGTCATCAAGAGATACTTACTCACCGCACAAAGCGGGAAAGAATGATACCAAGCACACACACACGTTCATGTCAATAATGACATGAACGTGGCGCGAACGTTTCTATCGCTTCTTATCAATATAAAAAGTCAACAAAAACGCCGCCATGCCTCAAGACTCCAATCGAAATCTTGTATCATTTGTCGTGAATGGACCAAATAGAAGCAGCAACTTACGCCGAGGAAACGGTCTTCTTTGAGCCGGAAGGAAGACGCAGCTTAGTCTTGGCCTTGTCTTCATCGTGGGTCACGATCACAGCGTAGTCGCCGGAAGCACGAGCAAATGAACCACGGTCACCGACCTTAGCCTCCACGTTACACACGATAGTACCTTCTGGCATTGCCGACAAAGGCAGAGTGTTGCCCACAGCTAATGTGGCCTTCGGACCAGAGTAGATAAACATACCCGTGTACATACCCTCAGCCGCAATCAACAGTTCATGTTTATGTTGGAAACGGTATGGATCACGGTATGTCACACGAGCTAAAGGTGCACCACGACCAGAGTCATGAACGATCTCCTTGATCACTCCTTTGATATAACCCGTACGCTCAACAAAATCCAAAGCACGGAAAGCTGCAGGACCTTTACGACGGTGTGTATGCGACTTGAAGATAGAGCCAGCACCCTTACGCTGACCACGAATGACACGACCCATATTTGCTCTTCTTTATCAACAAAGGAATGTCCAAATGGACGGTTCTAATGTATGGAAGCTATCAGGAGGCTTCCTGGCCAACCATGTCATTAAACATGCTCAAACTGATAATCATGTTTTAGAGGGTATGATAAACTCATACAAAGAGCAAGTAATAAACAATCTATAACATTGTTTACTTCATGTCGTGGTGGAGAAAGCGATGGTACAATGTACCACATCATTAATTTACGAGCTCTTAGGTATCATTTAGAGCTTTTTACTATCGAAACACAGTCTATTGAAATAAAGAGTATACTATAATGTAATGTACTGGTAGTAGTATACTTGATTGATAGCATTTGGTATCTCCACCTCGTGAAGCGCTTACTGTGTATTGTGTGCGAAGTGGTCATTAAAATAATGCAAGAAAAAATCTCAATGAGACCTTATAGTTGGGCCATATGCAGTACATTTTCCATCTGCTCATTGCCCTGGTTTGTCTCTATACATTTTACAATCTGCATTATCTTACCATTGTCTGGTAGTTAAATGGATCTATTGAATACATACAAACATTATACATGTCTTCTTTTCACTATGAGCTTCTAGTTCGTTTTACACATCCTCAGTTGCACGTTTTAGGCAGAGTCATGGAAATCGGCTGGCCTGCTAGCAATGGCATTGGTCGATGCAAATTGACACTAGCAACAGCTTCGGCATTGGCATTTATCCATGGATGTTGTAACACCTGATCTGCCGTCAAACGCAGTTCTGGGTCCTTTTCCAACAACTTGTAAATAATGTCCTTGGCATCGGGTGACACGTTGTCCCAAGCACTGAAGGCAAAAGTGATCGGCTCCATTTTAATGCGGTGATCCACCACGTGGTCCGGAGACATGCCATCCAAATCAAACGGATGTGAACCGCATAGCATGATGTAAAGCACACAGCCCAGCGCCCACATATCGCACGCACTAGTGCAGATACCTGAGGTGAGCAGCTCAGGAGGCAAATACGCAATCGTGCCAATGTCCTCAAAATTCGTGACCGTGCCTGCAGGCCCAGCACTGCCAAAATCTACCAGCTTTACAAGGTTGCTAGTCTTCTCACGGCGATAATTGCTACTGTTGCTGTGGTCAACAATGCGCGCACTCAAGAGCACGTTTTCAGGCTTAATGTCCTTGTGTACAAGTCCGTGTCGGTGTAGAAACGACAGAGCACTGGCAATTTCACGTATCACTTCCTGCGCCTTAACCTCCGGGAATGACCCGTAAGCCACGATCTGGTCAAACAGCTCACCTCCACGAGCCAGCTCAGTTATCAAATACAGTTCACGACCGTTGACGTACACGTCTCTCAAGTCGATTATGCTGCCATGTCCTCCTAGAGCTTTTACCAGCTTCAATGCAGAGATCTCACGCTCTAGCGCTAGGTATGATAATCGCTCATCAGGGTTCTCTAGACGTATAATCTTGATGGCCGCAACTTCACCTGTTTCCTCGTGCATACCAAGACATACGGTGCCAAATGCTCCAGAGCCAATCTGGTCGAATAATTGCCACTTGTGCTTTACCGGCTCAATAGCCGCTCGAGACTGCGTGACACTTTCTGTCTGGACATTCAGGCCAACACTAAGGGCTGCAGCACCAACGACAGCCAGACTCAGACGATTCTTATCACGCTGGACACCTGACTCCGAACTCTGACGCGATTGCGTCTGATAAGCACATTGCAAACCTTTAAAACTGCGTCGATCCAATTGTGTCTTGAGACTGCAGCGGATTGCAGAGATCATGAGACCACCAGTATTGGAAACTTCCATAGCTGCTGATTGTCCAAAGCGAAGCATGATGGAGTCTAAAGAGAGAGAGAGTGAGAGAGAGGTTTCAATGCAAAGGAAGACGTGGTCAATTGCTAAACAATTGTCTGCAAGTCAAAAGTATAGAGTTGTAGTGTTAGAAGCCACTGGCAACTAATGGAATGGTAAGGTCAGTTACATACGTTCGTTCGTTCATGTAAGAGGGGTTTTAGTCTCAGCAGCCGTTCATTTATATGAGATTTTGTATACTACGACGCCCCCCTGCTCAGATGCTTTGGCTTCATGCTTGGATACTGACGTCATTGGAACGCAAAACCTACTGTCTCTAAATAGGGTCAACATCGCACACATGAGATTCAAGCAATTCAATCGCATGCAATTCATAAATATATACAGTATTCAGCACACGCAGTCGTTTTGTCATGTCGTTTGATTGTATTTAGTGAATGATCGAAAAAAAGGTCGTTATCATATGCGAAACGACATGTCGCTACGGACTGATCTTTTATATTTTGATGATTATTTTGGGTCAAAACCTATGATCATGAATAATAAAGAAACCTTTTTTTTGGACCAAAAAGGAACACTCTCATTGATTTCCTTTTTTAAGATCCCGTAGCATTTATCCGTAATTTATAACCGAGAAAACGACCTCTTTCTGAAACGAATATTCCAAAGTTCGGTTCTCAAACGTTCAAAACCTTTTATTATAAGGAAAATAGATATCATCCTACTACGACTTGCAACAAATGCATGACCACCGTATAAAAAACGTCTATCTGTCGGTGCTGCTGCAATCTCCAATGCCTTTGATCTCACATGATCACAAGTCGTCATATGAGTCGTTTTACTCAATAGAATCAATTGGTGTCGTAGGCCCCTTGCTTTTCTTTCCTGACTTGCTCCGACCCAGTGTGACCCAATTCCTCGCTTTCGTAACGGAGGTTGTACTACCATTTGGTACGAATTGCTCCTTTTGTTGAGTCATATGCTCCTTTCGTTGAGCCGCTCTCTCCTTACGGTGCTGCAAAACTGAACTTGCTTGCTGTTTGCGCTGTTGCACCACCTGACTCGCCTTTTGACGACGCTGTTGCATGGCACTAGCCAGTCGTGTCGTGCGTGACATGCTGCTACCAAGCAGTTTAGCAATGTCCGTTGAAGGTCTGTCTCCATCAAAGTAGGAGGCATTGGAAGAATCAATCGTTGGTCGATCCTCCTTCCAATTCTCAAATTCTTCTTCTCCTGAGGTAGATGATGAGCTATCGGACGAGTTGAGCTCTTCTGGCTCGGTAGAGCGGTGTGAACTGCCACTTTTTCCAAGAAAACTGCACAAGTTTGAATACTCGTCACGCACATTATCCAGCTCACTGCGATGCATGCTCAACTTCTGCGTCAACTCGACCTGCTTTAGATGATTCGACGCCTTCACCACATCGCGGTTGCAACGGTACTCGGCCACCACAGCCTCCAACTCCTTGTTCTGTTTTTGAAGATCTGATAACTGTCGTTTGAGCTTGGCGTTTTCTTCACGGACACGAGAAATCTCTTCATTCTGCTCTTCGCAAACACGAGCAATCTTATCGGCTTGATCCTTAAGAACACAAGCTTTCTCTTGCTCAACCTTTGCAATTTTGAATGTGGAGAACTGCTGCCGAGCCAACCGGCCGCGCTGAATACTCTGCATGCTCGTAGCTGCTGCTTCCTTCTTCCTATAAGCTTCCTTTTCTGCCTTCATTCGCACCGCTTCTTTCATCTTTGCAAATCGAACCCTAGCCAAGTAACCGCGAACCACCCGCTGCATGACCGTGACTGCGTTCTCACGACGGCGACGCATGGCAAATGCCTTCCGTTTCCGTTCCTCTGTCAATCTTTCCTTTTCTCGTGCTGCCTCCTCCGCTGCACGACGTTGTGCCTCACGCTCATCGTGTTCGCGCTGCAAGCGGATCCGCTCTCGCTCCTCGTCTTCTTCACGACGACGAAGCTCTTCTTCTTCAGCCTTTTGCAGCAGGTCAGCAAACAAACATCGGGCAAAGTATCCGCGGACGTGTCGTTGGATAGCCAGCGCACTCTCTTCGCGGACAACTTGAACCTTGCGTTCTTCTTCCAGTCGACGCTCTTCTTCCAATCTAGCCAGCTCTTCCTGCAGCTCGCGTTGTTTCGCAAGCTCCATCTCCCTATTGGCACGATCCCGTTCCTCCTCCTGTTTAGCGATGTAATCAGTTCGACGCCTACTAAGCTCTTTTCGAGCTAGGTATTGTCGAGCGAAGCTTTGTAGACGAACTGCACGACTATTGCATAACACCGCAAAAAAGATCTGCCGTCCCTTATGACCATGCCACATGCGCTGAATCTGCGCTGCACGGATATTGCACAAAGCAGCAAAGTGGGTTTTGCGACCTTGATGTCCGCGCCAAACACGCTGAATCTGAAGCGCGCTGTGCTCACACAGCAGTGCTTGGAACTCACAACGACCAACATGTCCACGCCACACTCGCTGAATCATGGCAATCGCGAGTCGCACTCGAAGGAATCGGCATCTGTCCACAAACATCTTAATACGTCGCTGGATCACGACCAATGCGTCACGCATCTCGTAGTATTCAACGCGTGCGCATAGACCGCGCCATCGAGCTTGGATAAGTGCCACATATGCAAAGAGCTTCTGCGCCTTGGCATGCTCAAGCTTCTCGAGTACACCCTTTTGCAGGTATATCTTCGTCACACCCATCTGATACTCCTCGGGGGTCTCGAGCTTGAACTGTTTCACCAAGATACGGCAAAATGACCCAGCATACTGTTCGGCGTTTTCTTTGATCTGTTGTTGCTCTTTTTCTTTGAGGAATATGTCAAACTGCTCTGCAAACTCAGCATGCAGCAATCGGTTTGGATAACCAGCACGAGCAATGCAAATGGCTTCAATGACACCAGCACACCGTAACTGGTTCGCCACCATCTTGTCTTCTAGTACCGTCGAGCTCTTGACGCTATTTGGCTTGATACATCGAATGTAGTTGACATTCGTTTCATTAATGTTGCCCATGAGCGAGTTTAGAGACTGCTTGAACTGCATGCCCACGGTCTTGTCCGCGCCAACTCCGCCAGCACATCCGCGAGCTCCTCCGACTTTCCGACCTCCTGAAGTCAAACGCTTCAAACTACCAGCAGCTGCAGCTTCTACCTCAGCCTTTACCTTAAAGAGCATTTGTGGAAACGGCTCGTGACTACCACACATCAAATCTGACAAGTCCGAAAGCAAAGCGTCCTTGTGTTTCTCCAAAAAACCCGTGGCATCGTATTGGACTGTACCAGCATAATGATGAATCGCGAATTGAAACTTGCACATCCGTGGAAACTCAATCAGCTTCTTCTGCTTGAGATACGAGCTTGAAAGCTTGCTTACAAATCCTTCCTCATTACCTCGAGGGCGCAAGATCTCTTCGTTCAGCAACGCCAGTACACCCATACGACCTTCAATAAGCGCAAGAGTATCGCTATTGTCAGCGTACGAAATATGAGCCCACGTAATCTGTTCGCGCTCGTATTCTTCCTGCACGGCTCTGAACACGTCTTGAGTGAATTTCTGCTGCAACTTCTCGTTGGCGTAGTTTATGCAAAGCTGCTCGAACGAATTGTGCTCGAAGCTTTCGAACCCAAAGATGTCAAGAACACCAATCGTGTTTGCAGTGAGTCGTGCCGCAGCACCCAAACTGGCATTGATTCCAGCCACTAGCCAGTCAAAAATACTTGCATAAATAGCCTTAGCAAGTGCGTTACGTCCAGAATGAGCTTGATCCACTGTTAATGGTACCCGATACACCTCTCCAGCTGCCTTCACAGTACGATGAGTCAATGCTGTAGCCATCGTGTCTGAGTTCAAACCAAGCAGTGCACTCGAATAGACTACCGAGTCTTTATCCAAGTCACAAGCTTCGTCATTGTCGGGTTTTGCAGCAAACTGAGCCTCGCCCAGATGCAGAATACCTGAAAGGACCTGAAACAAATCACGTTGTTGTTCAGGTTCAAGTCCTAGTAGCGTTAGTGCCTGTCGTGTCTTCGCAAACAGAGCTCGGTCCTTTGAGTTCTCGGCTTCTATAACAGCAGCCGATTTCAGCGGTGGTGAGCTTTGCTTCAGCTTTCGTCCAGGTCGTGACTGTTGTTGAGGTTCCTTTTCTACCAAGTACGAAAACTTTGGACACTCGTTTCCCAGTCCCAGCGCGTCCTTCTCATCAGGCGTAAGTCCGTGCAAAAGCTGGTAGAAAATATGGTAATTGCGCTCTCCTCGCTCGTGGGATATGACACGTGTCTTTTCCAGCAAATATGTTTCGCACTGAGCACCACACAGTGCATGGTTCTTGTCAAACTGGAGCTGCGTGAACTTGCCAAAGCGACTCGAATTGTCGTTACGAGTGGTCTTTGCATTGCCAAAACTCTCGAGTAGCGGGTTCACCTCGATAATACGAGTAGTGATGCTAAGCTCTTGATCACCTACAGCGCTGTTCAGTACAGGCGCAATCGTTGCTAAATTGTCCATCAGAATTTTAGTAGTCTCAGTTTTTCCAGCACCAGACTCGCCACTAACAAGAATACTCTGATTACTGCCTTTGTCGCACATATGCCTGAACGCCGCAACCGACACCGCATATACGTGAGGTGGTAGATCCTGTCGCTTTCGCGCTTGAAAATACTTTTTGTGAAGTCCGGGTGTATACTGCTCTTCCAACCATTGATACGGGTTTACTGCCAAACAAATATCTCCCGTGTATGTATACGGCATTCGTGCACGAAAGCGCTTTTTAAGATTCCGGAGAATCGAAGCTTCGTGTAAATGATTCAAATCAATCATATTGTCCAAACCTTCATTACAGCGCGAAAGCTGTGCATTTTGTAAAGGGAATCCCACATCAATCGCCACAACTCGACTTTCTCCAGTCCTGTCAGTGTCGTCATGATCCACAGAGTCTTCGTTTGAGTCATCGTTCCGTAAACGTTGAATTCTTACTGTCACCAGTCCCTTTTGTTCATTTACTTCTTCAACACACACAGGAATCCATGCAGCGTCTTGATCTGGAATATAACAACGTGCTCCTACTGCAACACTTGGTGTCATGCGTTCATTCTGTATCATTATTGATCCACTCCACCTCTTGGTACTACTATCACTATTCAACTGATTCCTTCAATAGCTCAAGTAATAGCTATTTCTACAACTAATCTACTTGCTCGATTGTCTCCTTTTTACTTGGTTATCAGGACAAGATAGAGAGAGAGAGACACTCAAAATAGCAGACACGGTAATGAAAACAGACAGGCAGAGAAAGAGCGATTTCTACTCAAATAGTAATAGGCAATTGCACGACAAACAGCAGAAGATATCTCGTAAATGTCCTATAAATCTGCCTACTAGGGTCTTTCTTCTTCTTCGTCTTCTTCTTTTCCTCTTCTGGTGATCAATGCTTAAGAGAGGGAATGTACTTCCAAACCAGCTGAGCTCCATGTCGACCGTTACGTTGTATGTGTATGGCAGTTGGAAATAAAAAAAGGAGCCAGTCATGATGACTCGTTTTTAGGAGTTCATAAGAATCTTTTCATGCGTAATCGGAGTTCAGTAACCCGTAATTTGGTCTTTGGTAAAAAATGGTTTGGAGTGTCCCCTACCCCGAAAGTCAGATGGACATTTTAGACTGACTAGAAAAAAGGAGTAGGAGATGGACATCTGGTCATATAAACAACATGTTGAGTTACTTTGGACTTGAGGCAGTGACAATGAATTGTAATAACTTCGAGTTGTTATAAACATTCCGAGAGACATTGGATCTCAGTACAACAAGCTCATCATGATACCATCTCTTGCCTATTACTGTGATGCCCACACGTCCTTTCGTGGTCTATGCTAGTGTGATTTGTAAGGCATAACGATATCCTCCATAGACTTGTCAATCGTGTTGCGACTTTGTAGCTTGTCATTATCTTGGGAGACATCAAACAAGGTCGGAATTCTTTGAGTGAATCACAGAGTTAGATTGCAAAACAAATGCAAAAGCTACATTATTTCCATCTTCAGTTCTTCGAGAGCTGTTAGTGTCTAGTTTTCTCATGGTTTTTTGGTGCGAGAGTTGCAGTTATCTTCGAAATAGCTGGATGTTCACATGAACTTCACGTGTCTGTACGATAACAACCATAGAGCACTTTACTCTCTCTGTACGTTGAATATCTCCAGGACACCAACACCCTTTAGGTACCACTGCGACTTTCACACAAAAGAGCTTTAAACATTTTGGGACAAGCGGCACACACGAAGAGATTATCGTGTAAGCACAAGAAAACAGAAATGACACTATCGTAACATGTAACGATGTCGCTCTATGGACTTTTGTATGAGGCAGACACATGCAATGTTTTGGCAAGAGCTTGACTACAAGAGCGACTCTTTTTTCGTAGCCAAGTAGTAACCTTCTATCTTGGTAATATCTATAACAGATCAGCTACATCTTGTCCTGCTTTTATCTACTAGAGAGAATAAATACCTCATCAAAGTGCTCTGGCTTGAATTTTCCACTTGGTCTTTTTTTACCAATGGGATATGTAACAAATGTTACTTCATGTATCTTATATTTACAGCACGCTAATATACGACAGGCGTACAAATAAATCAATCCAACGACGTATTATATCGCTCTCTATTGAGATGAACAAGTCTTGACGTCATTTATTTCCGAACAATGACATTGGAAAGAATGGCGACTGTGAATTGCCGACGCTTTCTGGCAGCATGGACGCGATTTCAGACGAATAACGAGCATCAGATGGATGGAGACGTTATTACACATGTATTGGAACCTCTATTAATTGTTCATTAGTCGTTTGTATTATTCAGTTTTTGCTACATGTCTCTGCATTTTGTACTAATACGGACGTGGTATTTTATTTCTTTCTTATCTATTGTTATAGTACCAACAATTGGCATTACACTTTCAGCAGATTCTTCAAGATGACGAAGAGTCAAGAGCTTTACAATCCGACGTTGTCTCCGTTCTGGTCGCTATTGCTGCACTCAAGAAAGAAGAAGAAGAGTGTATGCCGAAATCTCGACGAATCCCACGAGCGTCAGAGCTCGTGAAGCTTCGAGAAGAACGAATTACTGTGACGTCTCAAGCTGCAAGAACGGAGCAGAAATTACAGCTGCAACTTGGTGAAAAGATGGAGAAGAAGGAGGTCCATGCAATGCCTGAAGTGCGCACGGACTTGACTGCAGATGATTTTAAGTCCATGTTGAAAGTAGCTGCTCCACAAGAGGAGAAACTATCAACAAAGGCAATGAGAAGACGACTTGGTTTGGTAGATCGATCGGAAGCACTGACGAGTGCACCCGAGACAGTTGTTCGAGAAGAGCAGGAGTCGATTCAAGCAGAAATGATGTCGCTGGCGAAACAGCTGAAAGACAGAACGCAAACTATAAATCATTCCTTGGCGGAGGACGTCAAGATGTTAGACGCTGTGGGTCAAAGTGCTCAGTCGAATACGGCGCTGCTTGAACGAGAAAACGATAAGCTGAAGAAGCAGCTGGCTTCGAGCATCGGACTCTGGACGTCGCTGTGGCTTGTAGCAATGCTGGTTGTTGTCTTTATTGTCACATATTTCTATATGAGATTGTTTTCGCGACGGTGGTAATATATATATAAGAGCAGCTTTGTGGATATAGACTTTAGGGTGGACATATAGGACCAGATGATGCTGGGGAGGAGCAGGCGAACACAAAATACAGTGTCTATTGAACGGTGAAATCCTCAGCTTTCGTCATGAACTAAGGGCGTGTAGGCAGCATCGTACCAATCACGTGTCGTATGCAATCCTCGCCAACCGCGTAGAGGTCGCTCACTTGCGTATTGCGCAATGCAACGCAAGGCTACTTCTTTTTCAAAGTATTTGATAAGCACGCCACTCACTGCCACCAGCAGGATTTCATCGTGAATGTACGCCAGGAAAGCAAGACCAGTAGCGAAAGCTGCAACTTGGTTTACAATGGAGCTGATATTCCATAGTGCGAACAATTTGCCGCAAAAGATGCTCTTTCTCGTAACGAAAACCAGTCCAAGTAGCGGCGAGCCAATAATTGCTCCAGGTAAGATACAAATGACTGACCATAGCGCTGTCTGTTGTTAGCAAAAGGACGGACACACCATTAGACACAACCGCAGAATCATTATTTGACCACAAGAAAGTAGGACGTACCCGGGAACAGCCAGCATCTTGGGCAGTGGGGTCACGAATTTGAACACAATAGTACTCCACCATGATCCAAAATGCAATACCCATGTCAGCGATTACAAGGAGCACCATCAGCACGGAGAGCAACCAGCGGACCGGAAGACCGGGACGGGGCAAGTTTCGCAATCGAAAAAGAGGATACACAGGCTGCCAAAGAGCCGTCAGCCATCGTTTCGCAGTGCCGTTTGTACACAAGAACTCCATCAGCGCTCTTGCTTGCCGTAACGTGCTACGGTTGTGTGGCTTCTTGTGTGGTATCAGACTGTCGCTGTCATCACTGGAGTCGTCTGTGTAATTTCTTCGTGAATGATGCTCAGGCTGCGCAGACAAAGCTTCCATTCTGATCTGTGAGTACCGGAAAGTAGCTGACCGAGGATCTGTCTCCGACACTACTACTTGATCATTATGTTGTAATGACAGCTCTGGATCATTGAAGGTGGACTTATCTGTTTTTGTGGGAATTGATTCTGGCATACTTAGTCTAAAAACTCGGATTGCCAATTTGAATGGGTTTTGCGGGTAGGATGCAAAAGTCATGTCGACGTTATCGAGCGAAATGGTCTCGAAGGAGCACTCATTTGCATCTGCGGCTATCGCAGTATCGACCGAAAATGTCCCGAATGTCACGGCAAAGTCATCGTTTACGTGGTTACGGTTGAACGCTTCCACACATTTGATTATGCCACGAGCCACTTCAGCTGCCTCACGTACACGGCGAACAGTCGACGTTGGCTGCGGTAATACGCGCAGATTCTGATTAACATCGGCGACAAAATCAATCCAAAAATTGTGTTCCAGAAGTTGCAGACGCGAGGGCACGGCTCGCACAATAATGTCGTTCGAATCGAGATGATATGGTCGAAAGAAGGAGCCACTACCACCAACCACAAGTATCAGATCCTCATGATTGGCAGCTTGCATCGCATTCAAATTCAACGATGAAGTCGAACCTGACTGTGAAATTAGTACATCGAAGTATCCAAGTGAAAAGTCAGAGCTGAAGCCAACTTTCAGTTGCGTGCCATGTACTCGAAAGTTTATGTCGCGAAAGAAGCGACCGCCATAATCTCGTATGTACTTCGTAAGCTTCACAACACGACGCAACTGGCAGCGTCGCATGAAAAGTGTACTTACTGGAGGTATGGTGACAATCAAAAAGCGATACAACCACGCTTCCCAGCTCTTAGGGTCCCATTCCACCAATTTGTTGCATGTCACAGCAAAAGTAGCGTAAGTGCCTTCTTCGACGATGTCACGCAGGCTTACTGGCAAAAAGTACGGATTCAGTCGCCATGGACTCTTTAGATGGTTGTCTCCGGTGAGATAGAGGCGAGCAACATGAGCTTTAAGATCTTGGTCAGTTAGCCGAGGGGTTAAGGTTCGTATCACTGTCTCGAGCGACAGCTCATCGCGCAACCTTTGGGCTTTGTACTGGGCATAACGGTGCAACTCGGACCTAGCATTCCAATAAGAAATGAATCCCCAGGCGCTAAAGATAAGAACAGTGAGAGCAAACACGAGAATCAGAAAACAGAGCGGACCACCGATAGGTTTTACCAAACGTTCGAAAGGGGTCAAGCAATCAAGCCCATTTCGTCCCTTAAAGCAAGCATATGAGCAATTGCCTGGCATATTAAACTCGGAGTGGACAGGTCTGTTCTTGCAGTTGACACATACAGTTGCACCAGGTTTGTTTGTGGTCTGCCCAATTCCACATACTGTGCAATTGCTACTACCGGACAAAGTAGCAATGCTACCTACAGGACAGAACGAGCATGTACTGCTGCCAGTGAAACCTGCAAAAGATCCAGGCGGGCACAACTCACACTTCTCCAGACCCATTTTTGGACTAAATGACCCCAACGGGCAAGATTGGCACTCTTTCTTTCCAAAATCTTGGTTGAAATGACCAATTGGACATGCATCGCATTGTTCAGATCCAGTATGGCTAGAGTAAGTACCTGGATTACACGGTGTACACTTCGAAAAACGATCTGGGCTATGACTACCTTCTGGGCACGGCAAGCAAAACACACTACCACGCCCTGGACGACAATTAGCACCGACCATAACACCTGTACCGCCATTTTCACCTCCTGTGCTTTTACCACCGTCAACTGAGATGCGACCTCCGTCTTTAATAAACGCCTCCCCATTACCGTCAGTCGAATTATCCGGAGTATCTAAATATGTGATGCGTATGATTCCTCCACCTCCTCCACCCCCTACGTTTCCGGCGTCGATAAGATCTCCAAAGAGTACATTGGGATCCCAAACTGACTGGTTTTCAGATATGGTGTTGGCAGAAAAAACTACAGGTGCTGAAGTCGATCCACCAGCCAAATCAATGGCGCCTCCACCAGTGATGTCTGCGACAAAGAGTGTCATGGATCCACCAGACCCACCGCCGCCACCCATTGAACCAATCCCGCCCCGCGCTGAGACGACCGATGTTTTGCCGATGTGGAGCTTCTTTGATCCAATGTAGATCACTCCACCCCCGCTGCCTCCAACAATTTTGTTTGGCGTGTCACCACTCGTAGCACCACTACCAGGCCAAATTGGCCACTCTTTTCCTAAGAAATACGACATCTGCGATCCGGTTTGCTGCATTTGCAGCTCTTCAGAAACGTCATAGACAGCACCACCGCCAGCACTTCCCGGTAAAACGTTACCACCTCTTCCGCCGTGGCCTGCTCCACCGCTAGCTTCGCCAGAAATATCGCTCTTGCCAGGACCGAACCCAGAACTACATCCAAGTCGCGAGCTGGAAATCGCTCCTTTGACAATCATGTTCTTTTTGCTACAAAGAATCATCGATCCCGCTGAGACGTTTCCTAGTGTAGCAAAATTCGACGCGAAAATGCTGATTAAGTATGGCTGGTCATCAAAATTTGACTCACGTAAAGTTTCGCAAGTGGATGCATCCGATTGGAGTTTGATAGCATTGCATTCCGCCACTGGACCACTATTTACGTTGTCGATTGATACGTTTACAGCCGAAACCAACAGCTTCAGGAACGGATTATCAAACGGCATATTTAAAAAGGCTGTGCCATTGGCTCTGAGATGGATATTGACCTGTCCCATTTCCACAACTTGCGGGCGAAGCTCGATATCGTTCTTACTGAACACGCTTATTAAGGGGGAAACCGTCTGCGACGCTACCATGCATTTGACCAAATGGCTTGCTTAACGGCTGCAGGAAACCGTGAATCTTGGTTGAAGCTTCCGTTTGGATTTTCACTTGTGCTTGAAATTTAAGTTCAGAAAATTTGTCAATGGAAAGCGCACCACGAGCGTCAACATCAAGTTCTTGCACCATGGCCAGAGCATTGGAAAACGAAATGTCGACTCCAACTAGTGACAGACTAAATAAGTCACGCTTTTGTAATGATGAAGGCCCTATGTAACCCTATTTAGCATGATGACACCAGTGCACACTCATGATTTTAGCGACATGAAGCGAAACGTGTTCGCAAAATTGCATTCTCCTACATCATGCAAAACATCCCACCTGAATTGTAATTTGTGACGCCGACAATCGAACTGTTTGCTCGTAATCAAGAATATTGAGTTCTGACCCAGAGTCAACCTGTCAAGTAAGCAACGAGAATACGCGTCGTCAGAGACATCAGACCAGTAAAAAAGCGTGACTGCAATATTGGGCTTTTCTTACTATAATTGAACTTTCAATGCCTCCAACGGTGTTCTGGAAACAAAAATATAGGTCGCAGTTAGACATTCAGTACTTTGTAAACATAAGTACATCAAGTACCTTTAGCTCAACCACCGATGCACATACTGTAGCTCCACCATTTATAAACACATGCACAAGAGACTCTGGCAGAAATCGGGCACCCCTGGCAGTTTGCTGGAAAATCGGTGTACATCCGTAGATCTGAATGCGCTTCACGGGTCCATAGTGTGCCAACCGACCACCCTTCACAAGCAACGTACTAACGACAGTATTGTTATTCAAAAGACCTCGGCCATCCTTACGCCAATTATCATCCATCTTGGAATGGTGTACTTTTAATATAGTCCCATCGCTTCCCAACTGGCACCACCCTATCGCTGCATTATTGTCGGTGCTCAAACCACCACCAAACGCTACAACCTGAGAAAGTGCCAATTCCTCTCCATCCTTTGAATCAAGCACAATGCGTCCACCTCCACCTCCGCCACCTCCACCGGTAAAGTCGTTACCATTGAAATGACTCGGCTCCCCACCATTCGCCTGCACTGTCGCATTTCCATAGATGCGCTCCGTAGCAACAACAATAATACTTCCTCCCGCACCCGCACTATCATAACAATCCTTACATGCATCTCCTCCATTGGCTAACAGCAATCCGTGGATCTCCACACTTCCCTCAACCATGACATAGATCCGTCCTCCACCACGACTCTCATCATTGCCTCCTCCACTTCCATATGCTCGAAAATTAGCCAAATCAGCTGACACATCACCCACTGCCTTAAAAAAATCATTACGCGGCACGTCGTCACATTGCGAGTGCATTCCTGTAAGCGAAGCACCACCAGTTCCTCCATAGCTGCCGCCCATAGAGCTCCATGAGTTATAACCTGGTCCAAACTTAAGCCCACGGGCCGTCACGTTCACAGCAGAAGCTTCGTCTATCAACACGTTAGATGCATAAATTTCCACAGCACTGGCTCGCAATAGACTGTTGTGAATGGACACTGTAGTAAGACTCGTGTTCAGCTTGAACGTCAGTTCTGCGTGGACACCCGACAATGGTGACAATGTTGAGCCATCTATCGTCACATTGACAATCTCTAGTATCATTATCTTCTCTTGATCAGGCACAGTCAGCTTACAGTCGATGTAATATTCATTGAAAGAACCGATACAATGGATACCAGAGCACTTGAATATATCGTTAATTCTCGTGTTACTATCGATCCGGAAGGTTTCAGGCGATCCAAAGACATTCATTCTGTTCGCAAAACACACGCGGTTCTCATGATATAGAAGGAACAATATGATAGCAAGTACAAACCATATTCTTCCAGTCCTTCGTCGCAACTGCAACCATCGCTTCCGCATTCTTTTTGTCAAGTTGCTCGGTGATCAGAGTGATGGTCATGTTCTTCGATTAAGTACGAACACCGGTCACCGCCGCCCCCCCTCTGCTCCACACAAAGTCAATTAACGGGATGAGTGAGAGGCTGTCACTTGAGGATGCGCCCATCCTGCGTTTCCGGCAGTTACATCAAGATTTACTTGTCTATGCTAGTCAGAGTATGATGGATGAAGAGGAAATACAGTTTATGGCGAATCTTGTAGCAGTAGCGCCAGATCTACTTGACCCACTGTCTCTAGCACCACGTAATGCCTTGGAACGTGCAGCACTTGAAGCAAATACGGTTAATGTGAGTGGAAAACACGTGGATGTGTCACCAATTATACAACAAGAGATTTGTAAACTTAGTGATACATTTCATGTGAGTGAAAAGACGTGTTTGGAGTTTTGGTTACTAGCAAGTGAGGAGCAACAACGTGAATGGGTGGAACTTACGGATCAGTTACTACCAGGTACAATTGCTCACTCTGTGCAGAATGCAGCACGCTATTTTTTGATAACGGAGACAGAGTACAAACTGCATTTACTCAAGGAGCTACTACGACTGCGTCTTGAGACGAGATTAGAGAAACAGCGTGCACAGTTTATTGTTACATTTACAAACAAGCTATTGACTGAGGAGCTAGTGACACATCTAGTCAATGCTTTTGATAATCAACTGGTACAACTAGCACAAGTGCCTCGGATGGAACAAAGTGTAAGCTATTGGCATACGCTCGTGGCCGATTGTTTGGTATTTATTGTATCCAGTACATTGATCCTGGCTCAAGAAGTCCAGAAACTTGCCGAGTTGTTGAAGATGTTGTGTGGACGGCTGAAAAGCGTAGTGGCAAAGGTTTCACCGCATATTGTCAACCTTTCGTCGTTTGCTCAATTGTTTGAAGGTGGATCGCTTTCAGGAACATCGCCAGAAGGAGCAGTGAGACAGGTGGCGTGTATGTTACAGACGATCACTGCGCTCCAAGTGGCGCTATTTACCGTTTTGCTACAGAAAACGAAAAAGATGGATCGTGAAACAGGTGACATGGAGATTGGCGTTGCATTATGCCGACGAGAGCACGCTCTCGTGGTGAAAGAGTTGCACCGCATTTTTTTCGAAGATGAGTGGGAGCAGAAGAGTTTTCAAAGCGTTGCAATGCTTGCATGGGCTGGGTTTCTTGCAGGCAGTGATGACGGCATCGGCAGTAACCGCAATGTCACTTTTTCTGAGACCGAAGCTGCAACTCGCGTGGTCAAAAAGGCAATTGAAGAGCGCGTTTTTCATACGCTAGTGGAGGTTCAACTTAAATATATGCCGGACCGAAAGCGAGACTTGCGGTTGTACAACATTTACGAACGAAACTTTGAGCTCTTGTTCCGTACGTATTCGTCCAAAATGATGATTGACGTTCCTACGGTCGCTGACAAGGCAGCACTAGCTGCCATGCAATCCGAGAGCGATGGCGAAGTAGCTGCTTGGACTGGCGACTGCCTTGAAAACATTATTGATTTTGCAATAGCGTTGTGCGCTCGCAATGCAATGTTTTGTTGCTCGTTCTGGCGCGGAACAAACTACGAATTTGGCTTTCACGACAGCAGTGGTGGTGGCACAGTAAGCAATGCAGAGGACGACATGCAACAGCCTGAGTCACGTTTTGGCAGTGTTGATGGTGGAAATTGCTACGACTTTTTGATCGCTTGCCGTGATGCTGCGTATAAAAATCCTGGGTGTTTGGCTGCTTATATACGATTAGTTGCATCCACCGCGAGCGGGCCCGAGTGTGCCCAGCAGGCATTCCACCACATCAAGCAGAACCCACAGCAACTTAGTTGGGATCAGTTCTTTGCTGTAATGGCAAAGTATCAGCGACTTCTTACAGATGCTGAGAAACCTGCCGGCTATTCATCGCTCATGCCCGTTGGCGGTACCCAGGAAATTGGAATCAGTAGCAGCACATTTAATAATGTGGGCAATGCAGGTAACCCTGGTCCCCGATTCATTCGTCCTAAGGAATTGGAAGCATTAGAAACCATCCAGTTACTAATCCAGGAAGTGGTTTCGGATCCTCAGCTAGCACTGATTTTTTTCCACAACCACGATTGGTCTCCAATCCCGACATTTGTAGCTTTTCTTCAGTGTCGCATCCCCAGTTCGCTCAAGGGTTCGATAATGAGGACCCTTGCCGTCTTTGCGCGAGTGTCGGACATTGCGCCATATGTATGGCGCCAAGTAGACGCGTTGCAGATCTTGCGTACAATGGGGGATACATCGGTTTATGGCAATCAGGATATTAGCTATGAACTTGAACATTACGAGTCTTTGAGTAGAACGTACCCGGCAACGCGAGGATTTGTTACGTTGCTGTACGAATTGTTTGGAAATCCTCACGCGTGGAAGTCGTTTGAAGGCGACGGTCGTGTTGCTGCGATCCAGTTTTATTTCGAATTTTTGCTCGAACACGTGTTCCTGAAGTTTGATTTACGGAAGTACGAGCGAGAAGAAGAAAAGTGGGCACTTGTGAACGGCACGCTCGCCATTTTCAAGAAAATCTTACGGAGCGCAGGCACGTCAAGCACCGAAGGTACTTTATCGTATCAGATACTTGCTCGATTCTTATCGAGCAGTCCTTTGTTGAACAAAGTGCTATCTATTGTATCTGGAGACGGAGGTGTAGAAAATTTGGAGAACACATCGACGGATATGCATCTTGAGCATGCATTCTTTTACTGCCTTGACATTGTCAAGCGCGAAACTGAGGTGAAGCATGGATCTCTGAACTTTGTGATTGACGTGTCGAAAAGACCTAGTGACACGTACCTGACCAAAACCACAGCAGTTGCTGCGCTGCGAGAGCAATGTGTGCAGCATGCACTCGAGATTTTTGTTTTGGTGCTGGAGAAGGACGTCCAGTTTGTGAATATCGATCTCAACCGTCAACTGTCGCACCGACTGCAAGTGGAAACGTTGCACACTATCTTGTGCCGTCATCGTTCTGACTTTGTGAATATTATTAAGTACATTAAGTATTCAAAGTCAGCTCACATTCCACATTTGTCCACGGTGATTCTTCGTCGTATTAGCGCGCGTATGAGCGGAGCCAACCTTGTCGACTTGCTTGTCGACAGTGGAGCAAGTGCCGATATCATAATCGGATACATGAACCGTTTGCTGAACGTGTATAATGATGACGAAAACGAGCAAGTCGAAAATGATACGGGAAGTAACGGCGAGCAAGATACTGAATCTGACTCGGACAGCCTGCCGTCATCAAGAAGGCGAAAACGTCAAGACAGCCGCACAATATCTTCTTCGTTTGAGTTGTTTGCTCAAGAGACGTCTCCACCTTCAATTCGTGCTGCGATTCTCGATCTGCTTCTCGAAAATTTGAACAAGCCAGCGCCTAACTTGGCGCATTTGCTACTAGGCAATGTAGGATTGCGTGGAGACTCTACAAGAGTACCAATATCTTACATGAACACTGGCCTCGCCGCTGTCATTACCCTCGTATCAAACGCGGACTTTGGCTTGGAGACACCAGAACTGGCGGAGCGGTGCTATCATGTTCTGCATAATTTATTAACTCAGGAGTTTTCGTCTTCGAACACTATAGCTGCGTTAGAAAATGCTCCAAATGACTATTTCGTCTCTCAGATTCAGTTATTCAGCCGTGTCTACTGCGTAAGGAGGAGAAAGACGGCTGCTGCTACTATTGCTGAGCTGAACATGCGCGGGTGGTTTTTCAAAACGCTGGCGGTGTACTTGCATATGGGGCTGCATAAAGAACCTCCGCACATGAAGAAAATCAACAAATTCATGAGACAGTTGCTGTCGGTAGACAGTAGTAATGATCAGCATGCTATCGAACAAATGCTGCTGATTCAGCTGCTTAATGAATGTTCGTTCTACATATCTCCTCCGCCTGTGCCGACAAACCAGCATGTAGTGGCCCTGGCTGAACAGGTGACCGCAGCCGTGGAGCAAGGTTGCTATTACAAGTGGCTCAAGATTGACGTTGAGCGCTTTTGCCAAGCGCTTCAGACGCTTGATTTGACGGTAACTGATGACGGGACGGGTGATTACTACTCAACGTCGAGCAAAAGGTTTCGCGTGAATGGAGACGGTGCTAGCAGTACCAGCAGTCAAAACAGCACAGAGACAGCGGCTGAGAGGTTGGTTCAATGGGCCGTCCAATGGAACATTTACTCTGAGCGAATTGCAGCTGAAAGCCACGCGTTGAATTCGCTGCGCGAGCTTACGGAGGTGATTGTGCTGGACTACCTTGCATTGCCGCGTGAACAAGAAGAGCTCGAGACACCAGCAATGTGGCAGGGTCTGGATGCTGTTGCGTCCGCAGAAGTGCGACTGGAGCTGATGAGCGGTATTGTGGTAGCGGTGCTTAGTAAGTTGACGGAGAAGGCAAGTATCTCTGCTCAGTTGTTTGAGATCGTATCTCGGATTGCTTTAATGGTCTTCTCGCAGCTCACTTACACAGACGATGTAAGTCAGGCCTTGGCTTTGCCAGCGAGCCGTCATCGTCAAAGCACGGGATTCCTGGAACTGTTGTTTCGTTCCATCCATAACAGCGCTGCAGCGACAGGAAACCCGTCAGCTGCGCGCAACTCTCGAACATTGTTGTACACCTGCGTTGTGCACGTGCTGCACGCGTTGTCAAGCAATGCTTCGCAGGATTTGGTCTCGTCAAAAACCGGTCTAGCGAACACTGCGTTAGGTCAGGACCAGCGTGTTCGGTATCTTCTTACCAACCAGGTTGTCGATTTGATCTGCAGGGATGCGAGTGATGGTGACGATACTCTCAGCATGGCACTAGCAGTGTCAACGCTAGAGTCTCTGATTGCTTTTGAAGATGTCTTGTCGCTTGTCCCAATATTCCGTGAACGTGGCTATCTCTTACACTTCATTGATATCTTCAAAAAGCTCAGCGAGATGGATGCAATGGCCTTTGAACGCGGCAGCGGTGGTTCATCAATGGTGAAAAGCAGTGTGCTTCCTCACGAAATGGATCCTGCGACCATTGGCACGATGTATGAGTGCTTTTTGTCGCTTTTCACCCGGGCTGCTGAGTCACAAGAAGGAGCGGTGGTTTTGTTGGAAGATGGCTTGGTCCGTGTACTATCTGATATCCGTAACTTACCTACACATCGACCACAGTATTTTGCTCAGAACCAGCAAAGCACTGCACCATCCTCTATTGCGTCCATTACATCTTTTCAGCGCGTTGAGGCTGTATATTACCGTAAGTGGCTTCCCGTCGCGCGTCTGCTGAGCGCATGCTGTGCTTCGTTGCCTAAGAACCGCGCTCTTGCTAGGCAAGTTCTGTATTTTGTGAACAAGAACCGGAAGCTGTTCACATCAGCGTTGAAGCTATGCTCTGGTAGCTTGCAGTCGCAGCCAATCTCTGTTAACCTCCTCCGTGAGGTGTCGTACGTGACGTTTGTCTTTCGCTACGTTACCCAGTTTCCTGACTTGTGCGAACAAACGTTGGCAAAAGCCAAGTGGGAGAAAATTTCACACTTGATTCTTCAGGTTTTCCTAAGCTACAGCGCTGAGCTAGTGCCTCCTAGTAATGATGATGATGGAATGAGTGATAGTAAAGACGTCTCGTGGTGGAACAGCAAGGCTGCCGGTTCTGCAGAGGAACAACGCAACGCGGTCATTCAGCGCTTTTCTTGCTTGGATTGGGACGATAGACTTTTGGAGCAGTGCAATACTGCAGCCATGAAGTCCAGTGGCAGCGCAAGTCTACTGCACATGTCTTTATTGGACGAGGAGAAGTTGTACGCGTCTCGAATGATCTTGTGCAATGCTGTAGCTATCTGTGCGAGTCGAATGATGCTTGCAGTGGGTGAGGGCAGTGCTGGTCGCGCTGCTCCGCTGCTGTCCATCGCAAACAAAGCACAGCTGCAGAATCGGAATCAATTTCCATCCATGTCCTCGGTGGACCCACACGCGTTTGTAGTGGCTACGGACCCGTTGTGGACTCATGCTCCGTCAATTAATGAGTTTACGGCGCGCTTTGACTCCGTTGTGCTTGCTTTGGAGGCGAGCAAACAGTTGGTGGATGCGCTGACAGTTCTGAAGAACGAAACTGTTTCGGCACGCTCAATTTCTATCGCTTCTGCGTCGTCGCAGCAGCGGTCTCTTGGCCGGCGCGAGTACGAGTGTGATAGTACACTACTACAAAATGTACTGGAGTATCACGCCGACAGCTTGGCGTTTATTGTGGAAAATATGCTCGTGGTGCTGCTTTTACATTTTGCTCACTACCTGAGACACCCGCAAGCAGCAGCCAGCATTGGCGTCGTGCAGCAGACACTCGGCAAAGTGCTTGCCATTGTCAGCGACATTGAGGTAGTTGCGCTTTTTAGTAATGTACCTGGTGGGTTCTTGTCTAACATGCTTTCTTGTGCATGTATTGTATTGCAGACCAACCCCTTCGTCCACGCGATCGCTAGAAGACTGCGAGAATTAGCATTGAGTAGTAGTTAGTCAACCAAGATTCAACAAGCAAACTTTTTTGACGTGTGCGCCAAGGTGTTGAGGTACCAGTGCAGACGGCATCCAACGTCGCGTGCGAAGAGCACAGTTGCAAGAAGTCTATACGATAGACTCGAGCTCTTCTTTCTACGGTTGACACGTGCTTACTGAAAGCATCTATCTTTAGCGAGAAAGATGAACGAGAGCAGCATTGTCGTAATCTACCTGGACAATCACCACGTCTTGCTGTCTTCATCATGTGTGTTGAGATTTGTAAAAAAGATCACGTCCGTTTGCAACAGAGACTTGAGTCGTTGAATGTGACCAACGTTGCAGCAGATATTCGTTTTCATGCACAGGAGCCATTACTAGTGCTACCATTCGCACAACTTGTTCTCTACCACCTTCGGCTTTGCAAGTCCGAGTCCACCAAGCCGTTCCTGTCCGTGACTTCGTCCACATAAACATGGCAACTACAAACACTGACCTGTTTGACATTATAATGCAGTTGAAGTATCGCATGGATGCTGGATTCTACCTAATGGTGTGCATGCTTTCTATCATAACATGTGGCTTTTGGAACACCAGACAGCCGGTCAATTGATTCTACGGCTGTTGTTATATGACTATTGAGGGGATTGTATTGTATCAGGTGCAAAAAAAGACATGACGTCATACAAACGGACTGAATCAGTCTCATATGTGACGCACCGACGTGATATACATACCTCTTGAGCCAAATGTCACCTCTATTCTACTATACGTCAATACTTATCAGATTCAAAAGTCACACGTCAATATAAATAACCCCTCAAAACAACTCGAGCGAATCAGACGTAATAAAAAAACAATCCTATAAAACTATGAAAAGTATTATATTCAATCAATGTATTGAATCAATACTCAGAAATTAGTCGCCTTTTATCTGACGCCACCATACGCAACGTATTATTCAATCATGATGACCAACGTTGCAGTCTTTGAACAAGCGGCAAAGAAATCATGGCAATCTTTTAGTACAATGCGACGCTTTATCGATGAAGCAAGACGATTAGAAAATGCGAGTTGGCGTCTATGGTATCTCCACTCGAATCAGCAGTCTTGTGACAAGATCAATTTAAAACTTCCACTAGATGATACAACAAGTCTCACAGGAGATGATCACGTTGTTTGTATCTATTGTGAACTACATCAGGCAAGTCTCCGCTGTCATGGCTGTTGTCATGATCCCTATTGTGTGAATTGTTTTAAACTCATCCACAAGAAGGGGAATCTAGCAACGCATACTGCAAGTAAAATACATTACGTAAGTAATTTAAACGAGAAGAGAAAAAGAAAACGAGAGATTGTGAAAATTGATATATTGTATATCATGTATGAAAGAGATTGATTGATCGGTAATCCTGTTTATCTTGATAATGATACTATTAATACCAGTCAAACACGGAACGAAGACATAGTAGCAGTGGTGATGAGACGTCCACAACTGAAGAAGAGACGGATTTATCAAGTACATTACATCATATTCAAGTTCCAAGCGAAGAAGAAATGATAATACTAGGAGGTATCAAATCACTACAAAAAACAAATGGATCGATCGTGAATAAACCTTGGGAATTACAAATGGATTTGCTCCTTCAACGACTTATGATCAATAGTTTACACAATGATTCGGACATCAGGTGGGGTCTGGATATTTCAAGAAAGCTCTTTGTTTAAATGAAGGACAGACGTGGAACTTTCCATGCTGTTTTCTATTATGGTACCTATTTTGTGTGACTTTGTTGACGTGGTGATTGAGATTTTTGTGTGTCTATGTGTGTGTTTGTTTTTTGGATGTAGTGTGCATAATATTGATGCTCGTGAGTCACTGGGCTCGCATGTCTTGGACAGTGAAGATACGGCGCCACTGCTTTCTATCGGTCATACAGGCGAGACTGACAAAGAAGCAAAGGAACAGTCAAACGAGGCAGTTGTCGCGGCTGCCGTTGCCTCTGCCGACCGACACCGAGCGCATTCTTTGACTAGTGAGGAGAATGGAAAGATACGCTCAGCGGCAATGTCACCAATAGTGTCGATACGCCTGTCACCGTCTCTTAATGTGGATGGCATTGTGGAAGATGTTGCACTGCCGACGAATTTGTTTTCTAAGGGTTTACCCCGAATAAACAGTCGTCGCAATGACACGCAGACATGTGCAAACTGTAATGGAAATCATATAACGGTGGAGTGTCCGCTATTGGAAAGCACCCAATTTTCCTCGACGACTACGGTAGCGTCTGGAGGGTCTGGAGTGGATATAGTGCTGCGAAAGTGTTTTACCACAATCCACAATAGCAATATGTCAAACAGTACACACGCATTCCTGGGCGACGAAGTCAGTGTTCGTGGCGGCAATAATTTTGCTAGCATGAGACAATTGCCATCCAGCAGCGCCTTGCAGCAAATGGACCGACCGTCACCATTTGGAATGAACGTGATTGCGGAAAATAATTTGATGGCAAATGATGACATTGCACCAATGCTAGAAAAACTTGCAGTACCGAATGCAGGAGGCCGCCTTCATTCGTGGAGCGCAGACTCATGGTTACTATCATGCTTGGCGACTGAACTACCTTCCGACGTATTTGAGGAGTTACGAGGGCTAGGACGAGTAGACAAACATTGGTCTTACTTAACGGGACCTGATTCGGTTGTGATAGCTCTTACGGGCTGGGCATACCTGAAGGTACCGGGAAAAAAGTGGCGCAAAAGGTTTATGTCATTGTACCGCAACAACCTTTGGGAGTACTTGGATGCCAACGAGACAAGCCGGCCAGTAGGTCATGCTAACTTATTTGAGGGATCCGTGCACCTACAGCAGCGGAGCACGTTCGAGTTTGTGCTAAATTACAATAGCCGCTCGTCGGTGTTATCGGGACGCAACGAGTTGTGGCTGAAGTTCGATTCGGAAAAGGATGCAGTGCAGTGGAAGGCGATGATAATGCAGGCTATCAAGCTACAAATTGACGACTTGTTTGACCTGACCCCTGATTCACCCACAGGGACAACTGGAAAGAGCTTTGAGCTCGGCAAAGGACGATTTTCTGTCGTTCGTCGTGCACGTAGAAAAGTGTTTTCGAATGACTCTTCTTGTTCACGCAATTGCGCTCTCAAAATTATCGAGAAGAGTGTTTTTTGGGACTTGGTGGCTTGCGATACTGAGCGCGAAGACACGGTGGTGCGAGAAATATTGACGCAGAGTTTGCTGACGGTCCGTTCGGGTTCTTCATACTGCCCAGTGGTTCGACTTCAGTCGCTGTTTGAAACACGTGACCATTTGGTCATGGAGCTGGAGCTCATGAATGATGGAGATCTTCATGACGAAATTGCGACCAAAAATGCGGTAGATGAGACACGTGCCTCATTCTTGATTGCTAGCCTTGTGCAGGCAATTGATTATTGTCAACGGAATGGCGTTGCCCATCGAGACGTGAAGCTTTCGAATCTTGCGCTCGACTATGAACGCAGCACAACTGGCAAAGAGTACGCGGCTACTGTATCTGTTATTGGTGAATGACATTCAGTTTACATTATGTGATGCGACAGATACTCGGTGATCAAAGTTGCGGACTTCGGCATGGCAGCATTTATTCAACCAGATGGAATGCTAAAGGGAAGGTAGGCCATTCAGCTTATGCCAGTTTTTTTGTCTTTCAGGTGTCATGCCTTCGTCAAATATCGTGAAACGCTCTGTTGATGGCATTGACTAAATTGTTGCAGATGTGGAACCCCTGGTTTTGTCGCACCAGAAATTCTATCAGCAGGGAAAGGTGAAGCGTACCCTAGCGGAGTTGATATGTTCTCTGCAGGTGTTGTGGCCTACACAATGCTGTGTGGCTATGAGCCTTTCTTTGGTGTAAACGATGAGGAGCTTATTCAAATGAATAAGCGGGTTGATTACGAGTTTGAAGAGCCGGAATGGGCTTGCATATCCGACGAGGCTAAGGATATGGTAACTAATTGTAATGTATTGCAAGGACGGACGGCCAGCATACTTATTATGTGTTTGTTGGAGTGTAGATTTCTCTTATGATGGAAAAGGATCCATACAAGAGGGTCACGCCAAAAGAGGTGCTACAGCATCCATTCTTGCGAAGCGCAAACGCCACATTGGAGGACCTCTATCGAGTACAAGAACCTATATTCCCGACCCGATTACTATAAAATGGATTTGCATTGCCCATGATCTGAATGATGTATGGACAAGAAGAGAAGTTTTGATTTTCGTCATATGATATCTGCTGCATGCTTTTTCCATTGATACTGACGGAAAACGAAAGGCAATATACCTTTTTGTACCAGTGTTATGTAGCCCTGTTGAGATACGCATCTAAAGGGAAGGATAGATAACGCGCGGTTTCCTGGACAAAGCGGGCGTCAGCTAGGCAGCGGAACTTGATATTATCCAGTACATGTGGTGCTGTGGTGCGCTGAAAGAGCTGCATTCGTACGAGAGTCGCGAGCTACAAACCAACCGCATACTTTAGCACGCTGATAATGTGAAGCATAAGCAAAAGAAAAACTCACATGCGTAAACGCTTCCTCGCGTGTTTCTGTAGAGCGAGATTCATCATCATAGGCAAGGCTTCCTGCCTCAGCTTCTACTCGAAGGTTTAAATAAATGGCTAAAAGCCGCTGTAACGTAAATATTCGGGGACCGATGAGGAGTTGACTGATCTGCTGTTTCTTGTTGCTAGACGATGATTTCCCATCAACGTTTTTCTTGGCACGTTTTTTTCGATGCTGTCCACCAGAAGACGAAACGAAGCGTAGATCAGTGTCTTGAGGATTGAACGAGGCCAAATAGCCTGCGAGTACGAGCAGTAAGCAATTTCGGCTCAAATTGGTGCACGAAATCAGTTCAGATGGATCATCAATCCCGCCTCCATACAGCTTGTGGTAACCAAAAAGATGTTTTCGCCGCGTATGAAGAAACGCTTGGACGAGTGTTTTGGTAGCACGTTCAATCTTATTCTTCAGCTTTGAGGCTTCAGAGCCTTGTACATGTAGCAAGAACAACTCGCGAAACTCTGGCAAGAGATGCACAACTGCAGCTCGAAATTGAAGCCAATCTCCATCGGGTGCAGGTGGTAATAGTCCGTGCAAATGAATAAGCCACGTGCGAAACATATCGTTTGCTTGCTTCATGTTCAACTGTTCCACAAGAATGTCAGCTAATTGTCCTACAAAGGTAGCATCTACATGGTCAGCATTATCGAAAAGCATCATTAACAACCATTTCCAATGTTAAATGCCTTCCGTCACCTGGTTTGTATGGTGCAAAATGCACATAAGCTGGAAAAAACGGCATCACCAATCGATCAAACTCGAATGAGATTCCACGTGTGATCAATAAGACACAAACTTCCCAAGGTGGAGAATCATCAAACATCTACGACACATGAAACCAACAACAAACACACCAAACAACACCCGAAAGCATTTAATCTTCTTGACCACTCACTTCAACCACTTGATATCAATCTTTCCATCAGAATTCTTACATTCAAATAGCCAAGTTGTTCATTTATGGTGCAGATACATGTAATTAATGCTCCAAGTCCTCGATCCAGTAATTTATCCACATGATCCAAAGCAAAATAAAGCACTTGTCGAGTGGATTGTTTGGTGGGTTTTTCGGCTTTATTCGACATCATAAACCCATTTAAAGCTTTAAAAAAACCCAAAAAATTAAGTGAACTATAATTTTCGTCGGTTTCTGACGGTTTTTTATTGCCAGCTGTTTTTTTACAGTTTTCCGTCTCCATACAAATTATCAGATTTTCCGTGTCGGTATAAATTACTTCGTTATATAATTGTGCCAATGCTTCGCGGTAAAATTCTTTGGCCGAATAAAGCGCCGTGCAGTCGACGAATGTATGAGGCGCTGGGTGTGTCTTTAATGCCTTTGATACACTCATACTTTTACCTGTAGATGCTGCACCATAAACAATTATAAGTGGTGCTGGAGACTCGAATACATCAGCATATAACCCTGTTACACGTGTTAACTCTGCTATCTGAGCTTCTCGTCCGATCATAAGTAGCAATTTATCTTGCAGTGATATTAGTTTACCCTGACATAGATTACGAGCCGTAATTTACAGCTTGAGGTTGGTAATATATTTACACTGAAGAGTAAAAAACAATAATGATAATTTAAATATAATCTAGCGCAATTATATGATCGATTTGACAGATTAATTAGCATACTCAAGACTGTATATGCTATACCGGTATTATCGTCAATGTCAGTATACGACCTCGGTATTTCCTCAACCGTCACGTCGGACTACTAACTTCACTTCATTTGCCAATCCACTTGAACATTATCGTCATGGCCCCTCATGCTGCTGAGCTATTTGACATGATGAGCGGTGCCATTGACGAAGTTGGTCCATCACTCGTAAACAAAGTGAATGGCACGATCAAGTTTGATATTACAGGTGCTGAAACGTGGTTTGTCGATCTCAAGAATGGCAAAGGCAGCGTGAAGATTGCAACGACAGAGGATAAGGCCGATCTGACGATTGTTTTGTCCGAGGAGAATTTTTTCAAGATGATGGACAATCAATTGAATCCACAACAGGTTCTTGGCATGGAAATTCAAGACTAGAAGTGTTTGGAGATGAAATAAAGTGCAGCATGAGATGAATGCTCACGTTTGTGTCTCTATTTCTGATCAATATGCAGGCGTTTATGAAGGGACAAGTTCAGATTAAGGGCAAGACGAGACTTGCTATGAAACTGAATCTCGTGCTAGCAGCTACTCGCAATTATATGAAAACAAAAGGTAGTGAGGACAAGACTATAGCAAATGCTACTACTACTGCTCCTGTGGCCGTCCCAGCAGCTACTAGTGAAGGCCTTGATTCGAAAGAAATCTTTCGCCTGCTTGGAGAGGCCGTGGCCAAGGACGGTGCTGTCATGGCCAAGAAGGTCAAGGGCATTATCCAATTTGACATTACCGGGGCTGGCACGTGGAATCTAGACCTGAAAAGTACCACGCCGCTGCTTACGGAAGGGTCGAAAAAAGCTGATGTTACCATTACAATCAGTGATGCGGACTTTGTCGCCGTTGCTATGGGAAAGCTTAATGCACAACAGGTACAATGCATATGTAGGAAGAAACGGATTGCGCTGTTGTTGTCTGACCTTTTACGCATGTACCTCAGGCATTCATGAAGGGCAAGCTCAAGCTCAAGGGCAACATGGCACTCGCCATGAAGCTGCCGGTCGTGTTCGAAGCGCTCAAGCCGCAATCCAAGCTGTAGAATCACAACGTAATCGACAAAACGAAGCGACAGATAAATGTATGCTGGTCGGTTTTAAAAGACAACGTTCGATCATATTGATGAGTTGTTCTCTACCAAGCTTCTCGGTTGATGCTCAGTGTTGAAAGAATTCTCGTATACATTAGTGCCCAAAACGTGACATGATAACCAATGTGTCAGCTTCTTTCTTGCTATCGCACGCAACACCTCGCCCCACTGGACGTCTTGTTTTTACTATACCATAATCGTTGCGTACGAGAAACAATCAAATGCCCTCATCTCTTCCACCTCAAACGTCTTGGCCCAGCAAGATAGTTGATAAACAATCAACTATCCGATACAACTAACTAGCTGCATGACGAGAGACAGCGGTATCGTCACGTTGCTCTGCTCTACTGTTGTTTGGCCTTCAAGGTCTTCTTCTTGCTGACAACCGTTTCCCAGCCCTCATCAGCGTCCTGCTTTAGAGCAACAGCTGCAGCCTTCTTCTTCTTCTCCTTTTCTTTCTCCTTCTCCGTGTCCACCACCGGTTTTCCAGAAGAGCTCACAGCTGCGCGCTGCTTGGCCTTGGCATTTTTCTTCTTTTGCTTCAGCTTGAGCTTACGTCTTTCTGCACGAATGGCTTCTTCTTCCTCTGAGTCCGGACCATCCTGTCATACATTCATTACAATCGATTGTCAGCAGTCACAAACTCAGTCTCAACTCATGATCCAGCAACTTACATCCACAAACTCCTCCAAATTAATATCCGATACACTCTCCTTCTCAGCAGGTGTAGCAGCATTAGTACCAGCAGTAGAAGTAGCAGTAGTAGCAGCTGCACCAGTCTCAGCTGTTTTCTTCTTACTCTTGCTCTTGTTTTTCTTTTTCTTAGAGGCTGTCGTAGCTGGCGATGTTTTGCCACTTAGCACTTTGGCTGCTGTTAGACCAACTGCTGCAACGACAAGTGCACCACCTAAAGCAATACTAGTAGCTGCATTCTGCTCTACTAGTGCAACAAGGGAATCAGCCATTACGTAGCAGTAGTCAATCGAAAGAAGAGATATCAAGTCAAGTCTTTAGAGACTTTAGGGTCAGAATCACAAATGTCGTCATGGAATGAATCAATAGAGATTGAGCTCAACCCCAAAACGCAAAAGCCACGTGGCTAGGAGCACCGTAATTTTTAGAATTACAAACTCATGTAACTCTAAACTTCCAAACACGTCATCATTTGGCCATGTCAGATTGTGATACAAAAAAGACAGCTTTGTGTCGACAGGGGGTATTCCTTTCTACAATCTCATCTGTGTAGCTTAAATACGCGATTGGTTTAAAGTACGAATTCGTACCTGTTAAAAACTATCTTTTCGTCATACTGCTACAGACTGTTATGCAAGAATGAATGTCATTATTGCACTTGATCATCATTATTATCCTTACTATTATTATCATGAGCTTGCGTGTAGATGGCAAGTTATTATGGCGTAAACTCTTTGTATTTGATTATCAACCAGATGATGACGTATACATCAGTACTCAAGACATTACAGACCGACTATGTGGCGTCATTCAGACCGCCATCGCCCGTGAACGTCATGAGCCTTTACGTCAAATGTTACTGCAGCGTCTCGGATATTGGCTACGATCGGACGTTGTGTCTCCATTCTGGCGCTTCTTTGACGCTCTACCGGTAGAAATTGATCGATATGGAAGCTCTCGATCTGGAAGAAGACGTGTGGCTCTACTGTGCGCCCAGCAACTGACACTTGCACTACAATTTGCCGAAGACGCCTTTGCTCATTGTGTGCAGATCGCCAGTCTCTTTGACGATCATGTGCCACTCGAAGAGCAACATAACAAGACAATGTTGCAGGAGATAAGGACGAGCTTCCGGTGTGTGATATTTGAAGACTTGCAAGCGGTCGCGAGGTTCGAGGAGTTGCTGCTCATCTTTTTCTCGATGAGCTTTGAGAAATTCCGACGTGAGGAAAAGTCACACACTTTTGACTCGAGACCGATACGACAGACACTGCTACAGTTACAATGGATGGATGTGATGGAGCTAGCATTGCTACGGGTGCTACACTCACAGGTGAAGAAGGTGGTGAGGTCAATGTGTGGAGAAGTATACGATGAGCCGTTCCTTGCACAAGTGGAGCAATGGACGTGCACTGAATTTCTGCCGTGGCTGGAGGAAATGGCGCAGACAAATGATGCTGCGTCGTTGGAAAAATGGAAACAGATTCTATCGCGACACGTGCTTCAGGAATTTGGAAGCCGACGCATTACGCAACTCTTTGAGATTATCAAGGAATTTCCTGACAGGTGAGGGTTGCCAATTTGTGTACTTTTGCTGAATATATTGTGTAGTGACTTTTGTCAAAAAAAGCGTGCCAGCTTTGGAGGATCTTCGACAGTGTCTTGAGCGTACCCAACAGCACGGCGAGCTCGTGCAAGAATTCCGAGATGTGTTGCAGTCGCGACTACTCCAGCCAGGAGCCAACACATCTGCAATTCTGGATATTTATGTGTCTACCATCAAGGTAAGAGCTGATATCTAATGTTAAGGGATCGGCGCTGCAACAAATAGACCAGACTTCGGACTAACATGACTGCTGAAGGCGTTCCGACTTCTAGACCCGAAGGGCGTCTTGCTTGAAGCATTGAGCGGCCCTGTGAAGGAGGTAAGCTAACACGCAAATGTTTGATAGAGATTGTTGCTAGAATCCTTACAAGCATCGATCGACTGCTGCAACTCTGGCAGTACTTGAGGAAGCGTAAAGACACAGTGCGCTGCATCGTCCAGAGTCTTACCGATGAACAAAATGGCGATTTATTCGAAGAACTTCGCCGCGATAACATGCGTATCATACAGCATGACGACGATAGCGATGATGATGAGGTGAGTTATAGTAATTAGTGAGGAAGGTATTGCCATGTTGACGGTAATGTTTGCATGAAGGATATATCACCGGATTTGTGGGAGCCAGATCCAATTGAAGCGGACCCGACAAAATCCTCGCAAAGTCGAAGCAGCGACGACATTTTAAGAATTTTGGTACGATGCGGATGTTGAATGTAAATAGCATCACTTATTAATTAACGCCTCCGTGGTAGGTTAATATCTATGGAAGCCGCGAGCTTTTTGTAAATGAATACCGGATGATGCTGGCAGATAAGCTACTGCAAAATCGTGAATTTGATACCGATCGCGACGTGCAGACATTAGAATTGTTAAAGCTGCGTTTTGGAGAGGAGAATTTGCAGCAGTGTGAGATCATGGTGCGCGACATTGAAGACTCAAAACGGGTTAATTTGAATATTCAATCTTCGATGGAGAACTCGGCTGTAAAGGCTGCAGCAAGAGATGGAAGAGTGATGGACCAACCTGACTGGGCTGAATATTCGCTCTCATATGTCGATGCAACGATTGTTTCCCAACAATTTTGGCCACCGTTGCAAGGTGAAGACTTTGTGCTGCATCCAACCGTGTCGAAGAGAATTGACGCGTATACAGAATCATACCACGTCCTGCGCAATCCACGTTCTCTGAATTGGAATGCTTCACTTGGGTCCGTTCAGGTGCGTTGAAGAATCGCTTTCAGATACATGATTAATCAACAAGGGTACTCGCTGTGTTAACATAATCTTTACAATGCCATATAGCTGTCAATTGATATGCAAGGCGAAGAGCGCGAGTTTACTGTCTCGCCTCTTCAAGCCACGCTGATACTTTATTTTGAAGAAAGAGGTAAAGCACGCACAGCAACGTTCTCGAGATGAAGGTCTTACCAATCCTTTCGAATGCTCTATACAGACCGTTGGACTGTTGAAGAGCTTGCTGCAAAATTAGAAGTTTCTGACGATGTGCTACTGAAGCATGTGTCTTTGTGGTTAAACCACGGACTGGTTTCGTTTGCATCGGGACGAAAAGAACTAGTGGCAAGCACATCATTCCAGGACGCTCGGTGCAATGGTGACTCGGCAGTTGATGAACTTGAAACTGCCGTGTCATCCGATGCTCAAGCAGAAGAGGATTTCAAGGTGCTGGAGAATTACATCGTGGGCATGCTCTCAAACTTTGGGTCACTTAGTATCCAGCGAATCCACAATATGCTATCCACATTTGCGCGAAGTGGTGCACAACCATGTACGTGACGCAATCAACGAAAGCACACCTTGTTGTTGTTCTCACCGATTAATACTATCCTACTACATGCATATCTTCTGCAGACACCAAGACAATCTCTGGACTTTCGGTAGTTCTTGGCAAGCTAGTCACCATCGGCAAGCTCGAACTTATTGGTGATCACTACCAACTTACTAAATAATCTGTTGCATCACGCAATGTAGCAGGAAACAGGAGTTTGGACCTCTTTTAAAACCCTTCAGGGCATCTCTTGTATGTGTGGCCGACCGTAGCGCATGTCAAACAGATTGGTTTTGGCGCATCTTCACCCTTTTCACCACACTTGCTTGAGAGTTGACCCATTGAGTACGCTCTCGCCACTCGCTTTTCATACGTCAGTCCACTATGGCAGCCAAACTAGCGTATAAACAATTAAACAGAAAGAAGACGATAAGAGTCACTGGATTAGATATGAATACAGGGCTGTGTCATAGAGTTTTACATACCTTGGCATTCTGCTCAAAGTCCTTGGGTATATTATAATGTTTCTATATTACGATAACAACAGCATAAAATATCTAGCCATAAAGTACAGTACTTTATATTAAATGCTCACCATTTACCTGAATATACTCAATAATAGTTTTCATTTCTTTTGATATTTCATGCTTTTTGTGTTTATGCTTGTATTTGACCGTCTAAAACACAGAAAAACTCACAAATCTCAAACATAAAATCCGGCGAAATTTGCAAAGTTTGACATTTTTCTGAATATTTCGTTTTCTTCACCTCGTAAATAAAGGTCGGAATATACGCTTTCGACTCGTTGTCGCTCTGTTTCGTTATCTCCTTTTCACTGTCATTACCTACGCACTGCTTCTTCGCACTATGTGACGCATCAACTTTCTTCTCAAGCGCCTTTGGCTGCTTAGTCACTCGCATAAAATTGGTAATTTTAGACATTTGTGTTTTGATTTTGGACAAAATGCACTTGATGTTGAAGCTTTATGCAACATTAGAAAACGAGCAACGTAAGAAATACACCATACTTCAACTTCATTCCTGATCAGCCAATCTACTTGATTGGTCCATTAGCATATCAAAACTGGCTCATATTTGTCAAGAGCCAGTCAGTATTCCATATGCTCTGATATAAACTAGTGCAATTTGCCATAGAGATTGGATTAAATGGTCAGTAGTAATACCAAACCATCCCACTTTATTGACGTTGGTGGTACTAATAACGACCCAACTACATGGTCACGTAAGTCAGTGTATCCTTCAGTTATTTTCACTCTTATTTTTACTACAAAGTCATCAAGCGCAAGACAAATCGACAAGAAGAACCTAAAGTTAAAAAGCTTTGCCTTGCCTACCTATGTATTGTATCTTACAAGCCAACAATTGTCAAATGTAGAGTCTTGTGCTTCCTACTGGGACGTAAAGAAGATCATGTGCAATTGTAACACGTTGGTGTGAATGGGCATTAGCAGTCGAAAGTTGACAGTTTTAGACAATCTGGACATTGTCGATTACTGCACCTTGGACTACGTTTTACTCATCACGATCAAAAATGGATTGGTCAATTGTACTGTAATGGGAGAGAAGAGTTTACACTACGAACCTTCAATAGTTCTTAAGAGTATTGGACTTTATTACACTGCAGATCTGCATCCATTCAAGTAGACAAGCAAACATACGTTAGCAGACCACTTTTTGTATACGTACGTACATACATATGTTACCTTAGTTCAACAATCATGTGTTCACGTCGTGTTGATGAACCTCTACTTTACGTGTGACATTATCTTGAAGAAGAAGGTTATACTTGTGAACGAAATCCGATTGATACAATATGAATAAACAAATATCCCAGACAAACGCAACCGCCTCGAGCTTAAAAAACAACACGATTAACACTTAGCAAAGTTATCAAGTCTATTCAAGCTGATTGACTCAGGTGAATCAATACAATGGTCAAAGAGGAGACATCTTATTAGCCGACGACGTCTTTGTGATGGATACACCACTACCATACGAGGTCCGTTCACTTTCAACTAACAGCGCACGAGCAATATCAACCGCGTTCAGAGCTCTCACAAATGCCGCGCAACGTGGACAAAGTGTTAATGTCTGCTCGAGAATGCCTGTTTCATTGCTTAGAACCATCTTGAGGTGACAGGATGTACAGCACTTGGGTCCACTGCACAGCTTCCTGTCGCAAAACTCACATCTACTCGCTGCAATTTCTTTGCCTTGCAACTTGCCTTTACAACTTGCAACTTCTGCTAAACGTTGAGACTGGGAGTGAATTTGAAGCTGAGCTATCAACCGCTTCTTGTTCCTCACACACCACCATAACTTCTTTGTTTCGAGACTGCGTGGCACAAATTTCCAGAAACCCATCACTGCTCGACCTAGCATTATCTGCTTGACGGAATCCGATATACAAATCTTCGCGTCAACTATGAGTTTCGTGTAGACAGCAATTGATCCATCACGTTGCTCCCAAAATATACGGGACTGTAGGGCGCGTGAACGTCGTTTGAGACTGTTTTGCGTGCCTTTGCATTGCAACTCAACAGATTGCGCCATTTCGTAGGCATAACGTTTTCCATTTGCTGTAGTCATGTCCCCCGTTGCAAAAGCCACAACCATTTCTCGCGGCGCCTTGAACATTGTGAATGGCCAAATGTTTAAAGTGATAAACCGTGTCACGGCAAGAAATTGAAAAGGAGCTTCTTGCGTGGGCATCTCAATTGGAATGAACTGGCAATTCTTTCCAGGGTTTCGATCCATCAGAAAATCCCGCAATCGTTGAGTGGCAGCATTTGGAGTTAGCAGAGCGAAAAGTACGTCGTCTAGCGTGCAATTCATTCGACCCACTGCTGTCACTGCAATGGGATATTCCCAGTCTTGACGGCTCATTGTCGGAAGCCACGCCGAGTTGGCATTACGATCAGCGTATACTGTAAACTCTGAATGTGATTGAAGTCTTTTCCAGCGCTTCTTATCAAGACATGCTTGGTTGGCGTCATACATCCTTTCCAACCCAAGTTCCTGGCAATCGTGCAGAGTGATGTCCAGCAATTGTTTGGTAACGTCGTGGCAATGATCACAATCTTCTGGGGACAGCTCCATTGGTCTCAATACAGTGCCTTTACTGACGCAGTTTCTTTACGTTGTTTTGCACGACGCAAGAAAGAGGAATGTCCAGGACACGTTGTACGTAGATGATGTAAAACTCGGACACGATTGTAGGGAGAGAGTATCGACACGATTTGCTATTTAGGGAATCGCTTGATCGTGACGCGAATTGGGGCACGCAACAATGCAGTACCGAGTTTGCACATGATAAAAAAGCACCAGATATCCAGGACTCGCACTTTCTGTTCCAAGTTAAAGGGCACTAATAGCTTGAAACAAGACCTTTGAACCAAGCTTTTGTGCTGGAAATGCCTCGTAAAACACAAACGACATGTTGGTCTGACGAATCATGATTCGGTACATGTGGTCGGCAAAGTACATCACTTTACATTCAACGAAACAGTTGCTTGACTGGTCTTGTTACTCGACATTCTTGAAACCAAATCGACTCCATGACTAGAAAAAAACTCAAAGTCGATGTACACTGAAGTGGAGATACCATCATGCTCCTGTGAACAAGGTGTTACACTTGACCAAACTCTCGGGTAAGTTGGAATAAAACGTATTGATGAAGTTCACATTAGTAAAATATTATTGAGACGCACAATACGTATTGGACAGCTCAGAACGTGCGATTCTTACCGCACTTGCGTTTTGTGCGAAGATAGTGCAGCGTGGGCAGAGAGCTAACTCTTTTTCACAAAGGTCAGGTCCATCACCAACCACCGCCGTAACCTGACAAGATGTACGACAAAACGATTTCCAGCATAGCCACACGTCGCAAAGCACGCATCGATGCTCGTTCAATTTTCTTGGTTTCTCGTTTACAAGTTGTAGCGCATAAGCACCACATCCCCCCACAACTGGCTGGGCCTCCCATTACTTGAGGCTGACTCAGGAGATCAGCAATCAAAACGCTTTTGTTCTTTAAACACCATCGCAACTTTTTCATCTCAATACAACGAGGTATGAACTTCCAAAAGAAACGCAGGACCGCACGACAAAGCATTCCTTGCTTTATCGACTCTGGCAAATGAATTCTGATGTCGGTGATAAACTTACTGTACATACCCACAGTTCCGTCCGATTGTTCCCAGAAAACACGGGTCATAACAATTTGAGAACGTGCCAAATTGGCCGAACGGCAGAAGGGAACTGACAAACAGATCTCGTAGCCAAACCGCCTTCCATTTGCTGTAACTACGTCACCTGTAGCACACGTCGCCATCAACTCTCGAGGACCGACAAACATCGTGAATGGCCAATGTTGCGTGGTTATGAGTTGCACCACCCCAAGATACTGGAACGGAGTTGTTTCGGTGGGTTTCACGATTGATACCAATTTAACGTTTTGGTCCGGGCGCCGACACAATAACAAGCTTTGCAGTCGAAGAGCAGCTACGCTAGTGGCCAAGAACGCTAGCAGCATGTCATCGACCGAGCAATTCATCCGACCTACAGCAACCACTGCAGCCGGTTGCTCCCAGTCTCCACGATGCATCACAGGAAGCCAAGCAGAATTAGGAGTTCGATCAGCATACAATGTTAAATCCGGGTATGACTGAAGTTTCTTCCATCTCTTACTATTCATGTCTGCGTGATTAAACACCTTGTGCTTCACGCCCAAACCTAGTTCGTTGCAGTCGTAGAGAGTTCGATCAAGTAATTGCATGACAAGGTCACGAGCTTCCTCTTGCTCTTGACGGGACAGTTCCATTGACATTTTCATTAACGTGATCAAACTATGATTTCACAGCTGACAGCGGTCGAACTTTGGTAGCGTTCGGACTTTGGTAGCTAAAGTCGATCGAATGGTCAAGAACCTGCACCTTTCAGCGCAATTTACGGAATGAGGGATCGTTAATGTGAGTGGAAAAGTGTGTTGACATAGCTATGAACATCGCGTGATTGTCAAACATTGTTTTATTACATGTGAAGAAAGCTGTGACTCGAGGAACTACAGCAAGCGCTTTGAGGCAAAAGGACCGCACTTTCTGCTATCTGCATGAATACTATTGTCAGGCAATTAATTGTGCCAAGTCATCCACGCCATCCATACGTTCGAGTGGCTTTGCTGTGCACATGTAGTGCTACGTTTCACATCCTTGCAGCCAAAGCACAAACACTGAGTTTTAGAATGGAAGGAATCTCGGACTCATCATTTTGCCAAGATCGAAAGTTATCAATGTCTCGGTTCAGGTTATATCACGAACCCCAGTACCTTTCAGCGCAAGATCAAAGCTGACGTACCAGAAACGCAAGTCAACCACTAGAGCTCTTATGAACCGCTTCAGTTGCTATCTCCGTGCACAATTATCTACACGAACGTTATCACTACTTTCGATAAAGAAGACGTACTTACTACTCTTTTCTTACTTGTCCGCTACGTGGTGTCCCATTGTCTTGGGCTACACAAATGCCGCGCTTACATGTATAACGTGAGAAGTGCTTTAAATATGCCTTTGATCCCGGGCACAATCGCAAATAGCATATCCTAAGCACAGCTGACAGTGTCTTCTACGTACAGAAGTTCTGGATGAAAGAGCTAGAGGTGAGTTATCATTCGCGCACCGATGTTTTGACCTGTACAAACGCATTGTCTATTCTCCTGGTGATCCAGAGGGCGGCAGCTGCGTCACTGCTGATCAAGTTTCTTCTAGCCCAAGCGTTCACTCACTGCTGGCTGAAGATGCTGTATGCTTACTCCGCTGCTTCACTTTTTTGTGCGTAGCTTAGCCAAGTTCTACCATTAACCACCTCTACTGCTTTTGCTATTTCAATAGGTGATTGCGTGTTTCTTGTGGTCCAAGGCTACCTGTCTATCGCTCTACATATTCATTCTTCTTCTAGCGTCATTTGAATACTTCTGTGTACGATGACGAATCATTTTCTCTATGATCCCGTATTACTTTGTTAAAAAATGCTTTGTCTTTCTTGATTTCATTCAATTATCGAGCACTAGCTGGAACAAAACAGTTGCTATCACTTTGTTCTTCTTAACTAGAGTAGCAATGCAAATGCATTTACATTGTTACAATGAGGTCCGAAAGAATATTCGTGAAAAGAGGTGAGTTTCTTGTGTGGAATATGGGTCAGTCATTGCGACCTTTTTCTCTAAAGAATGCTCTCTTTTTTTTCAAAGTTTACAATAGTGACAGGAATTGCTGAAAACAATACTATTGCCATTTTGTTCACTATCACACAATTATTCTCATATCAACCAATCATATGTGGGTATTTCAACGTAGCAATTATTCTAATTGAATAAATGACGCAAACTCGACACCAAGAGGACAGTGTCAAGGAATGGAGTTGTCCGCTATGTACGCTTCATAACGTGGCTAAGGACGACCGATGTGCCGCTTGCGACAATATTCGGCCTTGTCTCCAGCAGCTCCAAAACTCTCAGTCAATAGAACCTTCTGTAGCCGTTGCTATAGCTCCTGACGTTCAGCACGTCACCCGGTCATTTACAGGCGTATTTTTTAGCTCATTTCCAAGCAAGCAATGCGATTCAGATACTCTTCCTGCTTGGAGACAAGAGCGAAGACTCATAGTAAATAGAAGACATGGGAACGGGCGACTGAATGTCGTTAGGGATCGAGCGAGTGAGGTGGAAAGTGAGAGAGTTATGACAGGCACTACAGAGACGAATGCAGACTTTGTAGCGACAGAAAGAGACATGAGCGAGTCATTGAAAATGGCAAATGTAACACCAAAAGTGTCTGATACTGTGGAGTCAATGGTGACGACCAAGAATGAGATGGAGAGACAGGAAGAGGAAGAGACAGTCGTGGAAGAACCATGCTTTAATTTGTTTGGACCGGCAGGTGCAGTGTTTAGCAGTCTAGCAACAAATAGTAAGGTGAATGATATACATGAAACAAAGAGTCAGGATGAGAGCACACAAGAAGTAAATGCGGATAAGAGCGTTGCGGTGGTTTCGTCCTCGTTGCAGTATTCTGACGTCATACCAGCAAGTAAAGTGCATGTTGAAGAGCTGGCAATTGGTCAAAAGCTGGCAAGTGCAGGACTGGATCTAAGTGACTCGGAGGAGGAAGAGAAGGAGCTACCTGTACAATTAAGAAAACGAAACAAGCGAGAGAATTTGTGTGAAGAGAAATGGGTATGCCAGATATGCACAGATCTTAATGCGCTGACAGCGCTGGAATGCTCAAGATGTAGCAGCAAACGCTTCATCGATGCCTTACGTGAAAGTGATACGGGGACTGGGTCCCATTTGAGGTGGGCCTGTCCCATCTGCACGAATTTGAATCCTTCGACTTTGACCGAATGCCTCATGTGTCTGAGCACGCGGAAAATGGGGACTGAACAACCAGATAGCTTTACTCACAGGACGTGGGCATGCTCATTGTGCACTACGCTCAACGACCCTGATATCACGCGATGTGAGGTTTGCGATCATTTGCGCGAAACGGGGACCAAACATCCGGCAGAAAAAGGCCGTGAGTGTCCGGTATGTACGAATATTAACTCTCCAAAAAGTACGCGGTGTGAGATTTGTGAAACGTATTTACCAGCAGGTACGCTGAAATATTCTCGCTACAAGTACATGCTCTTTCTGATTGACCCTGATGCCCTCATTTATGCACTTTAACTGTTTGTAGATGAGACTCCTGAGAATCAATTCGTCGATCTGTCCTTCAGCCCACCAGCTTACAGTGCTAACTATGCTGGTGATCGAGAGTATGCATCGTTCCTATTGACCTTGGTTATAAGGCTACCTGCGCTGAACATCTTTTGTGTCTGCGATGTTTGTTTAGCAACCGCAAGAATTCGTACGCGGACTTGCCGCAATACAAGAATTGCAATGCTTTTGATGAAGCTGCTGTCCCCGATGTTATTGAAGAGATTTCTGACCATGAAGTACGACGTGTTTCAATACCACGCACTTTTACATGCAGTGTGCTGATCGATGTCCATGCTCATGTCCTTTGTGTCATATTTGTCATCGTGCTGACAGTGTTCAATATCGATGACCAATCCACGTCCACTACAAGTACGTCCAGACTTGACAAAATTCGAGCACTTTGTGTGCGTGGAAGACTTACGTGGTGACAATGATTGTCGTATCAACTACAACAAAATGTTTGCTGGCCAAAGGTAAGCTCAGTATTTTTTACCTAATTTTGTCAGCTCGTTTAGCTATACTTATGCGTGTCAGGTCTGGTAAGTCATACGCCGACCGCATCGCTACAAGACAAAGACAGTCACGGAAACGTAAGCAAGATGCTGCCCGCAAAGAGGCAGGAAAGTCGCTCTCGTCTCAAGGTGGCACAGCGGCGCGAGGAAGCAATAAACGAAAGGCAGCTGCTGCAAAACGACGAGGTACCTAACATCGGTGTTATCCTTTTGCTGGCCCAGTGACCCGAGATGTTGTAACAACTGGCCTCCTACTTTTGCAGGTTGCGAAAAAGTTTTAAGGACCAAGAGAACACGGAAGACAGGAGTCTCAGCACGTCCAGCTAGTTCTAAGACACCTTCTCCAGCTATCAACCACTATGACGATTCTGCGACCAATTTGGGCGAGGACCTGTCTACAATGGCGTGGGAAGGTGTCGGATCTGCCGGCTATATTTGACGTATTTTTTTCATTTAATCTGCTATTTATCAGACAGTCGTGTTCGACTTTGGTGTTCACTTCGGTCACTTGACCGAAGCGCTGCCTAACTATGGTTTTCATACGCTTCTTTGCTCGACATTGGTGCAATGTTGACATGAGTCTCAAACGATCTTCTTGTCATGCTTCGGGGTAAAAAAGCGGCTTGTGTGTGTTCTTGATGCTAGCAGTTCTTATGTAGATATCGCCAGACAAGAAATGACTCTGCTAGGGCAAGTTAAGGCTCTTTTCGCTTGTAACTGCCTATTTGAACGAGCGACCATGATGCGCAAGATTATTGCTGAGAAGAGAGTGTGAAGAAGAGCAAACTGAAACAAGTCGTCGTGTGCGCTCAAATCCGATGTACGCTTGTGAAGAAGAAGCGTATCGTACGATTGATGAAGGTTGCAATGGAGATCTCATACACATTAGCGCCTCCCGTATGCTTACGAATAAGTCGATCGAGTCAACCTATCGAAGAAATAGCAAGGCCAGCGCTTGATCAGCAGTTAATACGCAAACAGAAGAACATCAGGCTACGCCAAGAGGTTGCTGCTAGTAACATGCTGGGAAGAGATACTCGTGAAGGACTACGGCCGGCTCATTAGAGAGCTTTGCACGCGACCTATAGCTTGAGGAGATCCGAGAGCTCCCAGTAGAATGCGTGTCATAGAGATCATTTTTTGGGTATTGCAGCGAAATCTGCCGAGACGTTTGGAAAGATCATCTTGGTCAAGCAGCACTGCTTGGTGCTAAACTAACCGCCGACTGTCGAAGACGGCTTGCAGTTGTCAAGAATCAAAAGCAAGCAGTACGTGGGTTTTGTTGTACTGGAGCATGCAACTCTAGCTAACCTATTCATGATTGTGGTTGACTGGCTGCCAAACTCAAGAAAGCTGGTGCGAGGTTGCACTGAAGCTGCTCAAGCTGACTTCGATCGTCTAAGTTTGCAACGGACGGTGATGACAATGCGCCGAGAATAGTTCATGTCATCACTTCGCTTGTTTAACGAAACAAGTCCGTTTCGTGGTAAGTGGACTGACTTCAGTCATTATACGACTATCGACAGGCGAAGCGGCTATCACAGCAGCCATTTGTAGCTTGAGCATTCAGTATTGAGGTCCACAAGAAGCTCTAAGCGGTCACGCGAGTCACGGCGTCAAACTGTTCCTGCTGCTTTTTTTACAACTACGGCAGATTTGCACTGGTGTGAGCTGAAGCAAGGATAACACTGATTGCGAAGGCACGACAAATGGTTGTGAAATTTCTGCGAAGAGCCCAACCTGCTGAAGATGTGAAACCACCGTTGTAAGCAGTGCGCATAGTCAATTTGATCATGCTGGCGTTGTTATTTCTATTCTCCTTTGCTACACCTCATTCATACCACTATCGGTCGGTCCACTGCAAACGTAGAGCTCGTTGTGAGATATGGCCCAAATCTCGGGTGTGTCCTTGTAGCGGCTTCTGTAATGAGCAGATGCCAATTGTACTTGCTGCACAAACGTCGGTCGTTTTTCCGATGTTTGGACGTTTGGCATCTCTAGTGACGCCACACGACGTCCACTTCGTATGTCGTAGCTGTTTACTGCCAATGGATATTTTGCGTCGCCACCAGAGACAACAACAGACTCGGAACTGTCAATGGCACAACGCAAACTTGGCAGATAGTGCTTCGTTGCGCCTTGTATGAACTCCACCACCGGTTTGAATGTACGTAGATCCACAACTCGTAATTCTCCATTTGATCGTTGAACTACCGCTCTACGACAATCGTTCAGCATATGAATGTCAAGAACGGAACCTGGAGACTGATCACTAGTAGACTCTACTTCCCATTCGAAAATTCGACGAGGAGAACGAACGTCCCAACCCCATACCCCGCCATTCTTCGTCCCATTCAATACGACGTGGCCCTGTACATTGCCCACATGAAGACGCAACAAGCTCATCGTAAGCTTACTGCAGAGCAAGCGTGTGAGATACAAGTACTAACCGTGCTAAAAAAGCTTTGAGCATGAACATCACTAGTAAGAACTCCAGATGGTGCACACTGAAAATGGCTGCCATTTGCTACTGCATCCACGTAAGCAGCACTCGACGATCTAATGGACATACGATCCATGAATCTCATGTGATCAACAAATGTGCATGAGTAAAGAGAACTACGTACCCGCTGCATCCGATACTGAACTTGCTAGTTTCAGCTGGATTCCTACCAAGAAGAGACACACAAACAAGTGCTCAGATACAGCTGTGGCCTACATTTGCCTACTGATCAAACCATTTTGCAGTCCACGGATCGACCAGTTTCATTCTCTGGTAGGCATCACAGCACAAACAAGTGGAGAGAATAAACACTGCTGTCTTAAAACAAACGATCGATACGCAACGAATTACCTTCATTTGTACCATTGACACCAATGCAACTCCTCTCGTTTCCTGGTCACCTACGCGTAGATAATAAACGTTCCCTGACGTTGTTTGCGAGATATTTCTCGGGTCAGATCCGAGATGACACGCGAGCAGTTCGAGCTCCTGCACTGGGCGCCACTGCAAAGACGTCACGACTCCACAAAAACTAAAATCATAGATAGGAACTGAAAGCTGCGAGCTGGTAGTCGATTCAGCTTCATGTGACCGTCTCTGCAGCCTGAATATGTTCAACCTTCCGCTGCTGGCTAAGGTGCAAACAAGTATACCATTCCTTAGATTTCAGTGCATTTCTCCCATAATTCTGCTCCATACAGACCACTAATAGCTCCAACAGTTCTAGCTCCTGAATGCAACCCCAACGCAGTGAGTCGATCACCATTAGTCATGTTTAGGGCTTCCACAACCTGCGAAGACTGCAACAACAACCACAAAACATCGCCGCGTTCAGTTTCTTACCTTGACAATTGAAAAACTTGAAATCTCCGGTCGTACCAGAACACCAGCAAGATATTGAGACATCAATGCTCGACGATCTCGACCGCGTGCACTCCATGCAAAATCACTTTGTCGTCGGCTCAGATATGTCACCCAATTGTGGCCATTCGTTCCATACCCCCCACTGCCGATTGTTGTTCACTTGACGTACAAGCTGCTGCACTTCCACTTGTCGTTTTTGCTCTTGCACCTTGGATTGTTCACGTTCATGTTGCTCCGACGTCGGACAAGTACGAAAATAGCGACGTTTAGCCTCATCGTAGTAGAAACCTGGCAATTGAACAACACCTGAAGAAGGTCGAGTCTCAACTGCTGTTGAGCAAGTTTTTTCAACCTTTTGAATGCGAGCATTGGCACGCTGAGCTTCCAAAGCTTCAAGAAACCTGCGACGAGCTAGTTCCTCATCCTGCGACGATGCTCGCCGTTTCTTACGACGTCCGTGGCCTGGCATTTCTGAAAGCTAATGGCACAGTGACGTTCGTTTTGGACGTTGTGTTTGAGACAAGAGTCCAAAATGATGGATGAGATGGTTATGGGAGACACGTCTAGAAAAACACACTTATGGCCATGGACGTATGTGTATTCCAATGAAGTGATAATCCTTTGAAACACTTGTAGGTGTAGGTTGGATTGCTCATTGTTCAGAAAGCAGCTTCGCACGAAGAAAAAAAACAAGAGAGTAGATAATACCTACATCTTCAATGCCATTAGCGCATTGCGCTGTCGATACATTGCATTATTGTATTGCTGAGACGGGAAGTGCATGTACATTATATCCAGCACAGCATCTTGTCATTTGACGACCATGTCCAGCTTTTTCCATTTTGTACTGGTTTGAATGCTAACAGTAGCTTCGTGTTGAAAGTGGGTCTTGTAAACAAGTGAAGGAGATGTTACGGTTCCTCCTTGTCCTGCTTGGGTTTCATTGCAGGGAACATGATGACTTCCTACAGGCACACCAACAAGACGCAAAACGATCGGTCAGAGCAGATGCTACAGTACTAACTACTCTATCAGCAAAAACGTACCCGGATGTGAGGTTTGCTTGACAGCAACATAACGAGGCGATCAATACCGATGCCAAAACCACCTGTTGGTGGTAGGCCGTATTCGAGAGCTGTGCAGAACTCGTTGTCCTTGCTCTGCGCCTCAATGTCACCACGCTGCTGGTCCGCCTGTTGCGCTGCAAACCGCTGGCGCTGATCAAACGGGTCGTTCAGCTCCGTGTACGCATTGCACAGCTCCTTTCCAGCCACATAAAGCTCAAACCGCTCAGTCACACCTTCCTGCTCGCGATGTGCTTTAGCGAGCGGACTCATACATACTGGGTGGTTGTATAGGAACGTCGGGTTCACGCACTTAGGCTCGATAAAATGTGAGATGAGTTTATCTACTAGGCGACTGCATGTGTACGGCCTGGAGAAATCCACATTGTGTCGTTCACACAGCTTCAAGAGTGCCGGTATCGAATCTAACGAATTCATAAAGTAGTGAGCATAACAGCTTTCAGGAATATACCTTGAACAATTGCGGTACCTGGTAAATTCACGTCTGGAAGCTTCTCACCCAAACACATCTCGAGTGTCTCAAGGACCGGAAGACGCTTGAAAGGAGGCGCGAAATCAATCTCCACCATGGATGGCTCGTCATCAGAAGTTTGTGTCGCTCCGTCACTCGCCTCTTCCATCGGGTACTGGATCTTATACGACCCAGCCACGTCTTTAACAATGCTTGAGATCATCTCTTCTGCCGTATCCATCAGCACGTTGTAGTCTGCATATGCTTGATAGAACTCGCACATGGTGAATTCTGGATTATGGGTGGCATCGATACCTTCATTTCGAAAGACTTTACCAATCTCAAAGACACGGTCAAAGCCACCGATTACAAGCTGCTTGAGAAAAAGCTCCGGTGCAATGCGCAAATACAGCTCCTTACCGAGCGCCCGTGAATTGGTCAAAAATGGCTGGGCAGCCGCACCACCCGCCGCTGAAAATAGTATCGGCGTCTCAACCTCAATAAAATTGCGGTCTTCAAGATACCTGCGAATTCCTCGAATCACCTTTGCACGTGTCTCGAATACTGGACGTACGCTTGGATTAACCAGCAGGTCTAGATACTTTTTACGGAATCGGATTTCCTATCACAATCCAGCCAAAAGTCATTTTCAGCTTCCAGTATTCAAACCCGCTAGACTTTGCAGTTTGCTTACCGGTTCCTTGATGCCATACTTGCTATTTGGAAAAGGTTGTATACAAGGCGCTAGAACTTGTAATTGTCTCGGAATAATACTTAATTCTCCTTTGCCGGACTTGCCTGGGAAGCCTTTCACTCCAATAATATCACCGCGACGAAGACTCTCGTGCAACGCTCGAAACTCTTTCTTGACTGTCTCTTTATCTCCATCAATTGCATCATCTCGTTGGCCTTCAAAGTACTTTACTTCGGACAAAATTTGCACCGTATGGCCGTCACTCTGTAGATCTAGAAACACGAGATTCTTGCTGGCATGACGGATAGCCATCACACGTCCTACCATCACAACACAAGTGATTAATCGGACCTATTACTTGTATCAACAAGAACCACAAACACAATCGGCCATAGACAGCAACAAACCTGCCAATGCTACGGATTCTTCCGTGCATCGAGCTTTTGACTCGAGAGCTTGGAACTTTTCATGATATTCCAGCAATGACATGGTCACTGGAAAGAAATGAGGGTACTGCTGATAGCTTGAGATATTTTGAAAACGTTCCACAGCTTCATTCATTGATGGATAACGTGTCGTCGTTGACAGTAGCCGTCGAATTGAAGCGCCATTGCGCAACCACACATTGCGCAGCATTTAGACTGCGTTGGATTTGATTGATACAAAATAGGATTATGCAATTTAGAGACGTTTTTAGTGTCTCGATTTAGAATAGAATAAGGAGTACTGCAATCATTCCGAAACAGCGTCATTATTGCAACAACTAGTACTTACTATGTAGTCAAGATTCTCGGCGATCCTGTAAGACCTCAATGGCAAGCCAGCCAAAATCTATCTTACTCTGCCGTTTGATAATAGCTAGTCTCGTCAATGACAACAGCATGTAGCTATCATACATTGTGAGCTTGTGATACGGGTTTCCAGGGTCTGGCAGACGATCTTCGTAACGACACGTCCAGATGTATCGGAATACACGTTGGTGAATATGAAAATCTCTTGCACTTTAATGCTTTTCTGCTCAGTGGCGTGCCCAAACTCAAGTTGGCCGTTCATCGCTAAAGTATAAGGTCAACGAATCAGTTGGCAAAATGCAAAGTGAATATTTGTTGTCGGTCCTGAGTTCACATAAGTCTAAGCCTATAGAAGCTTCTTTTCCATCCTTGAAAATGATCTTGAGCGCAAACAACCATCGCGTAATCGTAGTGACGACATTGTCATAGCGTCATCAATTATACTGGTACTTACCAGCATCTTGGTGGTACACCGCAGCTAGTCGAGGCGTCTCTTTCCCAATACTTCCACTCGACTTGACAGCTGCTACTTCCTGAACTCCAATCTTGATTTAAACAGCTTCAAACTGCGCCGCGACAATCGGTTTTGTTATGATATATGCTAGCACGTCTTGAGTCGGATAGTACTTCAGCATCATTTGGCCGTCTTCCATCTTTTCGCGTACGATGTGATACCGAATACTAATATGCTTGGTCCTTTTGTGAGACTCGGGAGTTCTTTGCCAACGCTTTAAAGCCTTGATTTTTTTACGCCGGTCAAGACTGACTCATAGCTTATCATTTCACTGAGCTCACAAGAACACCTTTAGACATACTGCTTCTCACGTCGCCTACAATAGCGCCATGTATTCTGCTTCCGTTGTAAGATAGAGCCACAGTGCACTGTTTCTTACTTTGCCAGCTCATACATCCACCGTTCCTTATGAACGCGTAGCCGCTCGTGCTTCCTCTAGACTCAATGTCACCAGCCTAGTCAGCATGTGAGCATCCCTCTAGAATTCCACTTTGTCATCACGCAAGAGCTTGAATTCTTGCATCGATGTTCCTTGTAGGCATCGCAGTAAGCGCTTGAAAGCTTGTCAGTATTTAGGCAAGGGATTAGCCGAGAATTGACTCAAAGCCCGCAGCTTTTGCAACCCTTCCTGTTGTGCCTGTGACAGGCCAAAGAAGTAGTCGCAAACCCAGGTGCAGGATTGAATACAAGTGCTACCAGGTGTAGCAGAGCTACTGTAGCAAATCTACTTATGCACTAATTGCAGAGGTAGACTAGCTTCGAGAGCTGCATGACTTAGGACTAACAACCCTCTCAAGGCTAGCTTTATAAGTACATCTTCGTCACTTGAACAAGTATTTCAAGTTATGCGGGAGAACAAATTACACGCAAACTTGAAGGAGTGTGTTTCTGCGCTCTGGAAATCTTCGGTGCTGGGATGCTATGTAAGAAAATTGGGTGTTCTGGCCGATCCACAAAAGATATCGTCTATCTGTTCGTGGCCCACTTCGAAGAACCCACTGAGTTGCGTCAATGGCTCGGACTGGCAAATTACTTGCATGAGTATACGAAAGATTGTGCTACGTATCCTTGGCCCGAAGGGCGTGGAGTACCTCATCGCCCAAGGCGAGGAAGAGGGTAACAAGCGTATTCACATGCTAAGAATATAACAACGGTCTGTCGAGCATGTAAAGGCAAAAATGCCTTTTTCTGCGCCTTTGCCTGTGGTGACTATGACGCAAGAAGTGGTACGTAGACCAAAACCTATTCAGATGAAAGCTGATGAGTCCGACAGCAAAGAAGATGATTACCTTATGCTGTAGAGAAGTGAAGATTGTGGGAATGGTCTTTTTGCCGATTCAATGATTGTGGTAAGTCCGATCACACGTGATTAGTCAATAAAGTGATCGCATGGTGTGGACTACACAGTACGGATCGCGATCGTGTCCAGCCGATCACGGATTAGATCGCGTAGTGTGGATCACACATTTTAGACCACGATTGGGTTCCAAGTCGTTAGCAGATCGGATCGCGTGGTGTGGACCGCGCGGATATTCGACTACTGATGTCGGAACAGATTTATTGATAAAGTACGGGCGAAGGATCAGATCTCGGGATGCAAAAGTCATTTTTGATCCTGTCTACGCTGCATTGGTCTGTGTCTAGTCGTTGGTATCGAGAGAGACTGATTCTGGTCATGTTGTGTCGAGGTTGAAAGCACACAGCACATGAACAGCAACAGTACAAGTTTACCAACCCTCCTAGTGTTGGGCCGCACAAGCTGTACCACGACTGCTGGTTTAAAGTAGATAAGGTCGTTATGAACGCCGGTCTGAAGCGGTTGAAAAAAGACTTTATCGAGAAGACAAAATTTCTGAGCTATGACACTTCTTTACACTGCGGCGACAAATCTGCGACCTTCGTGCGTTTGTGAAGTTTCAATCCTTGGCACAACAGTCAAAAGATGCCCAAGAAGTCATTGCTTGGTGCTCAGGGGGGTTGATGGATGAACCGTAAGGTCGATTTTGATGATCTGGTTACGTCTTCGATACAAGAATGCTTCGACTGGGTGGTAAACCTTCTTACTGAAGCTGTTGTGATACCAAACGCTTCGATTTCTTCATTCTCGTCGTATGATGCAACTGGCTTGCCTGGATACTTATCATGCAGCCAGAAACTAGTAGACGGCTGGAGGCTCGTTATCGCTAAGCTTTTTGCCTCCTAAATTAAAAGTGAACTGCTAATTGCAATCCAAATAGCACCGAGTGTTTTGAACTGCCACACGTGTGCTTATAGATAATTAATTTGCCTTAAGAATTTAGTGCAACAGAGTTACACAAAGGTGTGGGTTTTTATGTACAAATCTGCCACACCATTTTGGTGTGGCCTTACTTTGGGTACATTTGTAAGTTGATGTGACCGTACCAAAGGTACAATATGGTCACATCGTCACGTGGTCATAGTACTTAGGCTAAGTATTATGAATACATATGTGTATATATTCAAAAGGCTACAAAGCCAGATAACTAGCGACTAGCACTAAGCATAGGGTAGGTGCTTCTCAGTCCTAGAAGACAAACATTGAATGAATCAGTTTAAAACCTGCGCTATATAGTATTTGGTGCTAGAGCGTAATTCCTTACAAGAGGGAATTAGTATGTGATACTGGTCTCATTGAGACGTGGTTGTAACAACCAAAAATCACAAGCTTCCACTGCCGCAGCGAGATCCGGACGCGTCGCCACCCTCAAGTACATGATTCCACCAACGGCACAACGGTATGGAACACTCTTTATGTGTCTCTATGTCTGCATCCACCTTCGCAGATGTTCTTGTTTATCTTGAGTCCAGTGATCTTTCGACGTCTTTGCCATCCTGCTATCATGCGTATCAAACTTGTTAGGACGACTTGAGAAACTTGGTTTGCCGCATCAGTACTTGGCCAGCCTCGTGATCGCTCTAAAATTTTATACCAAGAAAAAAAATACTGGAGCTCGGCAAAATCCATCATCTCGAACCGATGATGCAAAGCATGCTTGGTAGACTTGAACAACTCATCGTTGCTGCTTGCAATGACTAAGTCGTCAACATACAATACAAAGAAGATCATTTTGTCGACATTATGCTTGACGTAAATACAGTGATTCGATTGGTGTACTTGACGAAGCCCATCTTAATCATGAAGTCGTCGATAGTTTGGTTTCACATACGAGATGACTGCTTTAAGCCATACAAGACCGCTTTAGCTTGCACAAATATTCTGAATGATTTTCATCGACATATCCATCTGGTTAAGCCATGTAAATATCATCGTCGAACACGCCATTCAGGAAACCGTCTTCACATCCATGTGGTGCAGTGTGAGACTGTCAACACAATTTGAATGTGGTCTTAGCCACCGGCGCAAAAGTCTTGTCGTAGTCGACGCTAAGCTTCTTTAAAACCTCTTCGCCACCAGTCGTGCCTCAAAGCGCTCAATGTCACTATCTTGAGTTTCCTTGACACGGAACACCCATCAGCAACCTATCGCAATGCGTCCACGCGGCAAAAGTACGATATCCCAAGAGTCAGTTTTTCGCAGCGATTCACTTTCTTGATCGCACGCTTCCTTCCACGTGATTTCATCATCGGGCTCCATAGCCGAATTAAAGGTAGTCGGCATTTTCACTCACTGAATCCCCCCCATGACGTAAGCCGTTTCAAAACTTGGGCGTTCTTGAGCTGCTGCTGACATTTTGTAGCGACCTTAGTGTCTGTTGTAGGAATTAGATTGCTTGGCGCTTGAAGTTTCCGTAGCTTTCTCCAATGACTGCGTCCGCTGATGTATTTTACTGCTGATATCCATGTTAGCACCACGCGTAGTTTTGTCGTCTTCTTCTTGTTCTCGCTACACTTCTTCATCCGTTGTATCTGCATCTTGATGACTACTCCTTTTTGACCTTAATTGCGTCTTTTGTTGTCGAATACATTTTCCATGAGATTGGAAAGCTGTTGCGTGCTGGTGCGTCGCGACTGACCAGCACGCAACAGCTCTCCAACCTCTCGAATTGATAAGCGTTTTGCATGGCATGATTATCCGATAAAACGGTATCGGACTGAACGAGAGTCAAAATTCTTGCGTTTCTCCGTTGTCACAGCTACGTATGCGTGGCAGTTGACCGCCTTAAAGCTCGCTAGTATTGTCTCCTTGCATGTCCAAATTTGGTTTGGTGACCTGTCGCTGCTGATTGCACGCGTCGGGGCGCCGATTACGGAGCAAAGTAGCAGTCATGACTGCCTCGCCCCAATATGCCGTCGGCAATCCAGCGTACTCCATGATGCAGTGTGCACATTCTACTAACGTTTGTTTCATCCTCTCGGCAACCCCGTTTGGTTGAGGGGTTAAGAGCTGCAAAGCTTAGTCATAGCATGAGAAGTGTATCTTTGTCACTGCGAAGCGTCTTGACCCAATTGCCCGTTTGAATCTCATAGATTGCAACAAAGTCAGCAAATTTGTCAGCTCCCTTTCGACTTCTTTCGCATCAGGAAAACCATGCAAAAGTGATATTTGTCGATATACGTGACAAAGTAACGCTTTCCATTGAACGTTTGCGTCTGCATTGGGCCACAAAAATTGCTGTGAATGACTTCCAGTACTTGATTCGCGCGGTTAAATGATGATTTTGTGTAGCTCTTTTGCGTATCTTGCCAAGTGAGCACCCTTCACACACCTTCCACTGATTTACTGGTGCAATGTCAATGCCGATACCATGGTTCTTCTTGATAATATCATCAAGACCAACATAACCAATGTGGCCAAGCCGAAGGTGCCAGAGGTATGAAGTGGTGTCGAAGGTCCTGAATTGCTTGTACAATAGATAAAGGTTGAATAACAGTCCACCTTATATCAGCACCTAATCAACAGTAGCTGATGAAACTGATAATAAAGCTATAGGAAATAACCAAAAACTTATGTTATTCATACGTGGAAAAGCCATATCAGGTGCCCTAATCATTAAGGAACAAACAATTCTTAAAATCCTCAATTTAAGCAGGCATGCCTAAAAAACCTAGTAAAAGCATGAGCAGTTACAGCAACATTAACAATTGGTGATTTTACATAATATCGGGTCATGCATAGCATGAATCGCCGTTTGACTTTGAGATTGCCGATATTTTACTTGAAGCCATTATAGCATCCTTCGCTTTCTAAAGTCACATTTCTGATTTTCTTGGTAAAACGAGCAGCTGAAACAGGTGATTTCGTGAAAGCTTAGAGATATACCAAACACCAGTGAGCACAACCTTTTAGTCCCAAGCGGATTCTGCATTGACATCACAATATCGCCCGTTTCCTGCCGCTTACAACTTCGTCATCAGCGAGATTTACGCTTACCGGAGAGATTGTATTGTAATTTGTCAAGCAATCTCCTGAGTACGTCATGTGTTGAGTTGCTCGAGTCCATCAACCACTTTACTTGACTTGGTAGTAATTGCATCACCATTAATCGAAAAAAAATCGACAAAGTTGTATTCAACTTGAGAAATGTTTGATCGTTTATACGTTGACCTCTGTTGCTCCGCATTCTCGCGGGACCTTACCGGGCACTTATCATTTCAATGCCATCTTTTGCCGCAGTATTGACAGGGATTAACCTTCTGTGTTATTCGAACTCCCTTGCGTTTGCCGTTGTCGTTTGCCATGAACGCTTGACCTTGACTGTGCGCGGCTCCGTCGACGCCACCACCTTGCTCCTTGCGCTTCATGTCTTCGCGAAGTATTCTAGACGTTAAAAGCTCCCACGATAGTGAATCATCTCTTAATTCAATCGTCGTGATTAGGAGCGCATTAGAATCTCTGAGGCTTCAAAAGCATGACAACTAAGTCGTCTTTGCTTACCGGAGATCTTACCGTGTTGAGCTTTTCCGCCAAGGTCTTCAACTTGTTGATATATTGCAGCACATCACCTTCGTCCATCATTGCTGTAAAGAAGCGTCGACGAAGGAAGAGCTTGTTTGCTAAGCTCTTCTTCTCAAAGTGTCCCTCCAGCCGCGACCATGCATCTTGTGCTCCATTCGTCGACCAAACCAGAGCCAGCTGCAAATCATCCATCGCGAGACAGATGATCGCCAGCGCCTTGCAAGACTTGCGCTTGTACGTAGACTGGTCCAATGTAGTTACAAAATGCTC